ACAGCGTCTGCATCGATCTACCCCGAGGTTTGATGGCAATGGGATTACAGTGAGCTCAGGGGAGTTTGCCCATGTGTCAGATGTCTCGGTGAAGTCTGCCAAGTCATCATCGAGATCATCAAGAATGTCCAAGTACAAGTCTTCAGGATCATCATCTGCATCAAATCCCTCTCCGAGATGCGTAATAGCAGACCGAGTGAATCCATCTATCTGGCCTTGGAGACGATCGCGTTGCCGGGCGATGTCTAACTTCTGTGTCTCGGTAGTTCTTCTACCAATTCTTCGGACCTCGATGAGCAATGCGATTTGAGCCTCTTCAATCGCCAACCCCATTGATATCCATGTCGCCACAGACCTGCGAGCAGGTGCTGCATTTCGGGCATTACCCTCCTCTAGTAGCCTAAGCTCGATCTCCTTTTTGCTCGGTGCTGAATGCAAAATTAATTCAGACTTTGATGGAGACAAAGTCAACTAACCCTTCTTGATATTAATCTCATATACATCCATAGCCGCAGGATTATTTATTCTGCTGGACTGAGCGATCCTCTCGCTGGCTAGCCACTCTGTCTTTGAATCGCTGGGTGCTGCTTCATTGAGTATGTCGAAAGCCTTTTCACTTTCGGCAATGCCATTCTCACCTGCTTGTATTTTCGGCAAAGGGTTCCTTTTCATGCGGATCATCTTGCAGAAATTGGAATCATTCATCTGATAATCGAGACATTCCTTTCGATGCGGGGATGTCATTCCCCGAGCAGCAGGGGAAATCAGGTTGAGACATGACCATAGGGTCTCCATGATCTCTCCATCAATCCGACCGATGCCTTCGATAAAATTCGACACATATCGGACATAGCAGCTGTCCTGATGTCTGTGGATGTGCCACAACCCGATTCCGGGAATGATGGTCAATTCCGGAACCATTTCGAGAAATCGGCTTCGATCCACCCGAACCCGAAAGTGCTTGTTGTATTGACAGTTGATATCATAGAAGGTGACCGCCCTGGTGATGCCTTCCATGTTGTGCCGGGCAGCCTCACAAAGGGCATAGTCCATGTTTCATTTGTCTGCGAATGATGCATGGTTAACTCGTGAATATCGAATGGCTGGGTCGGCTTGCCTTCGCCTTTCTGAAAATCTACCATCGAGTGAGGAACAAAGCAACCGTGTCTCGCACAGGCTACTCCCCCGATACCCGTGGATTCCAGCTTGTGCCGAGCCGCATTTGCTTGATTTACAGCCCGGTGATTGTTGCAGCTTGATTTTTCTAAAGTGTCGGCAGCCTCTGCAAGATGCGTGTTATACCTGTCCTTTCCCACCATGAATCCCAACCCATCTGACAGCCAAACTTCATCAAATGGCTTCATGGGATGCAGGTGTTCAGCTTTGAAATTTCCATCCATAACAAATGACCGGGTGTATTTCCACCTTGGAGTTGTTATTATTGCTGAGGTGACTTCGGTATCGAGGAAGACTCACTCATCAAGTGATTCATCCCCTGAGAAGGACACATTAATCCCAGGCTGAGGACATGCCGGGCAAATAATGCGAGATCTCCTGCATTCGGGCTGTCGGAACAATGGCCGAAGCCATGCCATTTCATTGTCTTCAACTGCCTCCACTGTCGGGCGACTCTCATGAGCTCTCAGTATTGGTCCTTGCCCCATGCCTTGTCAATATAATGTCCTTTAGATGAGAGAGACATGGCATTACCGGTACAAGGTGTGGAAACATCCTCGAGGTCATTCGCCGGAGCTTGCTGTAATAGTTCATCGCCGAGGTCCCACATTCAAGGTTGTCCAATAGAAAATCATCGAGAACCCTGAAGGTGAATAAAGTCTTCGGCTTGTTAAATGAAGCGGGGAAAAATCCATGTCGAAACATTTGAAGGTCTGGACTCATGGCATTTGGACAATCGCAGCATCGAACCCGGAGGCGATGAACTCCGGACTTGTCAATGATGACCATGGTGTTTTCCTTCGGCTGGAACTCGGGGTCCCGACACAGATGGTAGATCTTCAGGCTCAAGCTGGTCTTCTGGTTCATCTTCTTCAAACAAGTCCCACCTATCCGTAAGTACCGGACATGTTTACCCTCATGACCGAGGTGTATGACGAGTCCGACGTGAGCGAGACAACTTTGCTCAAAGAATTGACCATTCCATTGACTGATCCAATGGAAGGGATTGCAAAGATGTTGACTTCTGCAACAGCCAGTGCAATAGAGTGGCTCCCCAAGACAATCTTGACATTTGTAGACCCCATCCTGGTCGCAGACGACGCATCTCCTATCTTCTGGTGGAGCTTCTCGATCCAGGAGGTGATGCAGATATGATTTCTGCCTTGGCAGCCATTGCCTGAGGTAGTCATTCTGACTCTGGATTTGTTATACTTAGCTATCATTTGAATTGCAATGCAACATTTTACATGAACTTGCCATGGTTTTTGGGAGTTGCAAAGGCTCAAATGAGGCTTGGTCTTGCTCGTAAGTATTGTCAGGAATGTCTTCCCAAAGAGGTGGTGCCTCAACAGGCCGAAGTGTTGGTGATTCTGGGGGAGAGCTAGGCATGGACCTGTATGCACGTCTTTTGTGCTTGCAAGTGGGACCTTGACCCAAATTTTCCTACCTCTGCTTCCCCTTGCTTCTACCCTGTGGGATCTTTGCAGTGGGGTGCATCTACCTATCTTCATGTTATTTTCTAAGGCTTCAAGCAAAGCACGAGCTCAGGAATGCGAATAAATTGTTATTGCAATGTGATCTTATGCGGTCTTGATGCGTCATTACAAATTCATTTCCAATAATGGAATTGCGTCCAATATGGGTTGATTAACCAACTGTTAGGCTTTGCTCAAAGTTGAACTTGTCACCGTTATTACTTCCACCTTTCTCATCCTCAGCCCTTTCTCATCCTCAGCCCTTTCTGCAATCTCATTCACAATGGCAAGATCAGGTCATTCCACTCAGTTGACTTCCACTTCTGGAAGACATAGGGCGCGTCAACCACAGACACAGAAGCTCACGGATAACGAAATTTCGGAGTTGAAGAACTACCTTCCTGAGTGGACTTTGGCGAAAAGGATTGAGAAGAGGGCAGTTTTCACTGCCATAGCTAGGGCTGCCAGGCTATTCGCTCCCAAGGTCGACCAAGCACAATGGAAGAAGAGGAAGCAGGTGATTCATCCTTGCTTCATTCAAAACTAAAATTTTAACATCTTATTCTTCCATGAACTCTCAGATGTACAAGACATGGTTGTTCAACAACCAGAAAAAGAAGGAGAGGAAGGACATGATAAAGTATGGGAGGAAATGGACTCCTAGGCAGGTGATCTACCAGCAGAAACGGGAGGAGGTGCTGAAGAGGCTTGAGGACGAGTCCGGGGCAAAGCCAGGAGGTCCCGGTATGTTCAAGCATTATCAGGCGGCTGTAAAAAGAGTCATGGCTAATTGTCCGATGATGAGTTGGAGAAGGTGAAAGACACGGCTGAAGAATGGTCCAGCAACTTTCCTCCTCCTGAGATACAAGCACAAGTGGCTCGTAAGAAGGGACCGGCGTATATGGAGCACTTTTCGAAGGAGATGTGGAGGCAATGCGGGATGAGAGTGTTTGTGATGTTGGCATGGAAGAATGAACAGGGAGAGGTGCTGTTCGGGATGTAAGTCAATTTTGTCATCGCAGATCTTCGATCTCAATACATTTCATGCAGGCATGATGATAACGAGGCATTAGGAGATGGGGAAAGTTTCATGAAGACGAAGGACTGGGAGGACATCGAGCCAGTTTGGCAGGAGTACGCGCAGGAACAATTCGGTGAGTGTTTGATCTCTGGTTACTGGAATGAATTGGTTGATCTTTGTCATGATAGGTGCTGGGGCACGAGATGGTGGGGCGACAGGTGAATGGAGGTCAAAAGAGAATCAGGAAGCCTGCTTTCGAACTCGAAATTGATGGGGATGGGATGCCGGTGCTTCCTGACATCACCGAGACGAAACTCGAGGAGAAGAAAGCCATCGTCAGAGCATTTCTCACATTGCACTATCGTGAGTCCGTCGTCGCAACACCCGAACATTTGTTGAATGCATTTATACAGGTATCTGTTCTGGGATTGTCAAGGCAGTTGTGCCATGGAGCGCCATCATACAAAGTCAGGATGACTTTGTGGCAAGAACGTATCTTCCGGCGGATGTGGACTTGAAGGAGCCTTCGAAGTTGCAACATTGGGACACGACCGCCTTACTGAATTTCTGGTATGCTCGGCAGGAGAAAGGCGAAGGTCCAACATTCCTGTTCAAAGCATGGAGGAACAGAGATGGGGACATGGTAGCCTCGGTTGTATCCGGAAATTCACCTTCTCATCGGACTTGTAATGCCAGACGAGTTATGATCCGAAGGCCTCGGAATTTATCGACCGAAACTGACAGTGATCCCGAGGCCAATCACGAGAGTGATCCAGAGAGCAATCCCGAGGACGACACTCATCACATGGAGGATGATGCTGATGATGACACAGAGGAAGGTAGATCCCCGCAAAAGAGACCCAGAGCAGAGCCTGGTCCTTCGACAGCACATGAAGGGACAGCAGTCCCACATGCAATTCCAAAGCCTCGCCCGGTCAATGCAGGGAAGACTGGTGCACTGCTGACATCGCGAATGGGCGACCTCCTGACTGGGCTGACTGCGAGAGTCACTCGCAATGTTCAGGAGGATGGTGCAACAGAACGAGTCAATAGGTCGCCGGCGCCGAAGAACATGCGGGGAAGGAAAGCGGTGATTGAGCCATCGGCGAGGACAACCCGGAGTAAGTCAACACAGCAGCCATTGGACACAAGCACTCGAGTGACGAGAGCAAGGGGAAAGAAGTAATGGGCTGATACTACACTGCCTGCCATTACCTGCTTGTATTTACATGTCAATGTGTAACTTTCATATATCAGACCTAATATGATATGCAGAGTCCCCACTAGTGAATATCGATTATTGAGTCCCGACTATTGAGTCCCGACTATTGAGTCCCAACTATTGAGTCACAAACATTGAATCCCGACTATCAAACACTGAGTCCCGACTATTGAGCGTCGAGTCCCAAGCATCGAACATCGAGTCCCGAAAATCGAGTGCCGAGTGTTGAGTCCCGATTATCGACTCCTGAATATCAAACATCAAGTCCCGACTATCGAGTCCCGAGTGTTGAGTCCCAATTATCGAATCCCGACCATCGTGTATCGAGTCCCGTTCGACACCCGGGGACATGTATTGAAAAATTTGGTAGTGTACATGATGTGGGGATGTCAATGAAAATTCACAGGTTGCAATGCAGTAATTCACATGGTCAGTTGTTCTTCAAAGTGTTCAATCATGGAATCTACTACCTTGAGCATTTCAATGCTCATCTGTTCAACTCTTTGCAACCTCTGCAGGTCTGCATCAGCTTTTTTCAGTTTGTCGGATGTTTCTGCCCAAGCAGTTCGGAATGGACGCTCGGCCTTGATTAGTTGTTGGATGGAAGGGTCAGGAAGACCTCCAGTACGGCGTTTGTAATCATGGAGTCGATCTTGGACGGATTGGTCTTCCAGAAAGATTAGCTCAAAGATAACTGCTCTGCTTTCAGATACTCACATTCTGGGTGTTGGTATTTTCCGAAAGGATGGAGCTCCCGGACCATCAACCGTACATCCTCGATATTGAGCTCCGGCTGGTCTGCAGGGAGTTCGGTAGATGATTGTCGGCTTGGGAGATAAGATCAGTCTCCATAATGGTCCAGAATGAATGGACCCACATGAAATAGACACCTCTGAGGTAGCCAGAGCAAAAGTGGGAGGATCAGCAGAGTCCAGCAACTCATCAACATCAATGACATCATCCTCAGGCCCGAGGTACAAGTCTGTATCAATGAGACAGCTGGCATCATCAGCTTGACCCAGATGTGATTGATCTTCAAGGGTGAAGTTAGCATGCATGGTGATCCCAGGTCATCAGTAATGTATAGTCATACCGGGTATTGCAGCCGACGCATCCGGGGGTCCGGATGACATAGAATCATATTCTATGTCATCATCCGGCCCGAGGTATAAGTCATCTAAGTCATCTAAGGGATACCCGGTGAATAGATAAGGCATGATAAGAATACAACATACCTAGTGATGCCCGGCTGCTCATCGGGATATTCACACCTATATCCATGCGGATACTGTCCTGCCGCGCCATAGTACTGGTTGCTTGCTGGGTGTCAGTAATCTTCATAGTACCCGTCTCGAGCGTTGCGGTAGGGAGCCTTAATCATGGTGTATTCACCGCTACAATGGTAGCGTTCGTCATAGTGCTGAGGGCTTAGACTGACTGAACCGTTGTTTATGCATTGGCGCTTACGGAAGTGGACATATTGATTGTTCGGGGAATGTCACCAAACGGTGACGAGGATACGGATAAGATGGGAGGCAGTGGCTCAAATTGCAGACTATACTAGACATCGAGGCATGAGAAAGTATAGGTTCGTGAAGAGACCTACAAAGCAAAGAGAGATATTGTGAGCAGTGTGGTGGCCGAAGCGTACGACAACGCACCCAAATTCAAACTCCACCAGCCCACGAGCTGTAGAAGACCAAATGATAACATGAGCATAAGGGCGTTCCGCAAAGAAGAACCCATGCGATTCGTGAACGCTTGAACGGTCGGCAAAGACCAGCGCCTGAAGAATAGTAGGTAGTAGACTAAGACGAGGATAGACGGTCATGTAGTTGATGGCTTGGAAATGAGGGCGACGAAGCAACTGACAAATTGCAATGGCGTGATGTCAGATGAAGGAGAGGCATGGGTGTGTTTGGGATGGCAAGGTCGTCGAGGAATGCAAGCGTCGCAGAGCTGTACGGAGTATTAAGATGGCTAGGAGGAAGCCAGGCATTGTTATAATCGAGCCTGGGTCTCTTCAACTTGAAGCTATTTTAACGTACGTAGTATGCATGGGAAATACGAACTTGTGGGACGATTTCTGGTAGCATTGGTCGACCCATGACCCGATCGTCGTTCCCCTTCGAACTTCTCCTCTCCAAAAGTCAGCCCCTCTGAGTCGTTGGAGTCTGAAAATGAATCTAATTTACATAAACTGAAAAACTTACATGTCATGGTCAGCTCGTCTATGATCTCCTCACCCAACTGTAACTCTGCTTAATGAGTTCGACGGGGATTGATCATCGGATCATGAGTGATGAGAGATGCGTGAGGGGGAGTGAATTCACTAAAGATACGCAAAGCAAGGACAGGTTTCTATATCTAAGTGAGTGGCTATGATAGCAGTATAACGGGAACTCCATATATAGCCGGTAGAGTAGTACTTCGAACCGGTACAAGGTGAAGTTCATAACCAGTAGTACAAAGGGAATTCCGTAGCCAGCGCAGTGGCGTTCCTTACTCTGGCAGAAGCGGGACCAATCGGTCTTGAGACCGTCAAACTCTACTAGTACCTGTGTATTTCAATTTTCCATCGCTTCTGAATTTTACCGCGAATATTGTGCGTAGTAGAGGATGAAGGCAGCTGTCCTGATTGGTGTCGATGACTAAGTCATTGTAGTTGTAGTTACGGCTTCTACCTATATCTATTCAACTTCCGACTAACCTGGGGCTCAACGCAGTGAATGCCCCTGCTTACTACTACACGTCTAACTTCAAATCATCCAGACTCTCCAAACCAGACATCTCCGCCGATTCTGTCGTGGAGTGTATGTTCGAAGCGAGCACGCCGTTCAGCCCCGTAGCCGCAGTAGTCGTTGTCAAGGTATCTGCCCCCCCCCTCCCCCCCGAACACGTACCGATCTTTGGATGGGCAGCAATGTGTTCCAGGAGCCACAGAACGATCTACCCGGCAGTAGTCCCGCACTAGCTTGTCAATTCATCCCAGTAAGAACGGTGAGATTCGAGCGTCTTTCCATCACCTTCACCTCGTGTCTAATAGCGTGGTTTATTTCCTATCGTAGCACTTCCCTGAAAACTGAAAACACATATGGCACCTCTTGACATTGCAAACAAGATCGCGTTGGTGCGCATAGCTTTTCCTATTCCTTTCGAGATCTTTATATCTATCTCTAGGGCTTTCCCTGTCCAGTGACAGCTCAGCCTCCCTCGGAGTAGCGAATGAGTTCAAGGGTGAACTTTCGGCCACCTTGGCGGCCTTGTAGCAAGCGATACTAGTATCCCCTGGATGATGTCTTTTTCATAGGAACCACTTCAACAAAGATTGTGAGTACTTATGCACATATACTTGATCTATATTAACACAGTCATGATGAGATAGCGACTCTATTGTGCAAGGAAACATTCTAGGATCTTCCACATCTGGACCGAAGGATATGCTCATTCATCTGATACGGGCGCTTGAACTCTCTTCCGCAACCTGAACAAACAGCCTTAATCTTCCCCTCGTGCACCTCTTTGACATGACGAGTGAGGTTGTCCTTGTTGATGAATGCCGAGCACCCGTCCCAGGTGCATTTTACCTTGTCCTTTGCTTGACTAGCCTGCACAACGGGGACAGATAGTTGCTTGTCGGGTCTGGCTGAAGAACTTGATGCGACATGCTCCTCAGAATAAATGCCCTGCAAGGGTTGCGCAGCAGGCTCGTAGACGGAATCGGATGTGCCACGGAGCGATAAGTCTAGTGATACATTGTAAGCGTTTTAAGGAAAAGCTGTGAATGATAGCGAATTGACCTTGGACAAGGCGAGGATCCGCACCCTTTGATGACAATTCCGTGGCACGCGGGTCGCGGAATTCCGACAAGGCCTCAGAGTACGTGCTGTATCGTGGCTGAGTTAGAGAAGGTTGAACAACAGGCCCATAGTCGGCAGAACTGCGGGCGCCGTTGGGAAATAGGCCTGTTCGGACATGGTAAGTTTCTAAAGGAAAGGCTGCCTATACAGCAAAATTACCTTGGGGAGGACCTGTACCCTCTGACAGCGGTCCCACGAACAATGTTCTATGGAATGCGGGCTGTGGCACGAAGCAGCGGTCGTGCGAAGATACAAACAGTGGAATAGCATTGAGGCCATCGAGTCCTGCTTGAGAGTCGACGGTGCTATCACATCTGCCCGGATCCTCCATTGTGACATCTGACTGGCAGTTGTCAAGGAGATCCATAAAGAAGCTGCGGATCTCCTGGATTTCCTCTTGCATGCAACGCTCTAACCTGTCCAGGCGCTCAAGATATGGCTGTAGGACTGGTCTCATTGAATGTTGGTCAGGGGCCTGCCTTGGCCGCGAGGACGATGGGTTTTGTAGTGTCGATCTGGTGCGCTCATATCTTTGTCGATGCGCATGTAAGCTATCCATGTGTAGATTCTAGGTGACAGCTGAAGCGGTGCGGATGCGAAAGAATACTTGATATCCTTTGCGAGAGTTGGGCAATCGAATACAACCTGGAACATTGCCCACCTTTATACTATACATTCCATGCCCATGGCATGTCTGGCGGGCGTAATTTCGACTGCTCTGGCACAATGGATAATTCATTCTGCCTCGTGTTGCAACCTGTGTGGGGTTCAGCGGCAAGCATTCATGATACAAGTTCACGTTATTTTTAATTGAGTTCCGGTGAGATCAAGAAAATAGGGAACGTACCGTCTACTAATGGTAAGGTTATGTTGATGGTCTTAACCTGCCATCTCCCACAGCTACAGGCCCCAAACAGGAATTCCGGTTGCACCGGCTTACAATGGTAGTGTTCGTCACAGTGCTGAAGGCCTAGACTGACTGAACCGTTGTAGCTATGTTCACATTGGCGCTTACGGAAGTGGCCATCTTGATTGTTCAGGGAATGTCACCAATGGTGATGAGGATATGGATAAGATGGGAGGCAGTGGTTCAAATTGCAGACTATACTAGACATCGAGGCATGAGAAAGCATAGATTCATGAAGAGACCATGGTTCCAAACTAGGTCCTGATTAACGTCCGCCGCATCCCTCTATGCTGCACGGGGCAGTACTTGCCATGCACTTAAAATGGAGTAACACGATTCCTTTTTAGACAAGCGATGTGTTTTGGTAGCAGCTGACTAATTACATGAACCTACAGGCTACGAGAACCTACATAGCGCGCAGGAATAACAAGATTCCTATCACATATGGGTACATATGAGTTGACGTTCCAAAACTGTTTACGTCTCCACACGGCCGTGCTTGTACGCGGCTCTAGTCGCGAATAACCATCCTTGTACTTCCTATCACACCGGTGTAGATTCTCCCCATAAATAACTCACTTTTGACGTTGATAGGTTGTAAGTGTTTGCAAGAGCTTGATTCTTCAGTCAAGCTCAAAACTGAGCAGGAAAAACGACATATATAATATAAGAGAATATGGAATAGTGTCCTCGATAAGTCACAGCCTGTAAATACATGTGGCGGGCATACCTGATGAGGTGGCGGCAGATATAATTAATTAACGTAAGTGGCATTTGGCCGAATAAGGCCACAGTGCTTCTTCTGGAGTGTTGAGTGAAGGCAATGTGATATCGACTAACACTCCTGACGAATGAGAGCTTCCGTGCACTCAGATAGGCTGTGAATCACTGATTGGGACTAAAATTTCATGTATTCAACTTTACTACGGAGGATTGGGAAAGATACGTGGCACTTGGCACACTTTGGTCAGGAGATGGTCTGTTGGGACCACAGCCGAGAGCATCATGACCAGGGTCAGTGGAACACTATGCATTCCGGTACACAGCCGAGACTAAAGAACCTTGAGTGACGAATGGGTAAGTTCAAGTACATACAATATCTAGTTGCTTACCGATGGCTCACAGTTTTGTCTTGAAAATATTGAGGCTTGGACTCCTCTTGGCCCTTCAGAATCTCAGACTCTGACTGTATCAGAGGCAGTATAACTTTAAGTCTACACAAGATGGCAGTCTAACTTTACGGCATATCATGTGATCGTGAAAATGAATACTAATGCCAGCCCTTGGTTCGCTCAGAGTTTTGTTTTGAGAAAGTACTGGGATCTTGGCCATTCCGAATTCGGAGTCTCGGACTCTGACTGTATGAGAAGCCGTATAAATCTACACCAAATGGCGGTCCAACTGCAGCACATCCTGTGGTCGTGGAAAACTTCTATGGCTGACATCGGTTTTAATATGCAGTCTGCAGCCGTCGAGCGGCCTCTTGAATCTTGGACGTCAATATTTTAATATATAAATGCAGGAATCTTGCAAAGCCTAGCAAGTATTCTTGTTCTTGTGGTCACTCCAACTAGCCTATCCGAATTCATCCGAGTCACTGAATATAAAGGCAAGAATCTGGTCCAGGGCTTGCAACATCTACACCCTTGTACCATCCAGAACTTGCAAATCGGTGTTCAAAACAAGCATGGATTTGCAGAAGTGAGGTTACTTTACATGTCGTAGACTCGGATGAGCACTGAGCTTACCATAAATCTATATCTAAGGTCTAGATCAACGGTGACGATCCCCCCGTCGACATCGGCTTCACGATTAGAGCAAGTTCCCGATCGAAATTCAATGATAACAACCCTGCAATCATGTCTCGAGTGGCTCGACCGACACCATGACAAGATAATCAGCGTTTACAGGGAAACATTGGAGATCCGCACCCGCATTACGAAGCTTCGTGACAGCGTCCAGTCAGAAGCCACCGTGATGGATTCTGCTAGCAGCACTTACCCCCAAGCAATCTTCTATGAGCCTCAGAACATTGCAACAGTTGCACCTGATGAACCCAATGTTATGTTACCGCTGTTGAGTATGCCCGATCTCTTTGGCTTGCCACAGCCACTAGCCTATGGCAGACTTCCGGACCAAGAGTACGGTCCTTTAGAATATGCTGGGGTTATGGGATCGCTGCCAGAGGATACCAATCCTATGATTTGTCAACGTTCCTCAGGTAGGTTCGCTATATTTTCAGCCTAGGTAAACGTTTACCATGCACGACAGACGTATTGCTCTCCGGTTTTGTCAGCTATGAGCCCGGTGCACAACCCTTCCCACCTCACGATGGCATGTACTCTGAGGGAAATACAATGCTGGGCTCTTCATCTAGACTTGACCCACGACCCCCTCTCCCCATTGTGCAGGGCAGTCCAGACAAAGTAAAGTGCACTTGGCCTGGATGCTCGAAATTTGTCAAGAAGGAGAGTCGCGCTCGCCATGTGAACGAGACGCATTTACGGAAGGTCAAGACTGTCTACACCGGCTGTGGAAGAGGGTTCTCGCGTTCATATATGAAGAAAGGCCATATCTGCCCGCTCAAGATGTAAAGTCCCTAGATATCAGTACACCTTTTCACCTGCTTATTCCCCAATCCCACCAATTCGATTGCCTATGCAAAGCCATTGAACTACTCTCTGAGAGTGTTGATGTTCTGTTGCTACGAAGCATGAACACACCTTCTTGGACTGACTATCGACACCCTGCTACGATGCTCATAAATAGACCAGCGTACAGAATCGATCCGGACCGTGCCGGGTTCAGGATGATGACTTCTGAGTTAGTAGCATTTGCCACATCATGATTCTGTTTGAAGGAGCCTGTGTTATTCATTGGATAACAAATCGAAAGAAGTGGGAAAGGTGATACACACTAACGCAAATGATATTCAATGACACTGATCCGGCACTACACAATAGGAGAGCGTGACATTGAGTTGCAGTTTCAAGTTGGCAACTACCAGAGCTGGTCATGACTCATGGCAGTTATGACTTGTCTCGAACTCCAGATAGCGTGCGGAGTTTAAAATTCTTAGTGCGTCGTCTCGTCAGGTGGCAAAAGAATTGCAAGTTTGTGGCTGTGGTGATGGAACAGATCAGATTGCTGGGTTTGTCTGGTTAATCTGTACATATGACAATTGCAATATTGATCAAGTGGTTCAACGTTCAGGGCTCAGGTTTCAAGTCACAACACAATCAGCCCATCCCTCGTGGTACCGATCCCGACGCTCAACTATCATTGAAGAAATTGAGATGCATTTCGATCTGAATGGCAAACGCTCGTATGAAAACCCAGATTCGCGCAAACGGGCGTATGAATATGACTTATTTGGCCCCTCCTCCCAGACTTTGTCTCTGCTTCTTCGATGAATAGTCTCGGGGGATCCTACGATGGTGTGCCGAGCTGAGCACGAGGTCATTCATTCTGGCACCCGTACCTGCGAGGTACCCGCACCCGTGCAGATGCCTATCTGCCAATGAATGAGATCATCACATGCACAGGGAACGGAACTCTACGTGCAGTACTAAGTCTACTTCTACTTACGTACCTTATGGGACTAAATAAGCACCTTGTGATCCCCGCATGCCATGGCGGTTGCGGGAATCCAGTTAAATCCCGTGGTGTAGCGCGCATTCCAACAGGAATGAACACACATATTATTCAGGTGACACGTTATGAGCCAAACATATCAATTCATTTGATGTGCACGACGATGGAATGCCCAGAGAGGGCAATCCAAGTGGCAAGGAAGCGTCCACAGGTGGTAGTGAGGCAGACGCCGAAAACCGGAGTAAAGGACAATTTGCAGAGGTACCACTAGAATTTATCATAAATGCGTCGATTGTCGGAATTCGCCTAAGTGAAGTCAGACGGTGATTGGCTCTATATCACGAAGTAGGAGAGAACATACAAACTGGCGCGGCCAACGCGACGTCTAATTTTGGTTCGATAGCCGTTCTGAAATGAGCGAGATGGATCAGTTAATTTTGCTCAAGGCTGCAGCACATGAATCACTGGAGTAATCCAACGCCAGACCGCCATGAGCATGAAGCATCAATCAGGCGACAGTCATGAGGCTAGAACGTAGATAAAAAGCTATTCTCGCAAGGGATGGCAAGTTCTCTCTCAAAGAGGAGGAGTACCCTCTAACAAAGAGTAGTAAGTGTTCTCTTGCACTCACAATACTTGACCCACCCCCCAGAATCTACAAATGAGTAACTTACTTGCACATCATAGACGAAGGCATGGGCCTACTGTCAATCCTTGCAGGCTGCCGATAGCAAACTACCTGTGGATGTCATATACGCAGTTAGGGGTGCACCATCCAACAGTTCATGATTTTTGGACTGAGGGTATCTACCATCTTTCTGGACCGTGGGATCAATGCCAGAGGGTACGGATCCTCGCCTAGGTCAATCCCTCCAAGGTAAGTTTACTATATGCGCAGCTTTTCCTTGAAACGCTCACCACGTACGTCCAGAGTGTCCCTGCTACGGCACCTATGGGTCGGCTGGCTCTGAGCCCGGAGCACAAAACTTACTATCTCGGCATGTCACATACTCTGAGGGTCAGAGCTGGATGGCACCTCACGATCCGTGGGTTATGGGGTCGCTGTCAGAGGTTGCAGATCGACACCTACGTCAAATCGTCCAAGGTAAGTTATCTATAGGCACAGTTTGAACATTTGCCATGTACGACCAGAGTTGTTGCCTACGATATGGACAGAGAAAGCCCTAAAATAGATATAGAGATATTGAAAGGAATAAGAAAGACGATACACACCGATGCGAATAAATATTCAAATATGATTGTTTCTCGTGTGGTGACATCAGCGTTGATGGGGATGCAGCTGAACTGCTGGTGACGATCATCATGCATCATGACCTACTCAACTGCTTGATACTGTATGGAGATAAGCTACGCTATTAAATATGATATAAAGGGAATGGAAAACATACTCGAATATAAACCTTTCCATCTAGAATGCACTGACGCGGAGTGAGTGCGGGATTGCCAAATTCGGATCGTTCGGTGCCTCCCGTAACATAGGCGTTGCAACCTATCCAATGGTTGCTACGTCCTCGGGCGGCCACTGGCAGACGACTACTACTGCCATGGAGCAGAACGGTACGTCAGAGAGCGCTTCAAGCATGCGCTTCACGGCAGAAGGCTCGGTGGAAAGCCTGATCGCAAGGAAGCTAGCCAGGCCTGGGAGAGTCTGGATGGTTTCAAGTTAGATGTGTAACGAGCGGTAACATTTGCGGCGATTCAAGCAAAGTTGGCTGTTAGAAGTGATACAAAATTGAAAATACAGAGGTAGAATTTGAACTCCAAGTTTTGACTTTGATGGTTTCATAGACGAGCTGACCAGTGACCAGAAGTGCCATGTAAGTCAGTCCTAGATCAAAATATTGTCTGGCTCCAACGGCTTGCTGGCTTTTGGAGGGAGAAAGATAATGAAGGGGAACCACGATCAGGTCATATTGATTTCTACGGAACTTCCACCAGTTCGTATTTCCCATGCATGCGTTAAAATAGCTTGTCAACGTTAAGGGGCAACGACACAGATATTGTTTTTGTTCTCTTACGATTCTCTTTATGATGCCCCATCCGTATGAGTTTGACAACGCGATGATGGAACGGGCACGGACTGCAAGGGGCCAAACCTCTATAGCGGGAGGCTGCGGTTTTATCTATCGAGGAAGATCGAGGACTGACAAGACAGGACTCCTGCTACTGCGCCAGGACCCCTGGTACTCCAGAGGGCCAGCGCCCTGCTACAATGGCTGCTAGCAGACAGTATGATAAAGTATGATATCGTTAATGTTATGCTGCCCTTGCACTCGGAGCCTATGTCATAGTGGAATCGTCTAAAGCTTCATCTCGGTTTCGATTAATTGATGCTTAAGTATTAATTAATTAACATCCTGCATACACTCTCTCCGTTCGAAAGGTCCCAAGGTCTGGTCTCTGTGTAAAGCTACTCGACGTATTTCACGAGGCTGGAAATACTCATATCCACACTATAAATAATTAGTGCGACCTCTGGGCAAGATTCGCGCGGTGAAAATGAAATTCCCGAAACTGTTCCGAGTGCAGTATTATACCGAGCCACAAATCCTGCATTTTCGAGTCAAAGCACTCACTCGTGACTAACTCAGAGGTCTCCTACACAACCGCCTTCTACGAAGACAACCTGCCCAGTAACATGTCCTGAGACCACTGATGAAGACAGTACCGCTATTTGGTTTGCAACATCAAGAGGCGTCGCAAACTTTTTCAACGGAGTGCTGTTATAGTAGATAAGCCACGCTAGGTAGATACATCTCCCGGTAACGACAATGACTCACGCAGCTAATACAGGTCCGCTGACAGCCGGATCATTCAGTGCCTCTTGTACCATTGGCGTCGGAACCCATCCAGGTGCAATACAATTCACGCGTCCCCTCGGTGCGATCTTCACAATCTCGCTTTTGAGTGTCGTCGTCAAACCATACATCATCGCTGCTAGCGCTCAGCACATAGCTGATTGACAACAAAGATAAAAACTTACCACTCTTGCTGGTAGCATAATCGCCATGGTTCGCCTCGCCATATTTTCCTGCTGTGCTCCCAATGAGCACAATTGCAGCCCTGTCTTTCACGCTTTCTTTTGCTGCACGCATGTGGCGCAAGAACTCACGGCAGACCAGGAAGCTTGAGGTGAGGTTTGCGCTGATGGTGTGATCCCATTGTTCAATGGTCATATCGACGATGGGTACGTCCTGGGAGGGCCATATGCCGTGGTTGACCACGATTACTGCCACAGGGCCGAACGGCGTTTCCGAGAGCGCATCGAACATACTCTTCACGGCAGATTCAGAGGAGAGGTCTGCTTGTGCGCATTCGGAGTGCAGGGAAGTTGACTTGGAGAGTCTGGATGGGTTTAGAATTAGAGTTGTAATGTGCAGTCACATTTGCGCCGAGCGCTAGAAAGAAAAGCTGGATATCAGTCACATCTTTGGAGGCACAAAGACGATTGAATTACACAGGTAGAGTTTGACGGTCTCAAGGCCGATGCCTCCACTTGCGCCTGGGATGAGGGTGAGGAAATCATGAGGAAGCTGACGATGGAACTTACTGCACCTGTTACGAGGACGTGAATGTTTTTCAGCCCTAAATCCATCGTCTGACAAGGAAACAAGGTCAGGCTGAGTTAAGCTATTTCTACAGTGGTTAATCCCACGAATTCCCGTTTCCCAAGCCTCGGAGGTAAGCGAGAGAGCAAGGTTATGTCTCTACGCAGTATGCGTTCGCAAACCCTGTCGTTCTTGCATGTCTGGGGAAAGCGGCTCCTGACGTTAATCTCGGGCTGGTCGTCGTGTTTTACTGATAATTCTGTTCCAATTTGTTATCAAAAACATTGAGTGTTCCTGCTGCTGTCTTGACCGGGAAGGAGAGATAAGCTGTTTGAGCGGGTGACACACCTGTACATGTGGACTTAACGCCAAGTAGACTCTTCAGCACAGGACTGCTGTCAGCTGCCGTCCCGTCGGAGCAGCTATTACCATAAGTGGTGATGCCGGCGGTAGTTTATATTAAGGAATTGTGTCTTTGTTTCTCGTATGGTACGATGATTGCAGGTGGCACTTCTCCACAGCTCTTTACCACACCAGTACGACCACTACGCTTGGGACGACAGCGAAATTGCTAGAAAAAATAAGGACTTCGGATTTAATAAATTTTCTGCCGTCACAGCTATGCCTCGTGTGCCATCTGGGGACGCCTCATTTATCCATACGCTCGATGGTAAATTCGTTGACAACGCTGGTCGTACCCTTCTGCTGCGTGGCGTGAACCTGTCTGGCTCCTCCAAGGCACCCGTGAACCAGCCTTCCCAGGTCCTAGATGGATTTTGGGAAGAAGCAAAGGTTGGCGGCGAGAGCTTCATAGGCCGACCGCTAAAGCTGGATGACGCGGACGAGCACCTCGCCCGCCTGCGGGGTTGGGGTTTCAATATGTTGCGCTTTCCTGTAACTTGGGAAGCCTTAGAGCATGAAGGACCGTGAGTGCTTAATCAACGTGGTTTCCAACCTGTGATGACAGTGGTCTCACCAGGGGGAAATATGATCATGATTTTATGGATTATACAATAGAGATACTGCGGAAATGCAAAGCACACGGGTTCAAAGTTTATTTGAATCCTCACCAAGATATCGTAGGCTTCCTCACAAAAAACATTGCTACGTTCTTTAACCTGCCATTCAGTGGTCTCGTTTTTCAGGCGGTTCCGGAGCGCCTTATTGGACACTCGCTGCATGCGGTTTTGATCCATGTGCATTCAGTGCCACCCAAGCAGCTATCATTCATTGCGAGTATCCCATTCCTGCGTCCCGCAACCCCGCAGAAATGCCTGCCATGATATGGTCAACAAACTACGGCAGACTCGTCTCACAAACCATGTTCGCGCTCTTTTTCGGCGGCTCAACGTTCGCGCCAAAATGCATCATTGATGGGGTCAACATTCAGGAATACCTCAGACGCACTTCGCAAACGCTTTTGCAAAGTTAGCAGAGCGAGTGGCAGCAGCCGGGGACCTTCTTGACGAAGTTGTCATCGGTTGGGACAGCATGAACGAGCCAGCAGAAGGGCTCATTTCATGGGATGACCTCAATGCATATCCGCAGCAACAAGGTTCCACTCTTAAGAAGGGCACTGTTCCGTCCCCGGTGCAGAGCTTCCGTCTCGGTATGGGCCAGGTCCAGACTCTTGACAACTACTCCTTCGGCTCCATGGGTCCAAAGCGTGATGGCAGTGTCACCATCGACCCCAACGGTGTCAAGGCATGGTCTGATCCCTCAACAGAGCCAGGAAACATTCATCCGCGTTGGGGCTGGAGACGTGACCCTGGTTGGACGCTCGGCAAATGTATATGGGCTTTGCACAATGTATGGGATGTGGAGAGTGGATACGTTCTGCAGCCCGACTATTTCGCACATATACCAGGAACAAACGAACCCGCCCATTTTCTGCGCGCCTTCTTCCTTCCCCAATATACCCTTTACCTGAAAGCAATTAGAGCGCACCACCCACAAGCCATCGCGTTCGTGCAGCCGCCCGTGTTTGCACAGCCTCCTCCGATACCTGAGGAGCTGTTGCAGGGTAGGGCATGCTATTCAACGCATTATTACGATGGCCTAACTCTCGTTACACGCCACTGGAATTGGTTTAACGCTGATGCCCTCGGTCTCATACGGGGAAAATATTCAACGCAGATACAAGCTCTACGGATAGGTGAACGCGCCATACGGAACAGCCTTCAAACCCAGCTCGGCTATCTCAAGGCAGACGCGACGCAACTAGGCGCGCTTCCACCCACCGGTCCGGCGCGATACCCAACTATAATCGGAGAGATCGGAACACCTTTCGATATGGATGCCAAGCGCTCGTATGGATATACTGATGGTGGCAAGTACAAGGGTGACTACTCACGGCAAGAGCGTGCACTTGATGCAAGTTTAAACGCGGCGGATGGCGAGAACTGCCTGAACTGGACAGTGTGGACATACTGCTCCGATAGTTCGCACCCGTGGGGAGATGGGTGGAATATGGAGGATCTCAGCTTATGGTGTAACGATGACATGCGTGCAGGAGAAACGGAAAGGGTTTCAGCCCTGCAGATACCTTCCAAATTTTCAATGGGTTCATTAGCGCCAGCACAAGCGTCGACTTTCACGATATCAACTCTTCCAACGTATTCTTCACCTTACGCCAGCTCTAGCGTCGGAGAAGGCGAACCTGTGCAGTACGAACCCGCCTCTCTCCTATCGTTCCTCACAAACGGCGCTCGTGCCGTACGCGCTTTCTGTCGCCCATGGCCAATCGCGGTCGTTGGTACTCCTACGAACATCCAATTCGACATATCCAAAGCGACCTTCCATCTTACCCTCAAGGTCAACGCAGAAGATATACCTGTTGACGATGACGATGACCTAGTACCAGGAAAGAAAGGATTGTGCAAGGATAGTTTCTTGCCCACTGAAATTTTCTTGCCTCTCGTCCATTTCGCCTCGGACACTTGCTTAGGCAAAACTCTTGGTTTTAACGCCCAGGACCAGATCGATGATTCCATGGATGTCGGGCAAGAAGGGAGCAGTCGCAGTACATCAGGAACGACAACACCTCGCGTGTATGGATCATCCACGCTCACCCTTCCTGTGACTTCTCAAACGGCGTTGTCGCCAGTCATATTCAAGGACGACTGGTACGATATCGCTGTCACTGCATCCGAGGGCCGAGTAGAGCTTCTCGCGTCGGAGCAGAAGCTTCTCTGGTTTTACACCGTGCCAACGGACGAGAAGGAGGGCAAGGAGCTGATGATAGAGGTGCGCCGTTCGTCGGGTGCCATCAAAGCCAGTGCACTCGGGCTCGGGTATACCACTGAGAGTAGAGCGAGAGATGGGTGCGTCGGATGGTTGGAGGAGGCAGGGTTACTGGGCGAAGGGTGGTGCCCTGAGGGATGTTCAATTATGTGAATTGTCGGTGACCTACTATCTTATGTTTTCTTTCTTTCTCGAGACATCTAATGGGAGCGGTCAAGTACATTATTTGTAGGAGATAATCAAATATACCTCTCGACCGCCTCTTGTACGATAGAATTCATACTATGCTATTTTATTTTATCTTGGATGCAGGTTAGCAATTCAGCTGAGCTAACTTTCAGGCATGACATGCATCTTGGATCCACGTACGATTTGATGAAAAATGCCAGTGGAGTAGTACCATGGCTTAGTCAGCCACTTCAGTGTCGGTCGTAGTGCTCTCAACCACTAGTTCTTACCTTGCTCGCGACGCGCAGGCACACAATCACGGATACACCGCTCCACCAGGCCAGGCGAAACCTTAATTTTCACACGAGAATGCGGACTCCAAGTTCTCATTCGAAAATGAAATTCCACTGATAAACAAAAATCCGCCTCTGGAGTCTGGAGTCTGGTTGTCACAATTCACGACCCACAACTGCCAGTGGCAGCCTTGCACTGCGCATCGTGGCCCGCTGTGCAACACCGTGATCTTCAATATTACCTCTGGTGGAGCTCCGAGTTGCCGTCGATTATCTTCGGCGCGAGACCGCTGCCAGTAGGTAGTGCTGAGTACAACTTGTTAATACAGGCAAATCTGTTGTGTCCTGCCTCATTTTCACTGCAAGGATTTACACGTAATGTTTAGATATCGGGATTCAAGGCGGACAATGTCTACCTGATCTGAGCCCTAGGTAGACAATAGCTCGAGGCTCACCGGCACCACTGGCAGCCAGCCATGCATCTTGGAGTAATTCCACTCACGACCTTTTACCAACGTCAACCTTGACCTGCATCATCTCAGCGTTCGGTCCATTGACTACGTCGACGAGACACAATGGACTTTTAGTCGACCCTTATTCGAGGTTCGCTTTTGACATGGCCTCCCTAATTGGCACGATAAATTCAACCAAGCCAATATTATTCGCGTACCAGAGTCTCGCGAAGCTGGAGATGTGCGTGGCGGATGGACTAAAGCATACCGTGAAGATATTCTTGCATCGCAGGATGAGGCCTACCAGGACATGGCACGCGAATCGATGGAGATCTAGCATCTTGAGCAAGAAGTGTCCCGAGACTCCAGCACTCTGTACATCATGCCAATACTTTTGGACGCCAAAGTGTATTTCAGATTAGTGATCGCTTTGGCCGTAAATTCTCGACGATAACCTTGACTTTTCAGCTACTTTCATATATCGATAGACCAGATATCGATTTCAGTTTTTTCCTCTTACCGCTTCTATTTACTTCTGGAGCTGGACAAACAAACGGGTCCTGATACCTTGGTTGGGCGAAATACCCTTGAATGGCAAGGGCGCTCTGCCTGGACAGTCTGCGATTGAAGGCGAGAGCCCGATTATGCTGCGGAACGCTTGAGGTATCAGTTGTCTGAGCTCAGATACACCGCTTTTACTTTCCAGTCCCCTCGGTTTTCATTCGTTCGGTCCAAATGATGGATACATGTATATATGTATCTCGATTGGTACTTTACTCTGACGGTCGTGCTTAGCAGGATTGGCTCCTATTGCAAGGACGCAAACCCGACGCACGGTTCGCAGTCGTACGGGCGGAACGCTATGATGGCGCGGCTCCGATCGACGTATGTATGGATGCAATTTCAGAATATCGTGGTTGATGTCTCATTAATAATTAGCCGAATCTCTAAGTCTATACTCCCCGGCGCCCGCTCAGCACACCCATCTCCTTTCCATGCTCATTTGCGATAGAGGCATACAATCGAACCACGAGTCCGCGCGATTCATTCCCATTCCTTCTCCGTGGCCCGGATAGATGAAGACGCATATGAGCACCAATGAGCTACAGTCATCTGGGCTTCACACTTCTCGGTCACTTCTTCATCGCCTATGTGCTCAGACAGCGGAACTCCGCAAACCCCGGATAATTTCACCTTGCCACTTGGTACAAGTGTGGTTGGGCGGTTCACTGACTTCCAGTAGTGATCCAAGAAATAAGTTTGTCCAAATAAACCTCGTTTTAAATATACTTTGAAACAACATAACTAAAATCAATATAACGACGGATCCTCGACTAATATCTCCTCTATGCAGAACACTCGGTAAGCATTTCCCTACACAGTACTGCTAGTACCAACACCATCTTCGGGGTGTTCTTGTTGCACTTGCATAAATAGAGGAGTTCTGTATGAAATCATGTAGTCATCGATCTAATGTTACACGGGTCTCAAGGCAACAAGCATGTGTACTCTCTCGGCCCTGAGGCTTACCAACTACTCTTATAGAACAACGTCCCACTTATGCCTCGAGTTGTCAATTATTTATACAATATATATATTATATCTTAGGTTGCGCTGTCCTACTATCCGTTTAGTCCAAGTACTACAGCTGCCCATAATTAATCAAGAAGGAACGACCGTCCTCCTTCTATATGATCTGACTACTAGCCTACTGGCCTAGGGGAGACTCACAGCTGCCCTGGATTGCTTCGTATTCAACCTATTCAGCCTCCATAATTAAAAGACTTTTTACCATAGATATGTACAAATCACTCTCCGTTCCCCAGTGCTACCCAACGTTGGGTACATTAATATGTCAACGTTCACATCTTCCAATATCCAGAACGTTCCTAGGCTAACCGGCACCCTGTCTTACAGCTATCTTCATATCAATAGACCAGAATTTGAAAAATTTAAAGTGCTTAGCCGCTTTTAGTTACTAATAGCATACGTAGTACCACCATCACCATGTGCAGCTGGTCGCAGATGTGCGCACGCCGTGATTCCAAGGTCTTGTTACAGCATTTGTACCGCCCTGCACAAGCCCCACAAGCAAGGTTAACGACTTACCGTCTAGCATGAAGGTTAACAGTTTCCAATTATTTATGTAATAGGGAGGCTCATCCAATTAGTACGTGGGTGTAAACAAACCAAAATACGCGTTCAATGTTGGCGCTAACCTCTGCTAACAAGTCACCTCTTTCGCAGCTTGAGTGCCAAATTCAAATATTACATTCAAAAGCAACGCTACAATACTTTCTAAGCCAGGTGGGTCGCACCAGCTACCATTGGCATCCGGGTGGAGGTGGGCAATAAGTTCACAATAGTCTTTCACTGATAGCCATAAGTTCACACATTTGCACGCACGGAGAATATTGGCTTTGAAGGGTGTCTCGGCACCCGTCGCAGCAAGTCTTCGGCAGACAGCTACGATAGAGGCTGCAAGCCTATTACTATTTACTAGGGTACTGGCCACAAAATAAAATGGCGGAATAAAATAAGAATTGAGTGGGGCTATTAAATGTCCTTGTTCTAGTTGAGTACTAGTACTTGGGCATTGTTCAAACGTTCAAACCTGTGTTAGATCAATATGAATCAATAATTATGTAGTACATAGTATCATTGATGGGCCGAGGCTGGACCTGGCTATGCCGGGAACACCTCGAAGTTCGCACTGGCACGTTGCCAAAGTCATGAACAATTCTCTGATCGATCCTTTAATTATGGTGTTCAAACGTTCCGCGCGAGTCACTTGTTTGCAATTTCACTAACCACTTTTACCTTGACCCCCTACAGGACCCACATTGTCTTTGTACTGGAATTCACTAACAAACTTCGATCAATCAAATATCATTTTTCAAAACTCACTTTGGCGATGTAAGCGCTGGATTGTGTATATCAAGCACGGATGCGATCGTTATGCGCCCACCAAGTTCCCCCGCTTATTCACTCTCATCCTCTAATAGTATGACTCTAGTCACGAATGATCCCAGTTGGTGGCCATCCATTGATGCAAGTATTATTTTCAGCTATTTTACAGGTTCGTGGAGAGTCAGCCACATGATGACGTTGGTGATTCGATTAACCTTGGCTGCGGTTTTGCAGTTGCTGCCTCTGTCGGGGTAATGTACGATTGGGGTGAGCAAGATTAAGTATGAAAAGACCATTGATATCCTTATGGTATTCTCAGCGCTTACGTTTGAACAAGAGGTACGTCGATCCGTTATTGGGGCAGCCAGCTCAGCGCTTAGAATTGTGTTATAGGTTGAACTGATCTGGGTGAGCGGACTCCCACATCAAAAGAATGACATGAAAATACAACTTGTTCACGGCAGAGGCAACGCTGGTCGCCGATGACCATTCTGTATCTCATTGTATGTAGCTTGTGTTTTTAAGCGTGGTTAGCAAGTTGTATTGACGTGAACATATCCTAGGTACGATATATTGGAATAGGATATTCTGTGTACGTTTCGACATCTAAGCCATTGATCTTGCGTTCATTGCTCATCTCTCACAATCAGGATCAATATATTTGGTATGTCTCCTCGCATAGACTCTGTTTCTTTCTTGTGACAGGCAGCATACAGCCAGTGTTCCAACAATTTTGACCACAGATGCAGTGAGTATTCCACACCAATGCTTTCCATTCCCGTCCGAACAACTGAACTACCATGTAGGGGTGAGTGAGATTCTCGAACAGCTCGTTGATTCAACATAACGACTCCCACAGTTGTGAGTTTGTTTCGAGCCTGTGATCCTCCAAGGCTGATAACTCATGTTGCTGGATTCGTCAGGCCTTATCATGTATGACGCTGTTGATTGGATGGGTGACGTTGTGGATGCAATACTGGGCGGTGAGCTATGCACTTCAGTGATATTGACTTGACTGAAACATTTTGCAAGTCATCATGATCGCTCGGCTACATGCCATGTATCAGAGATCCAGAAAGGTGCTGATATTTCTCGTCGTCATCTTTCTGGCCAGCAGAATTGCCAGCGCAGTGATGCTCGCAATACAGATGATGCAGATTTCAGGGGGTAAGCTTTAATAATGTATGCAATGTTTAAGTGCATCAGGCTCATTGCAAAATACCAGAGGAATACATTCTCTCCGGCACCTATCAGTGCACGATTAGCTACGCGGGAGATTCTCAATTTCTGCAGTCCATGACTTGGATACTTGGCACTGTATGGGAGGTCCTTGTACTGTGTCTCGCAGTCTGGATTGCTGTAAAGCACTTCCGTGAACTGCGACGACACTCAACAAGAGGTATCATCGGGGACTGTTTCACGGTGCCTAATGAAAACTCACGTGAGTTACTTTGCGAGGTGAGCTCATAATGTGAATGTGGCTCTCTTGTTCCGCTGAAGTTTCGCATGTGCTAGTTTTTTGGCTGTCTCTTGCTTCCAAATCGGTTTGTTCTCTCCGACGCTCTCAGCGGTATGCCGATCTGTCACTGACCTCTACATGTGGACATGATTCATCATCATTCCTCTAGGACATATATTCCCTGGATGCTCAGATTTATCTTGGCCTCTCTCTGATCTTCGAGGTCGCGCAGATGTTTGTGCTGGGACCACGCCTGATCCTCGGTATCCGAGAATATCACGCTGAGCTCGTGGCCAACTCTGATATAGTAACCGCTATGACTTCAATTGCTTTTCAGGAGCGCAACCATGTGTCAACCAGCAGCAGTGTGTAGAGCAGGATATGCTCGATATGATTGATTTGCGATGGGCGGGTAGTGTGCAGGGAGGGAGAATTTGGTTTTATTTATTACAGGTTTTGTTGTGGGACTTATTTATGTAAGTTGCGAAGTAGATATAGGTCATACAAGAGCTTTTGGCAAACTATGACTCGTGGAGATCTTTCCAATGTGAATAGCCTCGAGTGACTTTCCCATCGCGCCCTCATCAGTTTCTGCAGAATCAATCATGGCGCGAGCATGCATGAAACAGATGCCACCCTCGACGGATAGTGCTGGAAGGAAAGGATGAAAAGCAAAAATGAGAAGGTGGCAAGAGGATAATCCAGAGCGTGCGTCCGAGTCAGCGCTGCAGAGTCGACACAATTGACACCGAGTCGGCGGTTATTCGTGCTTTATAATATCTAAGAGAAATTGATGCAAGGCTACATTTTCTGGACGTTGGGCTACCTTCGATAGACTTCATTTTGCGAAGCACGATGATCGTTCCATACTTAGTTTCTGGGCCTAGCTGGACCGTTAATCGCAAGTGCAGGGTCTATCTCTTCCCAGAGTTCAATTTTGTCGTGACACAAGTTTAGTTAGTTGTATTTCGAACGTAGTTTACAAAAATCTACGACTGTGTACATATGTCGGCAATTTGTGCTCTAAAGTTCATTGATCGTAATTATGTCCGAAGGCGACCTCGGAACGGGCTGGAACGGACCGGATATAAGTAATACGAACTTGTATGCTCTCGGCTAGATAAAGCTCTCTCCATCGCGATCATGTCTACTACAAATTACGGAGACATTATAGAAGTAACCGCCCCTGCTGATTTTCATGTTCACCTCAGGGATGGTGAACTATCCAAGCTCGTTACACCCCACGTCCACAAGGGTGGTTTCTATCTTGCCTATGTCATGGTACGTGCTAATCATCTCAACTGATGGATCAACGGTCAATTTGACGATCACAGCCAAATCTGGTGCCCCCAATTACTACTACAGAGATGGCAATCGAATACAAGAAAAGATTGAAGGATTACTCGGGATCATCCAAAGTGGAGTTCCTGATGACACTCTATCTTTCCGACGCTCTCCACCCCAGCGATGTCAAAAATTGGAAGGCTGCGGGTGTCGTGGGCGTTAAATCATATCCCCGTGGCGTAACTACGAACTCGGACGAGGGAATCGAGAGTTATGATAAATACGACGAGCTATTCAAAGCGATGGAGGTGCACGGCATCGTGCTTAATCTTCACGGAGAAATTCCATCAGATCACTCCAAAAATATCTGCGTCCTCAACGCTGAGGAACGTTTCCTTCCAGTTCTCGCAAACCTAGCCAACAAATATCCTAAACTACGTATCGTTCTCGAACATGCGACGACTGCAGCTTCTGTCAATGCTGTCAAAGCCTGCGGTGATAATGTCGCATGCACAATCACGGCACACCACCTCTCCCTCACAGTTGATGACTGGGCAGGCCAATCTTTCCACTTCTGCAAACCTGTCGCCAAATTTCCAGATGATCGTCGCGCTCTTCAAGAAGCTATCAAATCCGGCAACAAGAAATTCTTCCTCGGCTCTGATTCTGCACCACATCCGAGCCTTTCAAAATCGACAGCAACAGCGACAAACGGGTGTGCAGCAGGGGTTTATACATCTCCTATCCTTCTCCCCCTCGTTGCACACCTCCTCGATTCGTTCGGAGCGATCGACAGGTTGGCTGATTTTACGAGTAACTTTGGGCGCGGATTTTATCAGATTCCGGCTGATTCAAACGCTCCGAAGGTTTTGGTCGAGAAAGTGCAGGGGGTGAGCGTGCAGGCTGAATATAGTAACGAGTGGAAAACAGTCGTGCCTTTCTGGGCAAACAAACAGATCGAGTGGCAGATTGTAAATGTCAAGGAATGATTGGGGGAGGAGACGAGAAGGAACGACTGTCTTCGTTCGTGCATGATCTTATTACGGGAGACTGGTTCTCGCGCACACTTTGATTCGAACCTGTACTTAGTATATAGCATACAAGAAGTCCACTCACCTTGTAACCCACATTTTCTTACTTGCAAACTCAGCTTGCAGCTGCGGGTTGGTACGCGCTAAAGGAGCTAATCTTTGCCACCGCCTTAAATTAGCCTATCAGTACTCTGCTCCCCACAGAGCAGACTGTCAATTGTTTGAGGTACCTTGCCTATGTGTATGATATCGATAGCAATGGAGTCGGAGTCTTCCACTTAGGCGTCTCATATCAAGTTCTGCCAGGCTAGAGCTAGTACGTCAACATGATTGTTTCAGAGCATATTGTCGTGGACTTGGACTATCAGAGACTCGCCGTGGTCCATAATATGGCCAGTTTGCATGGATGACTTTGATCAACATTGGGATGTTGCGTTAATTGCATCACCAATACTTGCAGTGCCAAGCAAGAGGGCGGTCCTCGAGAAAGAAAAATAAAGTCTCCCCTGACACACGCACACAAAAGTGAATGTGCACATGTAAACTCACAATACTGCGGATCTCGGTACCCGAGGGTACCGGAAAGTAGAGAGATTTTCACATTCTCTACGTTAGTTTACGATCGCCCACGGATTACCTGTTGGTCGTCGGCCCTTACACGCCACGCCGAGTACAAGAAATGTAATTCCGATACATAGGTGCAAGTCTCCGGTAAACCGAAGCTCAAAAAGGTATAAACCAGCGCAAAACAGGGAGCAAAGCTGATCCTTGTTTCAGTGACTCGCTGCCACCAATAAACGGATCGAGAGTAGAACATTATGACTTGATCAACCACGGCTTGTTGGCGATTGTCCAGTCATCGATGAGCTGCCAAAAATGCGCCACAACAGACTTATCAATGTGTCGTCTGTGAGGATCGATCTAGCACGATATTGTAAACCTGAATGAAAAGAGGGAGAGGCTAAGGCATACCTTCAGTTCCGTGACATTCCAGTCTTTGATCTTTGTGTTGGGCGGGTCATTTGCCCACGAGACGTATACGCCTTTTACTAGAGCAGCCCACGATCATCAGCGTTTAGGATTAGCTAAAGGAGAACCGCATACCGTGATGGAACAGAGCTCGGGGCTCACTCCACCGATACGGACGGAACTGCCATGCTTGGCCGGTGGTCATCACGCAGACAACACGTTCCCATGCATCAGCACCAAATTTCTGCAATGCATCAGTGCTATCAACAACAAAGTACCGTTGAATGTCCCCGCGAGACGTAGACGTAGGTTGTGAGGATGAAGAAGGCGGTACACGCCGCCTGTCAATGTGAATAACATCCTCAGCACGGGAGTTGCCTGCAGCTGCAGCACGTTCACGCGCCGCTGAGGAAGATTCAAATCTACGAGAGCAAGACATCATTTGGGAGAACTGCTTAGTTTGCAGAGCAGAACGTACAGTGATTCTTGAAGGAAACGCTTGACGTTATGCATAGTTATAAGGGCAGTCGGAGAAGAGGAAATCATGATGATAGGGTACTGATTTTCTGCAGCCAATTTAGAGTTTTGAGTAAGATATTTGAGATGAGGACCTACTAGCTTTGCGGGACTGCATGTGAGGACCGGCAGCTGGCGCAGGAGCTGGGATAGCCCCAGGTTTTGTCTCCTTGAGCTTCTTCAATTTTTCAGAGTATATAGCTCGTAAGGCAGAGAAGTTCTGGAACGCGGTTGGCGAAACAGATACGGGATAGGATTCAAACTTACATTTGGTTTTGTTCCTCGTAGAACGGTATTCCTGTCGCGCAGCTCAACTTCGTTCTGCTTGATCCGTTTTACAATTTCGACATCTTGTTGATCGGCAACGTAACGTCGCTTTGAGGGAGTGGTGGTGGTGTCTACAGCATGCGCTGCGCGCTTCGGGGTAATGAGGGGTATGGTGGCTGCACCGGGGTGAGTAGGTGTGCCTGGAGGTGTTGTCGACTCTGCTGCTGCAGGAAGCTCGATGTCAACTCCAGGTCGAGTTTACATGTCCACGCACCTGCAAGTGATACAATTCTCTTCAGGTCATTTACCTTGCCTTCCAGCCATTCGACAATGCTTTTCCTCTCCGTAACGCTCACGAAGCCCACTGCAAGACCACTGTCTCGAGCCTGTTTCATGTATTCTGCAGCAGGTGCATCGCGGAGGAGCCATGCTAAATATACGGCTTCGAGGGTAAAAAAGTCCGACGGTAAAGATGCAGAAGTTCCAGGCTTCGAATAGCGTGTTGTAGTTGATTTTGGAAGTGAAAGAGTTGGAGACAGAACGATGTGAGATGCAGCGAGAAGGGAAGCTGTCGGCTCAGAATTTGCGACATATGTTATCGGAGATTTGGTTTTGATTGCATGGCGTAGAGCCAATAGCGGGTCTGAGTCCATCGTTGAGCTCATTGTGTGTTAGTGAACAAGAAAGCACTGTCAATAACAAGTCAATAAGTACTTTTGAAACCCACAAGACCAACGTCGGTCCACAGCGCTAAAAGGGGCTTACATAATGGGATTGAGCGACCCCTCGATAGGCGGTCGGCAACTTGGACGGAGAGTGAGAACAAGCTTGGTTCGGCAATCCGCAACTGCCGACTGTTTCGAAAGGTGTGAGTTGCGCTGTCGTGCTCGTTGAAGACGTTTCGTCCTACTTGTTTTACATTTCTCCTGGTAGTCTATTGACAGTTTTCTCGGGTGTTGGTCCAGGTCCGACGGCTCTGAGCTGACGCGCGGACTCGGCATCGTGCTTGTAGACCAGTATCTTTGACATTTAACTTTGCACTGCTCTGGCTAGAAAGAATCTGGCTCCGTACCATACAGCGGCATGGCTACAGTCAAGCTTGCTACCCTTGTTATTCGAGTGAGTCCAGCCAAACACTTCTGCGTAAACTCGAGGTCTCAGTCCAGATGTGACAGACACTTGCGAAGCCCATCTCTTCGCAACTAAAGAACCAGGCAAAGCAGTATGTGCAATAGTTTAACTTTTGTTGATTTTGATTCTGAGATTTTTCTAGGCACGAAACCTTCCGTTCTATATGTATCTCCCTTGCTCAGAGGATGCATATGACCGAAGTTAAGTTGAGGACGAATATCCTCGGTGAACCGGCCAGGCAACATGTCAAGCCATTATCAGAAACGAGGTATGCATTGTGTCATTCTCATATCCGATTCTTTTTCATTCGCATCTCAGAGCAGTCGAAAACGGTGCCAACACATTAGCAGAAGGTTTCTTATTTTCAGTTGCCGCACTGTTAATAATAGGCGAAACATGGCGATCGTCTCGAAGTCAGTCTAAACAGCGAGATGACGTTAACGAACGGATCGAGGAGCTCTCTGCGAACGTCGCATCACTCACAGAGCGTCTGGAGAGAATCCAGGAAAGCTTGGGGGATGTCGAATCAGAACGTGCGCGGAATAATGAGCTGGCGAGGATTGTTGAGCGAGTGGTGGAGATCGGCCTTCGAGGAGGGTGGGCAGAGTTTGAGGATACACCATTGAAGGTCCCCAGGGTGGAGCTTGCGCCGACCTCATCGAGGGTACCACCCTGACATTGACCGTCCGTGAGTCAACTTCACGGCTAGAATACCTGTGCCCTCTTGATCTGTGTAGAGGTCGTCCGAGTTTTTGCTCGGACTTTGACCACTTGATTGTGCTGCTAATTCCAGCGGATGTGTCTCCGCATAGTCCTTGCCATATCCCTTTGCTATTTATATCCGAATAATGCAGCCCCTCTCAAAACTATCTGACGCAGGAAAAGGACTTGCTGCAGTGCATGACGGTAGTCATCTCAACACTGAAAGGCATAAGAATTATCCTTGGACCATGCGAGCTTTTAGAGAGGAATGATCGCGCATGGCATTATCCTCAAGACTGCGAACTTTGTCCATAAGTCTTCGGAGTGTACTCGAAGTTGATCATCGTTGTAGCTAGAGGACCTCGAGCTTCTGAGGCAAATGTATTAATCGGGGGTGGGCGCCTTACGCTGCTACGTTTCATTTCCCATGTCCTACCCACACCAGGTGCAAGAATCAGGCTTGTTCATCCAAGTGACAGAAATATGTAAAATATCCACCTACTGCGTCTCTGATTACATCCAATACTAGGAATGGCTGTCTTTGTAGGTCTGCCTAGTATAGAAGCGTGACGACCTGTCTTCCATAGTCACGGATATCGGCTATTCACTGCGCGTTGATTTCAGTTTGACCCGTCGAGCGTCTTGGACCATCCTATACTACGACCAATCCTCCTTCAACTATCAATATCTATAGAACTTTTATTCACCAACATACAGCTCGTAAAAATGATCCGGACTAGGGTTCTAAATTTATGAGGAATGTCACGACGTAATTCCTAGGAGAGGTTTTCCCTGTTCCGGGCCTGCCAGAATCACGGATATGAACCTACCAGACCCTCCCTTGCGCATGAACCCGCCAGACCATTCATGCGCATGAACCCACCACACCTGCTGTGGTCATGGAGCATGGATAAAAGCTTCGATCCTTTGTGTCCTATTCCACACTCTCGCAAAGGATAGCAATATTCTGCCACAGTCCGCTTCTCTTGCCACTGGAATGTAAAAATGTATAAGTAAGCTTAGTTACGTTTCGTAGACGAGTACATGAGCTTACCATGTATTCATCTAGATCGATGCTACAAAACCCGTCGTCTTCGCGGCTAGGGAAGATGCCTGATCCAGATCCAACGAGACTAGCTTTACAGTCATGTCTTGAGTACCTCGACGGGTTAGACCGTCGTATTCACGAGGAAATTCAGGAGACCCGCAGCTGCTTTTTAAAGCTTCTTGACAACTGCCAGTCAGATGTCACGATGGGGGATTCGGGCGGATATGAGAATACCGTCAAATTCCAAGCAGCATTCGATGATCTCAATGCTATTCTCGATTATGTTATTCCCGCGACGTTTGCGACATTGCGCGACCGCTTCTCTGGGTTACAGCCAGCACCCCATAGCACATCTTCCGGAGTCACGGGATGGTTGTCAGGGGGTACAAACACTCCCCTTGGTCAACCTCCTCAAGGTAAGTTCGCCATATTCACAGCCATTCCTTGAAACGCTTACCATGTACGACTAGGCCTATTGCCCGGCAGCACCTCCAGTTCTGCCAACTATGGGCCCGTTACTCAACCTTTCATACCTCAACCTCGGCGTAGCACGTACTCCGAGGTCTTCTCAGTAATCTATAACATGCGTGATATACGATGGCTGCCAGAGGATGCGTATCCTGTCGATCAAGATGAATTACAGGTCCCAGCAGATCTCATGGAGGTAAATGTTGAGCAAGCTACCTTCGCAGGCTTGCTGGAGGGCGATATTGACATCGAGGGGGCCGACGGCGATCCTGAAGACTCGACAGCATCCGTGTGCGATGCTCGAGCCGTTATCGAAGTTCCCAAGGTATGTTGTCATTAACCGACGTGATTATCATATTTTACTTACGTCCGTGTAGGATTTGTCAATCGACGACTTCTGCGTCCCATCGAAGGAACGTCTTGACATCGTACCCGGAGTAGTCGCTACGAGGGTCCGCCCCCGACGTGATGGATTCCCTCGTCAAGTATTTGATCCAAAGGATATTGCATGTCTCAGTTCTCCTACAGCACCTCTCAATGACGGGTGTATCAACGGTTGTGCTGCGCTTCTGTATTCCCAGTTAAAGATCTCGACTGTGGACTGCGCTATATTATCCACCTACGATCTTCCGCGCATCCGTTGGAATGCACGTGACGATAACATCTGGCGGAACACATCCTGGACTTGGTATTGGGAGAAAAATGTGTGGATCCTCCCAATCCATCGACCATCCAACGTCGGCCATTGGGTGATCTGTGTAATCTACTTTCAAACTAAAGAGCTCCACCTGTTTGACAGTCTTGCTGATCAGGAAGCTTGGGAACGCGATGTAAAGGTGTGTTCTTTGATTTTTTATACCAAGTGATAACCAAATGACCAAAATGTTTGTTTACAGGACATCATGAAATTGATCGAACGGTTCCTGACGATAGCACGTCAACGGCACAGCGGCGTTCAAATCGATCTCGAGGGTTGGCAAACTCGTGTGTTAAACGTAGGTTCTATGGCTCACACTAAGTAACATTGCTTGCTGACCTGGTTCAATAAGGTTAACCCATGCCAGAGCAACACTTATGATTGTGGCCTGTGGGTATTGGCAGCCATGATTGCTGTATTGCGCGGGCGGCATGTTACAGGCTTTCATGAGGAACAAATGTGTGACTTGCGGCATTATCTCTGTAATCTAGTCCTTTCCATACCCCCCACGAACGTAATGTGATGTATTACTATTCCATTGAATATATTGATTCTGCCCGAGTCCTTGAAGTTGCCTCCTCTCGACGAGCCTCTCCTCCGCCTCTTGAATCTTACTCTTGCATAGTATGCGACTTTGTTTAGTCTCGAATGTTTTGTTTGCAAAATACTCTCAATCTTGCAAACGTGACCGGACGTAATATTGGATTACTCCCCTTGGGTGGGTAATTCGTGTAATGCAGACCTTGCGATGCAGATCAATTTGGCAAGTCTTCCGTGCGGAAAGAAAGCATGCGTGATTGGAGGAACGATCACGCATTACATCCACTATGTACGTGAAAATTTGTGTACATCGTTAGCAGCCACCCTGAGTGACAGAATTCTTCACGGAACTATGATTCCGGGAAATGCAAGGATCTATGTAATCGGGCCGTGCTTCTCGTGCGTGCGATGCAGTCAAAAAGAAGTTGCTAAACGAAATAAACCCAAATAGAATAAAACCGCATTTCCTCAGGGTCATTTGGGTGTCCTGTACCCACCAGTATCGACGTCAATGCAAAGCATATCAACTTGAGTAATGGAAACACATCATGGCTACGCTTAGCAGACACTATATAATCGGGGGATCTGTTACATTCATATTCCGCAGTCAAGTCTGTGATTGTATCAGTGGTAAGGTGGGAATTGAAACGTTCGTTTCCGACACGTACGCAAGATAGAGCACAGGTCGAGCACTCAGCGCTCATTCATTGAGCACCGTCTGTAGACCAGCTAACTTCATTTTGACTCCTATTTCTAACAAGTAATCGAGACACTGATATGATTGAGCTTTTGGCCTGAATCTAAAATGTGTTGCGACTGACCTCTGTTTGGGTTTTTGCTTTCTGCCAATCGTCGCCTGATAGAAGAAGTTAACACGTAGAAACCGATATGATTGGCCGATGGCATACCCCACACATAAATACCGTGCCGCAAAACGAGAATACCAGCGGCCCTGGGATACTTCTCCATGGCCTCTTTCATGCTGTCCTTTAGGTCTTCTTCATTAGGCGTATTATCGATGATCGGGACCTCAAGGGTGTCAAGGTATGAAAGGGTTGGGCCATTTCCGCCAATTCGGACGCCCTTGATCATCTTTCCAAAGATCAATGAAGGAAGGGTGAAAAGCAAAAGCTCGATACCTCCTGTAAACAAGATCAGTATGAAATTTTCGTAGCATACTAGCCCGACTCACTTGATGAGAAATTTTGAACATCTTCTCTTTCTCCCAGAGTAGTGTTGCCATTACCGCGTTCTGAGAATGAGTGTGTATACACGAGCCAGCGTTACGAATCGTAAAAGCATTCCAGAAAAGCGGGGTGCATGCAGATTCTTTCAAGTTCAACTTGGGGCGACGAAGGAAAATCCTATCGGTATGTGGAGACGGTTCTGCCTGAGGATAAGGCAGGACGAATATATGCGAAGGCTCAATGCGCTCTTTTTGTACGCCTGAGGGGGCGATGTACACTTTATCGCTACCGGAAACTGATCAGCGCGTGTAAGGTGCAGTCGATAAGAAACGAACTGAGTACGAATACAGATACCCCCACCAGTACCGGTCACCCATCCTAATCTGTAGAAGGATGCGCATAGTTCTGATATAAGATTTGCAGGCTAATCATCGGGGATGCGATTCATGATCAGCATCATAGGTCGAATCAATATTTAACAGATACGGCTCACATGTAGAGGATCAGTGGACGTTACAAGAGCATCTTCTTGTTCTGTGCTTGCAGACATTGTATCAAGTTCGATTAGATGGCAATTGCCAATTGGGATCAAAGTCCGGCGATAACATAGTTGACCCTAACTAGGTAGCGGCGGCCCGGAGGCTATAGCGCCCACCACTTCACGGTTATGCTGTCCTATTCCGTATCTCCCTGTTCCGCATATGCATATTGTCCATGACGTTAACATCCAAGATATCGGCCCTCATCGCGTCTGGGTCGGTGAGATCTGTTTGGCTTTGTTATTTAACAAGGCGCCATCAATCGTTGAAGCTTGAAGCTTGCTGCTTGAAGTCTAGAATCCCCTACTTCGAAAGTTTTGACATTTATTAGATGTCTTACCTCGGAGAATGGCCAGACAGCGATCGGGATTCGGAGTCATCTTTTGCTGACTCCATCGATGATGACCACAATGGCATAGCCACGACGAGTCCAGTCGAAGAAAGTAGCTGGCACGACGAGTATACACCCCCCAAGAACAATAGAAAGTCCTCCACCATCTACTCTAAGGGCCCTGAAAGTGGCTCGGACAAGTCAATCTCTTCAAAAACACGCGATGAATTTCAGAAAATGTGTAAGAAGATCTACGGCGGTCCCATCTGCCTTGTCACGGGGATAAGTGACCCCATCGTTATGCAGATGGCGTATGTCATTCCACGAAGAACCAAAGGCAATATGGTATGCAGTTCTATGATCTATGAGATGCGTGACCCTAATGTTTCTTCAGTTAACGCTCTACGAATATTGCCTCGGCTTAGAGTTCAAAACTTTGCATGTTGACAGCAGGACAAACCTTTTTCCTCGTACGATACACCATGGCATCTTTTGTGACATTGTAGCACTGACGTTAGTCCACAGTCAACCCCTCTTGGCATACGCTTTTTGATAAAAAAACATGGCTTCTCCTGCCGGACGCAGCGACAATGAGAGACGTCCATAATCATGTCAAGGCAGTTATCGAATGGAGGCAAAGTCTCAACTCTAAAGTCATCATACCCCTCCGGTCACAGGTACTTGCGATCATGTCCCTCATGATATTGCTAAATTTAATTTTCTGCAGTGGCCATCCAATACCAAAACACAGTACAGTTTCATATCGATATCCTGCACAGCCTACTCGATCTCGCTCAAAAAGGATGGAGATTTTTTTACTTATCAACATCCTTTTTCCAACTTCCCGTTGCTCGAGTCTCACATCCTCCCTCCATATGCGGTGATAAATGCAGCTCAGAAGTTGAGCAGAAATCAGATCGATGGGATCGTTCGTGACCGTCATGCGGAACAGACAAAAGAGTTCGAGGAACTGAAACAGAGACTCACCCTCATGTGTGATACTTGGGATCTTTTCATGGGTGCCAAAGGCGTTGCGATGGCTTGGGGGAAGTCAGAAGTGGGGGATAAGTCAGAAGTGGTGGGTAATAGGAAGAGAAAACAGAGTGACTCGGGTCAGACAGACAGACATGGCACACGGTCCAAAACGCGTTCTGCACATGGTGGTACGCACCCGTCTAATCTACCCAGGGATATATCTCAGGATGACACTTAATACCCATCAGGCCATCGCAAACATGAACGGCCACCCGATTCAAGCGGGGCCACTCTCACTAAGCATGCAGTCTCACGTCTTGAAAAGCAGAAATCGGATGACTGGGAAGTTAGCATCAGACAATGGGTCGCAGAGTCGACCAGGGTCTCATCCTCAGTAGACCCGAATCTTCCGCTTGATTTTGCTCTTGCTTAGTAACATTTCTGCCCTTTTTTATCTCGATACCAGCGTCGTTCACTTACCTGTGCGACGGAGGAGTTTCCGCCTTCGAAAGCGCATGGAGTGATGATCTTTTTCAAGAGTGTCACAACGTTACTTCCAGTGCCCTGCTGGTCGCTCATCTCAGCTTCACCAACTTCCAGCCCAACTGCTTTCGGTTTTTTTTCTCGTTAGCTGACTCTCCCAATTCCATCATCATTGGAATCCTACACCGTACAAGTGGCTGCGCAATACTGTCGTCAATCCTATCAGCCTCGGCAGGCCCTCACCATAGCTGAAGCTATGCGAAGTTGCGAACCCTGCGTTCAATGATTGACTGACTGTCTTGGAATGTTTCGGAATGCTATCTACAATAAGTGGCTCCATGCGGTAATGTTGACCCCGTAGACGATGAAGCAGAGTTTTTGAGGCCCGCGTGGAGATAGCGGCGGTTGAAGGCAAGGCGGCGCATACGCATGCAAGCTTCAGATCCGTCCGCGAGAGACGGACAAAGGTTCATCCACGTCAGCAGTATGCTTCCGGCGCGACAATTGAGCTATCAAGGCGGGGAAATGCGCAGATTTGGTGGCTTGTGGTGCCGGAGCGACGCCCATAATGCTGGCCATCGACACAATAACCTATGTGATTACAGATGGTGTTATGGCTTCTGCATACGGACCCGAGTGACTGCGCCTGCGGGAAGCATCAATCAGTGGTTTCGGCCCTGAGATGTATCCTCCAGCAGCACCAAAACCTTTGCTGAACGTGCCCGATAATCAATTAATCACTTATCAGCGCGCGTAAGGTGCAGCCGACAAGAAAGGAACTGAGTACGAATACAAATACCCCCACTAGTACCGGTCGCACATCCCGATCTGTAGAAGGATGCACATGAGAGCTCTGATATAAGATTTGCAGACTGATCATCGACCGATTCGACGTCCAGCGATTAGTTGACCCTAACCCTACATGCATTAAACGATTTTAATCGGCTAAACTACGCTAAGTTCCAACTACGCTACTGTCAATAACTACAATACCGTGACGAGCCTTTGCACAGGAGCCTCATCCGAGGTTATCGATATCCCGAAGCATTCAACAACTATAGCGAGAGTTCATGTATGATAAAACCATACTGGTGCGTTCAACTAACCTTGTGGAATTTTGGTTACTTAAATAACCTCTGGCGCTAAGGTAACCTTACACAGCAACCCCGTCGTTGCCGGCAGTGCGGTCAAACAACTTGAGACAAGCGCTCGTCCTTTCAACTTGACTGCATTCAACCACCATCCAGCAAGCTGGAATAGCACTCCAATCGATTATCTATTCTATCTCAAACATCCTTTTTACGTTGCTATCTCCATTGCTCAATCTTTTCAGTGCCGCCCAGTCGAACTGTGAGCACGCTTACTGGGCAGGCTGATACCTAAGTATCGTTTCACGACTTCCTCCGGACTCGAAAGAACGAAGTTTCAGCTTAGACTTTGATTGTTCGATTAACGTCGTCGGCCGTCGTCCCCTCTGAGATAGCATGACATCGCCATTACGATTTCTGATTATACTGTTGAACCCAACTATGTAGTGCTTCCCTAACTTGTTTCATTCAAACTCACATTTTGTGTCGGATTCTATCATCAACCTCTGTCGATAAGTAACTCAGATCAATGTAAATATCTCCTTCCCTTATCAACTCTCTCGCTCTCTGACCTGACTGACAGTTCCTGGCGAGTTTCTAGCAATGGCCGAAGGTACTTGGGAGAAGCTGTGCCAGGTCGCTATCCTAGGTGCTGAATATGACTCCCCTGAACGACAGCCCCATCCGAAATGTTTGGAAGGGACCCGAGTGGATCTTCTCAAACTCATTGACGGATTATTGGACAAGCGAAAGAGGAGTCGAATCATTTGGCTGCATGGCACGGCAGGCGTCGGAAAGTCTGCTGTGGCTTTCACTGTAGCTGAGAGGATGAAAGGTCTGAAAATGACGAAAATCGAAACAAGGCTTGCGGGGACATTCTTTTTCTCGCGCAAGCACACGAACCGCAGCACGACCGGTCATTTCTTTGCAACTCTTGCCTACCAGCTTGCGACCAATTTTCCCAGCGTCCAGAAGGACGTGAATAGGGCTATCCGCGAGAATCCTGCGGTTCTAAATCCCAGCAAGTCTCTTGGTGACCAGATGAAGGCCTTATTTCACCGACCTCTCTGGCACCTGGAATCCAGGCTGCGCGAGTGTCCGCCTCCGGTGTTTGTTATCGATGCCCTCGATGAATGCAAACCTGAAACTGTCGCCGATCTCATCTCCCTCCTTAGTCAAGCTCTTCGTGATCCTGATCTTCCTGTGTTCCACATTCTACTCACGAGTCGCTTGGAAGAGCATATCCGTAAAGCCATTGAAAAAGAAGATATGCGTACACTGGTGTACGAGATACCGGTGAACACTTCTGGGGAGGGCGTTGTTGGCACCATTTCGTTAGACGGCGAAGATGTTGACAATGATATCTATATATTCTTGCAGCATTCCTTCACAGAGTTGGGCAGTCGCCATCCTGATTTCCCGCAGCCCACCACGGATAAGCTTACGCGGCTGGCGAACCGAGCTGGGAGACGTTTCATTGTGGCATCTACAATGATGAAGTTTATCGATGACGGATACGGTGACCCCCGGGATCGCCTTGCGCTCATGCTCGAACTGACTAATGAACTGCTACCTGAAACACAAGTGTACAAGTTATACGACTGTATCCTCGACACCTGTTCGAACCCTAGCCGGGCATACCAGCACTTGTCCATTGTTGCTGCCCTTGCAGACCCTCTGCCGATCTCACAGATCTCGAAGCTTCTTGGTCCTGTTCAAGGCAGTGATGTCGCAGCCGTACTGGTACAGCTACGGTCTTTCATGGATATTCCCGCCGAAAGCAGTCAACCCGTGAATATCTACCACTCATCCATTCGGGACTATGTTTCAGACTTCTCAAACTGCAGCCTCTTTGGATTACAACCCATCACAGCACCACATTCCCTGCTCGCTTATTCCTCTTTCCGCTTGATGATCCAAGACACTCCAGAAAGCACAGACCTCCTGAATGCGCTCTCAGCATTGAAGGAGTACAACCAAGCTACGCAAACCTATGACCCCAAGAGCTTGCAACGGTCATTAGCCTTCGTCGTTGAGCCACCGGAGCCACTGCATGTTCTTACGGGTTTGTTATGGCTTCGAGGAGTTCGCGGGTCGGGTTTGCGGTCCTGGCTAGAGACTTTGGACGGACGTACATGGCTGCAGACCCAAGATGGGGAAGACTATCTGCGGACCCAGAAAGGAGAAGACTGGTTGGAGACCCGGGGCGGGGGGCATTGGCTGCAGACCCACACGGGGGACACTTGGTTGCAAACTGAGAGAGGGAGAGGTTGGCTGCAGAGCAGGCCTGTGTGGCTGTGGACTCAGAGACGACGACAAGTTGCCGGAGACGCTGGTGAGCAAATGCCATTAGAGACTTTCGAACGGGCGAGACTCGCTGGAGACCATCAGCGGGCAAGGCTGGCTGGAGACATCGAGCGGGCGAGAATGGTTACAGACCCAGACCGGGGGGGAGTGGCTACAGACTCAGACTGGAGGAGAGTGGCTGCAGAGCCGACGCGGGGAAGAGTGGCTTCAGACCTCGAGCGGACAAGTGTGGTTGCAGCAGACTCCGAGTGGCCAAGAATGGCTACTGACCCAGAGGGGACGAGAGTGGCTGCAGACCCAGAGTGAAGAATGGCTGCAGACCCCGAGTTGCCAAAAATTGCTGCTGACCCATAGTGGCCGAGAATGGTTGCAGACCACGTTCGGGGAAGAGTGGCTGGAGAGACATGGGCCAGAGTGGCTGGACACCACGAGTGGGCGACACTGGCTGTACACTAGGAGCGGGGAAGAGTGGCTGGAGAAAATTGGGCCAGAATGGTTGGAGAAAATTGTGCTAGACTGGCTGGACACCGCGAGTGGGTGCCATTGGCTGGGCACCAAGAGTGGGCAAGAGTGGCTGGGGAGAAATGGGCCAGAGTGGCTGGACAGTAGGAGAAACTTGCTGTGCACCAAGGGCGGGCGAGAGTGTCTGGAGAGAAATGGGCCAGAATGGCTGGAGAAAAATGGGCTAGAGTGGCTGGACACCGACAGCGGGCGAGAGTGGCTGGACACTGACAGTGGGCGAAGGTGGCTGGACACCTAAAGTGGGCGAAGGTGGCTGGACACCAAGAGCGGGGGAGAATGGCTGAACACCAAGAGCGGGGGGGAGTGGCTGGACACCCACAGCGGGCGAGAATGGTTGGGTGCCGATAGCGGGCGAGTGTGGCTGTACACCAAGAGCGAGCAAGAGTGGTTGGGTGCCGATAGCGGGCGAGAGTGGCTGAACACAGAGAGCGGGCGAAAGTGGCTGGACACCGAGAGTGGGCAACAATGGATGGACCACCAATCGTTGGAGGATATACCGCGCACCTGGCTGCAGAACCCAAGTGGGCGGAAATGGCTGCAGACCCGAAATGGGCAGATATGGTTGCAGACTCAGGAGCAGTTACAGATTCGGGAGCGGTTGCAGACTTGGTGGTGGTGGTGGTGGTGGTGGATTCAGACTTGGTGGTGGTTGCAACGGATGATTTTCATTCCACAGAGCGGCCCACGAGTGATCATCAATATAGACGATTCGCTGGAAACTCTGAGTGGGCAAGACTGGCTGCGTTCCCAGAGTGGGAGGGAGTGGCTGGAGATGCAGGGCGGGAGGGAGTGGCTGAAGACGCAGCGCGGGATGGAGTGGCTGGAGACGCAGCGCGGGATGGAGTGGCTGGAGACGCAAGGTGGGAGGGAGTGGCTGAGGACCCAGAGCGGAGGGGAATTGCTGAAGGAGCGCGACCGCCTGCAGACCCCAAATGAACTGCAGACTCCGATCGGACATACATGGCTGCGCACCTTTCACGGGCGAGAGTGGTTGATGACCCAGAGTGGACGAGAGTGGTTACTGACCCAGAGCGCGCAAGAGTGGCTCCTAACCCCAGGAGGGCAAGAATGGCTGCATTCTCTAGGTGGACGAGGGTGGCTGCGCACCCCAGGTGGGCTGCAGACTGAACATGGCCAAGAATGGCTACAGACAAAGAGTGGGCAAGAGTGGCTGCAGACCATGGGCGGACGAAAGTGGCTGCAGACCATGGGTGGACGAGAGTGGCTGCAGACCCATAGTGGACGAGGGTGGCTTAAGACATCGCATGGACAAGCATGGCAGTCGACCCATGCGACATCTGTCTGGGTGACGATGGAAGACTTCTCGAACACGTTGGAAACAATCAGCGAGTACGCAATCATCCCACAATTGCATTTACTTCCAGCTTTTCAAGCAATCCAGGAGTTTAAGAGCTTATCAGATTTCTTAATGTTCCCGGCGTTCCTGGCGTTAAGACCCCAGGATCATTCCACCTCTGCATCCCTACAGGATTGTCCAGACATCGACGTCGTCCATGTTATGACCGCATTCGCGATTTTCGCAACCGAAGCACGGGAGCGAAGTCAATCATCTTCTGACGCCCTGAAGTACGCATACCAAAACTGGGTCGTCCATCTCTAGCGAGTTCCAAGTCTAACAGACAACACGCTCAACTGTGTATTCAAGGTCTTCTGGGATCGCCACCTCCTCTCCTGGCTTGAAAGGCAGTGGTGCTTGAAGGGCTTGCGGTTTTGCCTCCTTGCATTATCCGAAGGGCAGAAACTTGCACAAGTGCGTTCTCAATGAATTAAATGTACTCAGCACCTGACCTGCGCATAAAGGAACGTCTCATTGAAGCTACAGGGTCATCTCGGTCCCAGGTCCGAAACTGTTGATTTTATCACTAGATGTCATGCTGTCTTGTTATCTTGCATTGATATTTCCCTTTAGCCTACTGATGTAACTCAGGCACTGCATATAGTAAATATGGTTGAACTACCTCGTCAACTCGAACATCGTCGTAGGCCTACACTGGGGAATTATGGACCGGTGGAAATGTCACACGAACTTTAGATTCTACTTAGATTGTCACTGTATTTTAACTACATAACCGCGAAATGACAATATGGTACATACTGTCGTATCCCCATGCCGTTCCCACCAATATTATTCTTATGTGCAGCTGGACTTGAATGCGGAATTCAAAGTTAAAACCCGGCGGCCATGACCGGCGGCTCAGAGGCTATTGTGTCCACCACGTCATACTATGTTGCTGCGCGTTTTTTTCCTGTTTCTATCCGTCCTGTTCCGCATCTCTCTGTTCCGCACATTGTGCATGAGTGGTATTCCAAGGGAAATTTGATTTAACCCTGTAATTGCGATGTACCCGAGAAGTTTGGCATATACTGGATCTAGACTTGGAAGCGTGCCGGACCTAAACAGTCTAGAGATTTATGGGCGAAGTCCGGCATGTATCATAGAGCTGTGCTGGAACCTACACCACGCATGAGCCTGTACCGGCACCACCGGAGACAATCGGACAACAGCCACAGCAACTTGCAAATCATGACATAGTGGGCGCGCGAGATGTGTACCATTGTATTACCACATACGCACGACGCGGGCCATTTGGTGACGCAAGAAGCAAGGCTATAGCTAACAACCCCAAGCTACGTGAAGGATCTCCAACTTGCGTATCTTTGCACAACCGATGCCAAGATCCGTTTCTAGAATCCGTTATATTTTGTCTCTTGCCTCTCAGGGGGTTCCAAGCACGGTCCCGGCGGTACTTCTCAACCTTCCCACCTCAGTGGGCCACCTGTGCACACGAGATCTTGAGGCGTGGTTCCTCACCGCTTCATCGTTTCATTTTCAGGAACATTTTAAACTGTATCGACAAGGCTGTACTCAATACTGCCTGATATATGAGGTCCGAGTGTCTTACTTGCACAGCCTCAAGGACTTGCTGTGTTTCTTAAATAGCATGTCGGTCATGAAGACATGCGCACCTACAACCTTCGCTCATCTTTTGCATCATGCAGGCAATAACGACGCCAACAAATCCCGTCCCACCTAAATCATACAATTTCAGCCTGGAGGATATGAAAAACACGAAAATATTCAATAACCAACCAGCTTCCCCTCTGTACTCGGTGGTCACCGACATAAAGTCAGACAAGCGGACTGAGATCTTTGATGCTCGTGGCAATCGCTTGTTGGCTAGGGTCGACAGGAGAGATATCCTGCCAGACACCATCACGTTTCCCAACCGAAATAATGGCTCTTCAATAAACCTCAGTAAATGGCTGCAGAAAAGCAAGCTTGAGAATGGACAGTACGTGAACTGGTATAGGTGAGCGCAGTCCAGTGACTGACGTGCAACACAGTCATATCCACTCCATTGAGACTGCACATGGAACTTACGTGTGGAAGTCAGACGCCGAATACCGACTTGCTGTAAGTCAACACGCGATACGTCGCCTGTGCCACTCTCTGACGTTTGCTCTCGCGAATTACGTTCTGTTAGTTGTATCGGAAGGGTGACATGTCCAACCCTGTTGCGCACCTCCAACCGGGAACGCGGACCCAAAACTTCGCGGTAATCATGCAGGAAGAAGCGGAGCTCATTCGCGACGACGTCATCGTGTCCTTCTTGATTCTCGAACAACGCCTAAGAATATTTGAGAAGAACATCGTCGTCGGAGGGGGAAAGTTCGAGCAAAATCGCACGGTATTGGGACATCGCGTTAATACACCGTGATTCCCTGGGCGTGGATCCACGTCAAGGATCTTGAGTCTGGAAAACTATAGATTTCTTGGGGTAACGTGAACTAGTTCGCAGCTGAAAGGGGGTACCATTCTTTGGGATTGTATACGGGGACGCACACGCAGACTTGAAGAAATGCATGCCAGAACTTCATCCATATATTTAGTGTAAATAAAATTATCGTCGATCGCCTAAGTTGAGCAGGCGAAAGCGCACCCAGGTCCACCCCTGTTCATCCCCTCCAATAGTTTGGTTTTATGAAAGGCATCGGGGAGACGATGGCCTTCCTCATTTTCTTTCGGATGTCAATTTCAACCTCGGTGCCTTTCTTGTGGAAGCCAGACTTCACATAGCCCATCGCAATATTTTTCCCAAGCGTGGGGGAAGGAATGCCTGACGTGACCACGCCAATCAATTCTTTTTGAGGCGATGAATATATTTGGGCGCCCTCTGTATGGTGGTTATTAGCATCAAATTTACGGAAAAAAGGTAGCAACTGTTCTCACCTCGGGCAGGCGCACCATCCACGACGAATCCCACTCGGCGTCTCGGAGGGCCATCTTTCAGATGTTTACGTACCCCTTCCGCTCCAATGAAATCTCCAGTCTCTTTACGTTCCTTGCCTGAACGTGCAGTCAGTTTTACGACATCATTCTCACGCTAAGGGATTCTCACCGATGACCCAAGTCAAACCAGCCTCAACAGGAGTAGTATCCTCGTCCAAGTCATGACCATATAAACACATGCCAGCTTCTAGACGTAGGGAGTCCCGAGCACCCAGACCTGCCAGTTGCACTGGGGCTTTGCTGAGCAATTTGGTAACATCTGCCGTTTGAGATGGTGGTATCGAGATCTAGAATTGTGAGAAAGCAAACCTTAAAAAAATAGTCAAAGTGTGCCCACCTCAAATCCGTCCTCACCGGTATAGCCTCCCCGAGCAACGTGCAGGTTGAAACCCTCGATGGGTATAAATGCAGACTTGCCAAATGTTAGCTCACGTAAATCGAAGGAGGTCAAGCTCTGCAGATACTGCGCAGCTGCAGGACCTGAAACACGAGTCAGAGGTTAGGGAAACCAGCTAGGTCACGCTGACCTTGCAACGCAACAAGTCCCCAATCCTCCAAGATCTCGTGCTCCACCTTTCCACTTTTTGCGCTATCACTAGCATTCCACTCCTCAAGCTTCTCCTTGAACCACGTGAGATCCCTATCCCGTCTTCCAGCATTTGTCACCACGTAATAAGCATCTTCTGAGTGCTTCGTGATGACGGTGTCGTCAATGATACCCCCCTTTTCATTCAGGATAACAGATAAGGTAGAAGTATACGGGGCGAGGGACGTAAGCGACGAGGGCGTCAACCACTCTAAAAATGCTGTAGCAGTACGTCCCCGGAAACTTGATTTGTTTCAGTTTGCAGTGTGGTAATGATGAAGGTATAATGCGACCCACTTAGATTGTACCATGTGTCCAACATCAAATAAACCGGCATCGGTGCGGACATGAGCGTGACTGGCAACTAGAAACCAATCATTAATGCGATGCTTCTGAAAGCCGAGTGCGACCGCACCTTGGCCGACGTTCCCGTAGGCAAGAGGCATTTGATATCCAGCGAATGGCACCATCTTCGCGTCATTCTTGATATGAAAGTCGTAAAGACCTGTTTTCCTAAGGGTCTGAACAGAGGTCTGTGAGAATAATGTTTTAGCTAGCAGGTTTGCAACGACCTACTCCTTCTGTAGAGGTTGCTAATCCTCGAAGGTTGGTCCAACCTGGCAAGCTACGGTGAGTTCGACATCTTGACCCAGAGAGAATAAAACGTCGAGCTGTGCATGTAGATAGAGTACGAAGGGTCGACATTATGATCCAAATGGTAGTCTAAAGTTGGTCTAAGATAAGCTGTGAATTTGCGGTCTTCCGTCTCAGAAGTCGGGTGGGAGTTACATACGGTTAGTACTGACAAGTTACTAGCTATTGTGTCGGACTTGTACTACGCTATACTCTCAGTTTCAAACAACTTACCACCTTCTCAGCTGCATACATTATAATACCATGCTCATATGTCTTCCGTGCGCACAAGGACTGTGGCTCCCACCAAATGACGAACTTCAGGATGGCCACCACCGCCGGGACGACCCCTCCTAGTCGGTTCCTAATCAGAACCAATCACTCAGTGATTGCGCTCAATATCCCCCGGAGGAAATTTGTGAAACCGTTGCTTGCGAAGTCATCATCATCATGATATGGGCATCCAGGAATCAGGATTTCAAGTCCTGAATCTGAAACTCGATATTGTTATGGATGTTGGAGACCGGCTCACAGGACACTTGCCGGATGATAGTTGTTACGTGCCCAGATCATCATGATCATCCGAAAAGTTCTCGTGATGATAGCAAACTGGTACGAGGTACGTACTACTACTCAATTGAGATATAAACACTAGTGACAGTTGTCGTTTCTCATGTTCGGTCAGATTCACTGATGCCACTTCTCAGGCTTGTCTTAGACATCGATTCACCATGGACTCTGCAGCGACGCTCGTCAACCCCACTCCGCCTACACCCTACTTCATGACCAGCACTAATCTAAAGAACGCCATATTTTACGCGCAACCTGGTATCCCACTGTACACGATCACCAACGATGGGAAACAGACAATAGTCAACGACCGTCGTACTCCTGGTCGGATTGTTGCCATTTTCCATCAGCGAGAATTTCTCCCAAATACTATTTCATTTCCAGAACGGAATGGTAGCGCATCCATCAGCGTGCAAAAATGGCTCCGAAAAACCAAGCTTGCAGACGGAACGTAAGCCGTGCTTTGCCTACAGAACGACCTTTGGAGAATTCACGAGTTGGATACTGTAGAACTGCTTTTGTCATGGGGACCGATTACGGGCCATGCGTGTGGAAGATGATCTCAAGCCATCGTCAAAAGGTGATTTCTCTTCTTCACAAAAGTGCCTTTCCTCACCACTGCCTCCGTCCTACAGGTTTACGCTCAATGTGACTTGGACAGGCCAATAGCATCATGTTCATTCCATACCACGGTGTCAAACGGAAAGCCTGCATTTTCACTGGAATACGATGCAGAGCCTTTGCGTGAAGATATTCTGGTGGCTTATCTGCTCCAGAAACAACGAGTAACGTCAGAGGACAGGCTTATCGATGTCTTTGTAGGATCTCCAGCAGGGTAGACAAGATTTCATGGACGCTGTTTATAGGGCTTGGGACATCTCTACAGAAGTAAGGTTACTTATCTCACTGAGACTTGCTCATACATATCGCACATAATTCAGTCTCTCGACTTATCGATGATCTTGGGACTGACTTGTCCGCCTGTAAACTCACCACCAGGGCATCGATTTACTGGGGTTCCCAACGAGCCAGTGCGTTCTCGCCAGTAGGCATATACCATGTTTATCCATGCCAGCGCAACACAAATTGAAGTATTTCAAATTTCAAATTTCCCAGCGTCAGTCTTCAACGGGAAACATTTCGTATTCCTACTCGCATTTCAGGTGATCATCTAGTAGTTGTATCAATATGCTTCCCTACAAGATTTAGTAACGTTAAACGAACTGAGCCTCCAGTACTTCCGAGTCATACTTGTAATATGATGATCAAGGTGACTGTCGTTCTTTCGCAGAATGATTCAGACGTGAACAATTAAAAGTGGTGAATATTTCCATGACAAACATATGTTCTACTCCCTCCATGCTGCGATACATGGCCATGGAAAACATCTGGGCAGAAATTTGCAGATATGAGCGAGAACTCCGACTTGACCCCAGAGAAGCGCTCACTGGCAAGCGCTCATTCCTCCATGATGTGAGAAACTCGAATTCAGCTTGATCAGGAACCCTAACCCCATTTTTAGGTTTCCCTTCTCCGCAACTTTGCAAAAACATGGACATCCAAACAGTCATCTAATACGACCATGTCATCCACAGCTCTGCAATCCATCAGCATCTCATGCGAAGAAGGCCTTGATGGCGTTGATGGATCAGCTAGATTCTCCTTCTGCCCTTCTTGCTCAGCTCTTGCTTCAGTCAGTGGTCCCATTGCAGCCCGCCTAGCTGCTGAGCACCCTGCTCGCGCAACCGTCGAAGTGCACGTCCGTCCGCTCTCATCAGTGCCAGGAACTGCAGAGAAATCTCGTGGAATGGCCATACGAGAGATCGTGGAACGCTCGTGTCTTCTTGCACAACATCCTCGCACTCTCATTCAGGTTGTCGTTCAAGCTTTAACGAACCCGACCCCCGGTTATGCCCTTCTCGCAGCCGAAATCAATGCATGCACACTTGCTCTTATTAACACCGGTTCAATCGCGATGCGTGGAGTGGTTTGCGCGGTTTCTGTCCGTAGAGTGAAGAAGGGGAGCGTGGTTTCTGTGGAGGTTGACATAGCCGATGATGCTGTACGTGAGGGAGGTGGATGTTTGCTTTCCTGTTTGGGTTTGCCCTGTCAGGACCGATAAAAGGAAGTGTACCACCCTGTGAAGATGTTTGGTCAACTTACAGCGCTCGCCCTGGGTCATCTTTTGATCAGGCTGAGCTTGTAAGGGCTAAAGAGGTGGCACGGGAAGCTGCAGCGGAGGTGTGGCAATGCATGAAAAATAACATACCCCATCAAAAAATGGTAGGAGAGACACAGTCACCAGAAGAAGTCGTTGTCAAGATGGAAATATAAGTGCCGTCGGACGAAGGGCTGTACATAGAAATTGTACGTATCCCCTGCTCTATTCACTCCGTTGCTGTTCAAGAAGTCAACTCTTCTAGACTTCATATCCAATTAGTGGCATTGACTTGAAAAGCTGCATTCATTGCATCCTGTCAGCTTTGCGCTGCACGCCTACTCCTGTGATTGTGACATCTTTAGCCCGCGGCGTTTGTTGCACAGGGATAATATTAACGCCATTCGTGTAACGACTGCGGGTGCCGTATTTCCACTGCTTTGATTGTCCATCAACTGCAGTCTGCCAGGCATGCTAAGCGTTTCACGGAGTTTAGGGTATGTTCACTCAGATGGTCCGCCGATGATGGTAGACATCCTGTACAGCGGTACCTCAACCCTCGTTTGTCGAGCGCTGAAGCCACGTCCTCCGGCCTCCCCGATGAATTGGCAACCGTATTCGAATGAATCTCGAAATTCGCTAATCAAATTGTGTCACACGAAGCGATGGTCCCGTACGACTTTTGCCACGCGCTATTTACAATGAGTCCCACCACCTCCAAAAACATGCGAGCGTCGGGTTTACCCTAACCTCCAGAGTGCAGAGGTAAGCGTTTAGACAGCTGTAATGCGGCACTTTCTTAGTACCCTATCTTGCTCACAGGTCTGTATTTGAGACTGTCACGTCACAGGATGAGATATTTTTGCAATTAATGTCGCAGTCAACGGTTGCGGTCTGCCGCGTCTCTGGCACATGAACGCCATGTACGACGTCACAGATACCTTCAACTCTATTTCAGGGTTTCACTTCCGAAGTGAGGATAGACGCGGGGCTGGAGTGATAGATCCCCATACCTTGGATAGGTAACTCCACACTGTTTGAAGCTCTTACCATCTCAGGCTTGTGTAAGAGAAGTGCTGATCATTTGTGGGGCAGCTCGGACCATCATGAGATAAGTGTCAGGGTGCAGGGATATTGAACCTACCAGTCAAATCTACATCGATAACGACTTTGCGAATAGCGACTTCGACCTATCCAGAAATGCCGCATGGTCCACCTATGAACTTCAGAAATCTGAGTGCCCAAGCCCTTGCTATCGTCGGTCTGAGGAAGACTTATGATTCACGAACACATTGATGGGGCCCAAACCCCGCATGTGTTCCATGACAGGCTGGTATTTATGTAAGTTCCCTATAAGCTCGCCGCCACAGGTCGCTACCCAGTCAGATCCCGAAGTCATATATGAGTAACGTAACTTGCGTGTCAGACGTCTCAACATGCGTACCCGTCATGCCCTTGACACTTACAAACCTGTCGAAGGCTGACACATCGATGAGTCTTGAAAAACGTGCTGATGTGACATTGAGAATCAGTGTCTCTTGGGCTGTGACAACAATATGATATCGTAACCTGAGCACACTCACCATTGGGACATACAACGGACATGAATCATTACAAGTAAATATCACGCAAGCTCCAGGAACCCGAGCTTGACGGCGGGGTACCTCCCAGTAGTACTACACTAAGGAAATATAGCCTCGTCATCTCCGGTTCGTGCAGTGCTATGACTATAGTACTTAGGAGTCGAGGTTCGTAAGGTCGTAACAAATGAGCATGCTCAGAACTCTAGTTCATTAATGCGAGAGTGTAGTTTTTCCATACTGGGGCGTTGTTGGGGAGCTAACCAACATTGCTGGATAACGCTCCATTGAGTATCGTTAACGCAGGAGCTGTCTGGGCGCAGTGGCGTGACACCTGTAGATATCGCAAAGAAGACCTGTGCGTCACGCTGGAAGTAATGATAAGGGACCTTGCCAGAAAGGACCTAGGGCGAGGCTGAGGACATATTCACTGAGACAAAAATACACGCACTTGAAGCATGATACATCCAAAGGAATATACGTCACCTTGAGTACTAGGAAAGCCTATAGAATTGCTTGATTCGTCGGGAACTTGAAAAAGCTCTGGTCCGATCCATCTCACCGCTCCTCCAATGGAAGAAGAGAAATAAGTCTCGCTAGAAAACTCCAGCAGTAGAGTTGCCATCCCAAAGTCAGCCACACATGCTCGTCCGAGATCGTTGATGAAGATATTGGACTAAACAAGGTATTAATGTCGCCCAATAGAATCGAGTGGTGCATACCCCAGAAAGACTTCCGTGGATGACGCCATGGTGATGCACTGTCAGAAAGCTTAAATGGGCGCGAGCAATAGAGGGAAAGTTAACACATACGATAAAGGACTGCGGAAATGATTTCTAAGAGCTGTATAATCCCGTGAAATGGGTCAGCAATCGTGACAAGTGTGATGGCCGCTCACCATTGCCTTTCGAGTTGAGGCAGTGGTTTGATGGTAGTTTTGCTCCAAGTAACGTGTTAGAGTGCCATTCTTCATCCATGGGCATACCAAAGCTGGTAATGGGCCAAATCCAAGTGTCATCCCGAAGATTGGTATAACATTCTCGTGATCCAACCCCAGCCATCCTTCAATTGCTGTACTCAATCTCTGTATTTGACATTGAGCACACAACAGGAAGTTCAATTCCAAAAGACTTGCCTTGCTCTTCCCTTCCCTGTCCAAATCACTTCCGTGCATCCTAATAGATTTTAACTGCCACCTGCGGTTTGCCAGTGAATGTATTCTAAAACGTTAATGAGATATAAATACCTCAACGGCCCCGGAATCCTTCCTCCAGCTGCACTTCCACACATCACAATACCCTCCGTATGCTGTAGGATAGGATCCCTTTCCTTCTATTTGTCCCGTAAGAATACCACTGAACAGAACAGTGTTACATTAGTGTTGAAGCGAGTAGAAACCAATGATACCTTCTTGTCTGACCGTCGGCAGGATATACCTAATTCGAATGCAATGCACGTCAGTATATTATAGAAAAGCTACGTGAACGACTAAGGACGTGCTGCTCGAGCTTGAGCGTAGAAAAAAAAGTGAAACTTGCCTGATTTACCCACAAGCCCGAGAGAGGCAGCTGTTGGAAGAATCTCACGATGACGGCTCCAAGCCATGACCGAACTAAAGGATGGTCGTCGCGCTCAGACATTACACTTTACAATAAGGGCAACTCCCAACACTTTGGGAGTAAGGTTCGAGAAAAATGCAAATGTACGTTACACGTACTTATAGTTACCAAGGCGCTTGAATTTTCCAAGCAGTGTGAACTTGGTGCTAGTAGCGTGTTTCAATTTTCACATAATTCACAATCACCGTGGCTGTACTGAGCATCTCTGAATTCTCCTGGGGCTCTACAAGCTTCGCTTTTCCTCTATCTGCACGAGTATCGTGACAAGTTACGATATTTGGGGAACTTGGGGTGGAGAACGAAGCATTTCAACTTCGGAAGTTGGCTCAAATTGCTGTCTAGGAATTCGGGGCAGTGCTGCAGTGCACCCGAGTCTTCTCATGCCTGTTATCGCCGCGGTAACTGAAAAACCAAACTAGCACAAATAGTACTTTGTAGAACGAGTCGAATGCAGTAAAGAATGCTACCTAGTATGTACTGCAACTACTTATAGTCTCCCAAACTTCCGTGCATCGTCCAGTTCCCTTTTGATGAATTCGGCTATATCCTTCACTGTTACAGATCGTTCTTGCTTCTTACGCCAGCAGCGTCTCATGAATTCCCAATGACGGTCATCAATGGGAGGTTCGGGAAGTCGTAGAGGTTCCCTGCCCTTGAACTTCTCACTGATGACCATAAAATCCGTCCACCTATCGTAGGGTACGCGGCCAGAAAGTACCTGTCGTGGAGTTAATAATCATATTAGCAATTTGGTACACAACGTGGCTGGTTGACTTGCCTGCAGCATTACGCAACCCACAGAGTAAATATCACTCCTTATACACGCACGGCACGGAGATCCGTCTTGCAGGGGCATCAATAACTCTGGCGCAGCCCAACGTACATTCCCTGGCTTGCAGGACGTCGAGTATGAATGTCCCGTGAGCTCCTCATGCAAGAAGGAGAGGCCAAAATCACACAAAAGCGGCTCTCCTTGTCCGTCAATCAGTATGTTCGACTACAGATGAACATGTCAAATCCCAAATGAATATCATGGTTCATGAACATACTCCTGTGATGTCACCATGTACAACCTCTTGTGAATGAACTAGAAGCCCGTACATCAAAAGACGCCATGTGCTTGTTGGAGAGTACTTACGATATGAGACTGCTGATACCAATCCTTGAAGCTTGGAGCACAGAATACGTAAGTCGACTTTGTTTGGTGAATCAGAGGATCAAACAGGTACTTACAATGCGGAATCTCAACCCCAAAGAGAGATCCTCGTGCTTTAATTCCAGGTAAAAATTCAATGAACCGTGCTCAACCCATGGACAAACTAGGGCTGGAAGAGGGCCAAACCCCCATGTAAGTCCGAGGAGCGGTAAGATGTGCACATCTTTCAGGGTAGCCCATATTTTTGCCTCCCTGCACAGTCGCTAGTACAGAATCAGATCGCGGGTTTACAGAGGATGTCGACAGCTTACCTTACTCTTCTTCTCTCTATCTTTAACATCGCCCTGAATCCTGATTGCTTTCACAGCGACCTAGTGGACAGTCAATATGTGTGGGACTGACGGGCACAATTCAGACGAACCCTCATACTATCCTTCCCGATCCAGATGCATTTCCATACATCGCTGAATCCGCCGATGCTGTTAGGGAAGGCACCCTTGTCTTTAATCTGTCCACTGAGATCAGGAAGGCCGTCTATTAGGTCAATGTATCTGATTCGCCATGATTTAGAGTGAAATGCCAGAATCACTAAGCCACCAACATTGGTTCGTCAGCTTCATGGCTTGTGACTGGCTGTGACGCCGCTAGGTGATGTACGATGTCCATCCGAGGTTGATCCTGCAATAAAGCGTTCGACAGGCTACTCCTGATAGAGGAAGTAGAATTACACACTAATACATCTGGACCGGACTCAAACGAACGGCCGTTCACAGGGGGCTTGGAGGGCAGAAGACGGAGAATTCCTTCCCAGAACGAAGACCACCCACTAGTTGGGCTAACTGGTGACTCGGTCTTCTGTTCTGACATCAGGAAATAGCAACAGGGCAGTGAGAAAATAAGCACAATACAACACAAGCCGTTATACCATCTTTTATGCAAGAAGACAGGCCCTAGATCTAGTAGATCACTATGGTTAGCACGTTGGCCTGCAAAATTTCAGCCTGAGACACCGGTGCCGGAGAAACTCAAAGTATAAGATTCAGATGCAAGGAGCGCTCACTGTAATTGCCATCGCGAACCAGATACCAAGCTATTGTTGACGCTCTAGCAATGAGGTGATCAGCACTGAAACAATCTGGGTAAGACGAACGACAGCGCTTGCGAGCAGGACCTTAGATAGTGGATGATCGCTATCAGAACGATCCATGACAGATATGCAAGGTGTTGTGACACTGGCTTCTTCATGACAGATTTGGATGCTCTAACGAGATTCAGAGGTCGTTCAAAGAAAGCATTAGCCTCGTTGCATCAGATGATGATATCCTGGCGCAGATAACCGATGTGAGTAGCCCACTTATACCGAATCAAGGGTTGCGGCCATTGTTATTATGTGGCGTTTACTATTGAAGAACTTTCGAGAATACAGAACTTGGTTCAAATGGTGAGCAATGGATTTTGTTGCACGAGAATAAGAAGTCAAGTACGTACAGACAGGCATGATGGTAAGCCAACCTCAAGAGATTAGTCGGGAGATGATGTGTCATGGTGTAAGAGGTAGAGCTGGTCTTTGATGTATTCATCTACCCGCTGAGATGATGGCCTGCAGTCCTTGACGGACCAGCAATTCATAATAAAACTCCAATGACGATCGATGATGACGGGAAACTCAGGACGCGACGGTTTTGTTCCGAGAGAAATTGCGACCACAACTTGTGCGTCTCGCTTGAACTCGTAGTAGGGTGGTTTGCCCGTCAATACCTGGCGCAAGGGTGAGACTCGGTGTTGAAGGAACGTAATTTGGGCAAACCTGGAAAAAAATGCACCCAAACGAATATATGTCGCTATTTGATGTCGGGATCATGATTGTGCCTTCTTCTTCGGGAATTGCAAGAAGTTCGGGGGCTATCCATCGCACAGTGCCATTCAAGGCAGACGTGAAATAAGACGTGCCTACAAAGTCCACAGCTATAACAGAGAGACCAAAGTCGGATAGATGGGCCCTTCCATCAGATGAGATGAGGACATTGGACTGCAGATGTGATCATCATCAGTAAATTGAATTCAGGAAACCATCTTCTCACCCCAGTAAGATCGCCGTGAACAACACAGCACGAGTGAACTGAAGCAAAAGAACCATCACCAACTATGCCGTAAAACTGAGCAGGACACTTACGGTATTGAAGACCCGCAGAAACATCACTGAGCTGCGAAGGCATGAGTACGCTTTCAGATAGATCATACCAGACACACCAGTTGGAAACGGTTGATTATGGACAAAGTTTCGCCATGGGATTCCAGATAACCTGAAAGCGATCCGTTGTTATACCAGGGGCAAACCAGGGCAACGAATTGGCCAAAGCCTGATACAGTTCCGTACAGCGGGACGATGTTGTCGTGTCTGAGTCTCGACCAAACTTTGAGCTCACGGCAAAGCCTCTATAACAACCAACTTTAGCAACACTGAATTGTACGGAGCACGCTCATCGCTGACGCACCCTACTTTTTTTCTTCGCATCCTCTTCATCTAGTGCTTGACTCCTGATTGACTTCACAGCCACCTCAGGTGCATCTTCATCAAACTCTGACATGCTTAAAAATCGAGACGCACTTACTACGATAATATTACTATTCCTGATCCATGTACATCGCCAGATGTCACTCAGGCCACCGAAAGAAGTGGCATAAGAGCTCGTGCGATTTAATTGGCCAGTTAAATCTGGCAGGGTATCCATTCTGAACTGGCAAGTCAGCCTCAATGCTGTAGTGTTTGGCTGTGGTCTCACTGGTTTCTTGGATCATTGTTGGGAATTGACTGTGGAGAACTGATGGGAGATACTACTCCAAGTGACGTTGCCAGAAATTGGAGTGTCTGATGCATTTTGGAGAAAAGTTGGAGCTTGTGTGTCGGCTCCACTGGCTTGGGGTGTGAATCTGTGGTGTAAAGTTGCGTTGGCATTCTAGAAAATAAACTCGCTGCACCGGACGAGGATTCAGTGGGTGAAGCGTCATTAGCTGAGTCTCGACTTCCGGGTGCGGCCAACGTTTCAGCAGTCTGCTGTAGTACAAATCAGTCCTTCCATAAATCGGTATGAAAATGCACCAGAAGAATTACAATGGAAAATGGAAGGACCCTAAATATCACTCACAGACTTGTGCTCTAGAAGCTTGTGTTTTTGACAGCAATCACGAGACGGTCCATTGACAGCATCGTTCGGAGTATTATCATGGTCCGCTTTCGGGTCTTTACCACCAGTGGTTGGATCCGAGCTGGCCAGCCTTTCTGAGAACAGAATGGACCGACACCATGAAATAATAGTACTGATGAAGCTCATACTGTACCGCATAGAAACACACGGTAAGAAAGTTTGGTGTACACAAATGGTCTTCCTGCACATCTAGGCTGGTGAAAGCCTGGCTAAATATTAATGGGGAGCGCTAGGTTTATTGCAAGTAACACGCTGCAATTGGACCATATTTAACACAGAGGTAATTCATCACATGCATCACAAGTCATTGACATACTGCAAGTGATTCCCCGGGAGTAGTCCGTGGTTTTACGCTGTGTGATAGGAGTTTGTTGGGCACAGTCGACCAGTTGCCCGTGATTGACGGCCAAAAATTATTGTCCATAGATCGATCGAGGGTTCGGAAATGTGCGAGAATAAACCCTAACCTTCAGGCTTCCACCGAGACCCTTGCATCTAGAGTTCCCCACCGCCGCGAGCGCGCTAACTTCGATATGAACTTGCAACTTCTCTCGCCCACCCTATGTAGGCCGACCATCATCACGGAAGACAACCATTCCTTCTATATTATGCGACTTATTTATGGCGTCCGAATAAAATGAAATGGATATTCAACGGACCTATTCACATGAACTTCCAAAACACTTTCCATGGGATTGAGGGCACCATTGCCAACGATGTCCTTATGTATATGTATACACATTGAAGCTGCAACTCATACCAAGCTTGACTGAGACTGCCATATGGTCATAACAAGTATAGTTTCCCGCAACAAAGAGTCTTTTCTACGTTACGTACCTACATGGTGAATTGAGCACGTCCAATGCAACAAAGTGGCAAGTGGGAAATTCCAGAAATGAAGCTGATCAAATGGTCCTGGATACTGGGCCCTGGCGCTGGTCAGAGCGCTGTTGAGCCCGGTTGCCCTTAGTCTAGGGTTAGGGTTACTAATATCCTATCAATCGATAGATCTTCCCACCTACTCTTTAATGTCACCCACCACCCCATACGTGCAGTCCGGGGAGCCTCTCAATGATTTCCTCCGTTCATTTTGGCAGCGGCAAGTGGATGCAGCAGAGCAAGAAACACCAGATTACAGACATCCTCCACTCCCTCTCGCTCGCATTAAGAAAGTCATGAAGAGCGATCCAGACGTGAAGGTATGTCGCTCTGTCATAAAATAATGCCGAGTCCTCGCTGACTACATTCACAGATGATCGCAGCAGACGCACCCATCTTATTTTGCAAAGCGTGTGAAAGTGCGTCCGGTGGTATCCTTTCCGTCACAGAAGCTTAATGTTTACATTCACTTCCCTACTTCGTCACATAAAATTTTACACCGCTCACCCACCAAAGTTTTTATCTCTGAAATAACTGCTCGCGCATTTATCATAGCCGACTCAAATAAACGTCGAACACTGTCCCGTGCCGATATTGCGAAGGCCCTTGCGAAGTCAGACCAATTCGACTTCCTTATAGATATTGTTCCGAGAGAGGAGGGACTTACGGGATTGACTCAGAGTGGTACAGGGACTGGTGCTGTTGCGGGAGGATCTGGGCCGAGTATGACGAACTTAGTCGCAGGTGTACGTGTTACCAATACTGCTTGTCGTACCTCTCAATGAACTTCCATCTAGCCAAGTCAAGCTGCTCCTCATCATGATTCTGAACACAATGCAGGCGATGAATCCGGCAATTTACCTTCGGCAGTGGTACTGGATCAGGTAAGGATTGTGATACACTTTCTGGCGTTAGATTCTATTCTATCTCCTGCGACCCTGTTTTCTCCCACTCCTGAGAACCGCGCCGTGTGTATGACGTTCTCATCCTTGCTTTTCACAGCTGCAGTCTCTATTAGCGCCATCGAATGCAATGCACGCACCGTGACCTACTGAAGCATCCACAGATGTATACTAGTAGTTCACATCGTGGGGTTGCGCCTGGTTGCGCAGGAAGGTCTCCATTTTAACAGGTTCTGCATCACAGCACATTGCGGTAGGGCGCTCAGCATCTGCTGTCATACCTACACCGATTAGATTTGCTACACTGCACTCTTCCCCTAGTGAGCAGGGGCCCCTCAGAAACCTAGTCAGCAATGGAAGCTAAGGTCATTCCTGTGGCATACTTGATTCCATACAATGATACATGCTGTCATTGGTCAACATGCACTGCAAGCGTGAGAAACGAGTAGTATACGGCCGGCTATGTAGAGAGATACATAGTATCACAGGCTGCGTCTGAACACTTCCATCTTTCATCCAGGAAGTCGGTCACGGTAACTCTATGAATGTTCTCCGAGATCATCCGTCAGCGTGAGTTGCAATGATTCAAGCAAGATAAGGATTCCAGGTGAGTCACACGATAGTACTTTCTCACAGGATGCTTTAAGGCTTGCTTGCCAGAGACCCTTGGAAAAGCTGCTCACGACTTGTAATTACGGCTTACCACGCCTTGATTGATTCTGTGAACATCATAAAATTTTTCCGCTGCTCACAGTGGACTACACTTCAAGGGCCCTGGCTAAGTTGATTTAGCTCTTAGTGCACATTCTGACGTTTATCAAGGATTGGATCCATTCAATATCGACTAAATGGCTATAAGCTGAAACAGTCTTCAACCGCCGTGTGGCAGTTTCAGTACATTAGGCGGCCCTACAGCTCGGGCGGCCAGTGGTGAGACCGATTACCCCACATATTCTGTGTCGTCGTGATGCAAGTCACAAGTCTTATGAGCGGCGGCCCTCATAGCTACATAAGATATCGATAGCTATGGACTGGTGACGGACAGAACCCAGTAGCCGCGAAGTAAGAGATCTCACATTAAAAATCTGCCGGGCAGCGCGACTCATCCAGATACGCACTTAGTAATGATGGTACGGCATGATGATCTCTATGAATTTTACTAATTTATGTGGGTCTTCGACGTTTCAAGTTTCAATCTTGCGCCCGACACAACCCTTCCCGTCTCAAGGCTGCTTCGGTTGTTTTGAATCAAGTTGACCAATGGGCCATGATGTAAAGATATCGCTACGGGCAGACTATTCTAAGTCGGGACCCGAACTTGGAGCTCTTTCAGAGCCGTCTAAGTACAAGGTAATTACATACTAGCACTAGCTCTGCATGCGGCTTTGAATTTTGGTGCTGTACGCCATTCTTCTTACTCCATCTGATCTGTTGGTTACTCATTCACGATACAGTGAACTCAAATTCTGTGGTGGCCCAGGGAGATATAGTGAATCGACGTAAGTGGCGCGATACCCAGTTTGTTGGCTTACATGCTCGTGTATAACATGAAGTCTTAGGCGACTTCGCTTCTACAACTAGCTCAGCAGTCAAAGAAAGTGTGACTATCAGCGAAATGTTTCCTCTGCAGGAATGATTCTCCGAGTCAAGGCGATGTGATATCGACTTGTTTAAAAATCATACTTCAAGTTCAAGTACGTGCATTGCTTCCTGTACATCAGGAACTTACCTCTTCAATTTTCAACACTCCCGAAGAACGAGAGCTTCCGTGCACTCGGATAGGCTGTGAACCGCTGATCGGAACTGAAATTTTATGTATTCAACGTTACTGTTCGAACAGGATTGGGAAAGATACGTAGTGCTCGACACACTTTGTATTGAATCTGGTCAGGAGGTCCTAGGGTTTGTTGGGACCATAGCCAGGAGCATAGGTTCAGAGTTGCGAAAGAGTCTCCAGTGTATGCAGCATTCCTGGCTAGTAACCTAAAATGGAGTAACGAATAAACGAGATTCCTTTTTTAGACAAGCGATGCGTATGGTATTAGCTGACTAATGTCTAGTTCTACGCGCTCAGGAATAACAAGATATATCACATATAGAAGCAGTACCAGTTGACTTTACGTCCACACACGGGCTGTGCTCGTGGAAAACTTCGAAAATACTGGCGCCTTTCAAAGGCAATGATATCTGAATCGTGGTATGCAGACTACAGCGACCTCGAATGTCAGAATTCCAATATAAAGGCAAGCATCCTGCAAAGCCTAGTAAGTATTCTCGCTTTTGTCTGGCCTATAAAGATCCGAATTCATCACCCTGCTAGTGCGACAAATGGCTTTCTTTTACACCTGGATCTCCAACTTGCCTAAGAAATGGTGGAAAGCCCAACCGGAGACAGAAGTGTCGGGCTCGACGCACCCGGACGCAGACATCAATTCGGATAATGACTCGGAGTGAGTAGACATAGTCTTTTGTAGAGCTCCGACAAAGTTGACTCATGTGACAAAAATCTCAACCAATCTAGACGCCAGCTGGACGACCTTACCCCGAAGGTTGTCAAGGACTCGGAATTCACTTATGCTGTTGCACAGGGCAGCTTCGGTGACGTATGGAAATGCAGCCTGAGATTCTCAGAAAAAGATAACACGGTGGAGGTTGGTATAAGTTTCGTGGTAAATTCTGATATCTGATGATAAGTTTCAAGGTGGCCGTTAAATGTGTAAGGATCGAAATCCAGAATGACCAGTGCAAGGAAATCGTCAACAAGGTGGGCCGATATAATATAGAACACCAGTATAATGATATGAAAACATTTGCAGAGGTTGATGGACGACTTCAGCAAGTGGAAACCACTGTGCCATGATAACATTCTTACGCTGTACGGGATTACCTACGGGTTTGGTCCAGTGCCAGCTATCGTATCTCCATGGATGTCCAACGGATCCTTGAGCACATATCTCGATAGAAACTATGACAGTCTTTCCATGGCCCAAAAATTCGGCTTGGTAAGTTTTCCCACATGATATAGTTGCACCATAACTCACGAGCGTCGTGACAGCTTGCCGATGTAGCTGCTGGTCTTCAATATCGTATGCCATTTCATTTTTACATTGCATTCAGATAAGCTGATATATGGCGCATAGTCCACTCTGAGGGAGTGCCTCATGCAGATCTCACAGGTGTAAGCAACAGTGCGGTATGCAGATATGTGGCATTTCTCACATCATTTTAGAGCAATGTACTCATCAATAGCGACGGAGGTGCTCTTGTAGCAGACTACGGGCTCTTGACTACATGTTCCGAGCTAAACGGGACCTCTTACATCAGGAGTAACGTGCGATGGGCTGCGCCTGAGCTTTTCGAAGTTCCAGATACCGATGATGCGCCTAGCTCACCAAAACTAGAAAGCGATATTTATTCTTTTGGATGCATCGCATACCAGGTCTGTCAATATCGTATATTTACAACGCTCTTAAGGTTCTCATTTGTGTTAGGTTTTATCGGGCCAACAGCCGTACTATAACATTCGCAGTGATCACCAGGTAGTTGTGGCCATCCTCAGAGGTGTCAAGCCTAAGCGTCCAGATATCCCTGCCATTGAAGATTGTCATTGGAGCTTCATCGAGCAATGTTGGGCAGAACTATCACAGCGACCTCCCATTGCTGATGTCCGAGATTTGATGTGTCGCTATAGAGATGCTATGTGTTAACTCATGTTTTTGTATTTAGACGAATGCAAGGATTCTATGTTCTCTACGCCCCGACCAACGTTTCGAAACGAAGACGCAAGTGTCTCATCGATGCGAAGAGTAAGCTCTTCGCATCCGAGACATGCGGACATATTTCTCTTTATTTCCTTACGACATTTACCTTGTACAAACGCCTTGTTTCTCTTACTATTCTTTTGAACACAGTGACCTTCTTCGTATGCGCACCTTATCATGGACTTTTCCTTTCATACTCATACTTTATTTGTACTCATGTAGATGTAATTGAATCCAGCGCGTTTCAACCCCGAAGCCGACTGAAGCAAAACGTCCCTCAATTGTTTCGAGATTATTGTTGGAGGAGACGTACCCATGTGGTACCACGGCTACGACGATCCGAGAGGTTAATCCTCGTATCTTCTTTTCCTATCTTGTTAGCTCATCATTTCTTGCACCTTCGACACCATACGATACTTCACCGACACCATACGATACTTCACCGGTACCATGATCTCCGGTCGCTTCTCCGCATACTCATACTCCGTATTTTGCACTCCGCAGCTTTCGTATAGCTACTTATATGTGTCGCCTTGCAGTTTGATACCTCAGCGTTGTTCTTGAACTCCCGCTGAGGTATGCATCGTCTCATCGTCCGTCTTTGCAGTAACTAATATGTACCTACAGACTTGCTCTAGGTAAATTGAATGTTAGCGTTGTTCTTGAACTCCCGCTGAGACTTGCTCTAGCCATTAATTATTTCAAAAGGTTCTTCGAAAATGCACTATGTAACTACATCCTATCTACTCGTTTCGAACACATTGTCGGTCGAACTCCCTTCTAGCCTTACAGCACCGTGTTCTGAATTCTCGAAGCCATCGTCAGTGCTAGTGGTCACTAAACGAAGAACGACGCAGGGCGCTGATGCATGGCCGTGCAGTGGCCGTCCACGGACGCCATCTCTGAGAAGCGCAACAATTTTGACCCATGTTTAGCTCCGGTCCGTGTGTAAGCTTCAAGTGGTGCGTGAATCCCCAATATAGCCCGCCGTGCAGGGACAATTTCAAGTTTGTAAACTGATCATTCTTGTGACTGTTCAGTCTGTAGAATATGCACTAATTCTCATTTTATTTTGGTGAATGAGACCGACTAGCATGCTTGAGCCTGCATCGCACGATTTTCGGGTAGCGAGGACTGACATGTAAATTCAAGCATGTTGCCATGTTGATGGACCGCTGCTCATCATGACCTCGTCAGTTCAAGGTCGACTCATTGAGCGGTACTACCCGTCCACACCCTTCCAGCAACTTGTGATGTATCCGATGCTTGCTCCATAGCTCGTGCCCACTCGCGCCAAAGAAAATATTGTGCCGGAATGAGATAAACCTCTCTTTATTGACGGAGCCCTAAAAAATGACCAGAGCAAGTATCCCATTGCAATCAAGTGCAGGAAGGATTGAGTATTTCTGCCCTCGCAAAAATGTGAACCGTAGCACACAAGCCTGGCCAACTGATAACCAGCCCCTCCGTGTCTCGTTAGTATGGTCATCTATTCCTGCCTCGTTCCAAGAATACAAGCTGATCTTCGCTGTAGCGAGAGATCTCGCGTTGCCGCGTAGCTCATAATAGTTCATCACGTTCGAATGCCCCCTTTGCGACAGAATTGTGTGTGATGGCAAGATTTTGGAGGGTGCGAGAAAGTGTAGCAAATTTGCAATGAGAAGCCCTTGAATTTGCATAAGACCTCCTGCTTCCAATTTATGATGGAGGCCACTGGGTAGAACGAATGGATTATGTAGAGATCCATAATCATTGTATAATCGAAGGATGTTGTACACAGTTCCACGTGGAAGTGTTACAATTTCATCAATAGGCCTAGGTATGTCAATGTGCATAACAAGCTGTGTAGACGCGGATGTGAAATGGCGGAGCAGCGTGACAGTGTTACACTTTGGTCCTGCTAAACAGAAGCAAATACGGCACAATCATTATGCAAAGGACTGTACACAAGTCTGGCAATCGACTCTTGGGATTCCGTCATCGATTCAGAAGAACCCAACTTGGAGGATCCATAGTTCGATAGCGAACTGCTTGGAAGCGAAACCCAAGCCAGAAGCGTCCAGCAGAGCGTCGCGAAGTAGACCACGTCCTTGGCACCCGCTGCAGCTACCCGTTTCCTAGGATAAGGGTCTGTTAACTACGGCGGCGGGGATGGCAGTGGTTTCGAACCTGTGAAAGTCCTCGTCAGGGGGCTACAGCTACCCCAACCGCGCCGACCATCTCGTTTTGTGCAGGAATAACAATAATATTATACTACCAGTGAGTCTATATGGAAGTAAAAGTTCCGAGGCACGACTGCAACCACGTTCGGTGACTGGCCGTTGCTTACGGTAACTATGACCCACTCAGATGGTAGGAGGCTTCAGATCCCAGATCCGTTGGCCTCCTAAAACCCGGTCATTTCCGTACCGACTATGAATTCTGTGTCTCCGTGCAGAGGGACTCCAACAAGATTAAGTCTCCAAGCTTCAAGGCTTGCGATCGCCAACCCCTAACTGGTCACCGTTGCGTTGGTCATATGTCCAGAACTTGTACTATGGCGGTACAATTCATCCCCTGCGAATTAATAAAATGACAATATTAATGACATGGTTTCATGCAGGCTTCTTTTGTTCTGGCAACACTCGAGTGCCCATGTTGTACTAGTCGCTGTTGTGACGTAGTGGATCCCACGATCATGACGCATATTCGAACGGGAATTGAAACGTTTTGTGTAAGCTACAACCTTACTTGAAACCGGACAAGTCGATTCATTCACTGTGCACGACATGATAGGGTGGATTGCCCCGAGAAGATGATTCAAGCCGCAAGGAAGTGACATTAATCATTGCGGTCTCGAATCTTGAATCAAGCGTAGTTGGGCTGATTGGGTGCAGGATTCGCTAGCCCATTAGGTAAAGTTAGCCGGTAATTGGCTCTATATCGTAGATTCAATGGAAGAGACTCGGAACGGTATGGCTAATGCGACTTTTGAAATTTGAGTCACTATAGCCCAGAGTCACTCTGGCTTAATTCCGAGCACTAAAAATGGGCGATAGGCCAAATTATTTACAGAAGCAACTAACTTATTACTTTTTTGTGTATCACTATCAGGCAGTATTGGCGCAAGCTCTTCTCATCCCGCCTCGTTAAAAGAGCACGACACATGAGTCTACTAACCTAAATGATTTTGTCTTTCTTATCCCACTGCAGGTCTTGGTTAGAGAAGGTCGGGAGGAAGTTGTTGGGGTGGATAGGCCGCCCGTCTGTCAGGACAGCTACCATCGGTGGTAGTGAGATAGACCCCGACAACCAGTAAGTCAATCATAGTACCCTATGACAACGCACTTCCTCATGCGACTTCTAATGCAGCCTACTCGACCTTACAGGATCCGTATCCAAGGAGTCGCCCTATCCAATAGCGCACGGTAGTTTCGGGGATGTGTGGAAATGCACCTACATCGCATCCAATCATCAAGGCCTGGAGGCAAGCATGGTACACGTATGGCCGCTGTGCAGCCATCTGAATCCATGACAGGTAGCAGTCAAATCCATAAGGATCGATGTTGCAGGCGACGATTCCAGGGCCAGACTTACTCAAGTAAGTGTTCGGCTTACATGTGATACGCTTGCTCAAACCATGGCTTTGCAGAGACTCTTGGACGATTTCCATGCACGGAAGCAACTGCATCACGAAAATCTTTTGTCTCTGCTCGGTTTCAGTCGCGATTTTGGGCCACTTCTAGCGATGGTTTCCCCCTGGATACACAACGGCTCGCTCACCACATATCTTGAACACAATTTCACAGAATTGACCATCGAAGAAAAGCTCCGGATCGTGAGTTGTTTATCAGAAGCGCTCGTACATCATGTTGTTCATTAGAATCCTAGTTGCGGCAAGTCGCTGCAGCCATCAACTACCGTATGTGGAATCTTCAATAGTTTGTGAAAACAATTATTGACGGCATTGCAGTCCATTCGAAGGGCGTTGTTCACGGTGACCTTACTGCCGTACGTATTAGTTGTCTGATACCCGCCTTCTAGCTCTGATCTGGAACGGCAGAACAACATTCTGATAGATTCGGATCGCAATGTCCATGTAGCAGACCATGGGATCCTGGCAATGTGTTCTGAGCTCTCAGGGACTTCATACATCAGGAGCAATGTGCGATGGGCTGCGCCAGAGCTCTTCGAGGTGGCCGAGAACGAAGAGTCATCGACTCCTCCACAGCCAGCCAGCGATATTTATTCCTTCGGATGCATCATGCTTCAGGTTCGAGGCGTTCCATAGTAGTTGCGTTGGTTTGCGACTAAGATCCCGTAGGTTATGACAGGACGACCACCCTATGCAGATGTGCGAAGCGATCATCAAGTTACTGTCCTGATACTCAAGGGTAAAAAGCCTACAAGACCGTCAAGTCCGCACGACGTAGATTCTTTCTGGGATTTCATCGAGAAGTGCTGGAGTGATACAGGACGTCGCCCCTCTGCCGTTGATGTTCTGAGTTTTCTAGGACCAGATCATGTCACTGCTAGGGTATAACGTGGGTCGACCTGGGTCATACCCGCACCCGACCCGCAGGTACCGAAACTTTCAGAGGCCCACCCGTACCCGCCCGTGTCAGAGCATCGCAGGTGCGGGTCAACCCACAGGTCACCCGTTAGTGTGGACATATTTTGCGAAACTGGCATGTATATGTGCTCAGTGCTGAGCAACGAAAAAAAAGTATGTACGAAGCTTAGCCTGAGTCAATAACAATCTCGCTGCGTGTGTTCTTTGCCGGCGATGTATCAAGTTCGAAATTGCTCGTCGGTGTATGAGACTGCGCGGAAAGGGCAAAAGGGCCAGTGATTCCACGAATGAAACAGTGAGGGGGGGGGCGATATACATGTTATATCGTCATCAGGTTTGTCCCAGGCATCGAGATCTGTGGCCACAACCTTTTAAATTTGTTCAACATTTTTTGGTGGGAGGCATTAACACAGGAGCCATCGAGACCGCCGTGCGCTTACGACTGTGCGTGTTCTTGGCCGGCAGGGAGTCTAGCTCAAAAGCATTGCCCGACGGTATACTTGAAGGGGTGTCATAGTTCGACATGGGGGAAATGGATGCTAGTATGTTGCAACTCGCGACTTATGAGTTGTGCCGTCCATGCTACGTGGACACTGGAGACGGTAAGACAGTGCGGTTGACGTTGCGTAGAATTTAGAAAGATAATCATCGATTTTACATGCTGTAAAAGTTCAATTTAGGTTTGCGTGGGAAGTCTTTGGGGTTTGTCAGCTGTGTATTAAATGTCGACACGTGCCACTATGCCGTGTTCTACACAATATTCACGAGATGCGGTCTTGTTATTCAATATTCACAAACATTGGTGATTTGAATGTACCTATGAAGGAAAGCATTAATCTGAAAGGATCGATCAAGGTGGAAGACTGACCTGTTGAACCAATAGTGGTATTCAAAGTTCACACCTGTGCTGAGAAAATGAGAGGCAAACGCCGGCAGCATGGCATACTTTTCAAAGTCCGTCCTGCCCTCTGACCGCTGTCTGCCGATCAACCAGCCGTCGACGTTGTCGTCGGTGTCGACCTTGCTGGTGTTATCCGATTTCCAATCGCCCTTTATTTGTCACTTGCTCTGTTCTTGGGGAACCATCTAGAAGATGGCACATACTACTAGAGCTGGAGCCGGAGGAAATTGCGGTCAAACACAATCCAGACGAGCAAAAGAGAAAGCTCCTGCAAGCACAAATGCACCAGCAAATGAAGATGACGGCCTACAACCTGTGATCAGTCCTGCTCCCAACACCAAAAAGAAGCTGGCTATCCATTGGGAGGGGGCCTACAGTGCTCGCACCTCTCGCCTCATCGCCTGGTGCAAAGCTAATGATGATGCACGCATCAAACTCTTCTCCGATTCTGTGAAGGATGCAAAAGAGCAAGGGAGGAAGAAAAAGCAGAGTGCTGCTCCAAAAGAAACATACTACTCGCAGCTTGCAAATGCTATATTTTCAAATGACGAAGATCCTGAAGTACGGCTCCTCTTCCAGACAAAGCCTGGTGCTTTGATCAAGCCTGTTCAGACTCGATTCGGAACGTAAGTAACCTCCGATCTTCTTGCATCTGATATGAATTACAAATTTATACCGTTTCAGTTGCTGATCAGATGCTTCAGGCTCAAAAGAAAATACAACGAGTTCAACAAGTCCCTCAAGCAGACAGGCGCCGGATTAACATATGATGAGCTACAGAAGAACCCGCAGACCAAGACACTCATTGGTGGGTTGTTCTCATGCGCATCTGTCAATTTTATTTATCTATTTCTTGCAGATTCGCAACTGGACAAATTCCCATGGTGGCCAGACCTTCACGGTTGGTGGAGGACAAATCCTGCCTATAATACTGTATTCTCAACCGCTGATCCTGGACAAAACTATGAATCTGCTGCGCTACAACACTTCCATGTGCCTGACCGTGAGGACGCACAACTCCCTGCCAATGAAAATGAGCCACAAGAGGATGCCGATATTGAGGACGGGGAAATTGTTGACATGGATGTTGTCAGCGCAAATGTCGACATCCGTCGAGACCCCATAGATGCCACTGATGAAGATGCTGCAGGACAAGCAGATGACGATATCCTGATGGAACAAGATCAGTTTTTCCACCTGCAACACGCACCGGCGTCCTCCCGTTCATCATCAACCCCCAGTTTTTTTCGTGGATCTACCTCTACAGGCTCATACACTTCCTTACCGCGTCTTCGCCCACCAATCACACCTATATCAACACATTATTCTGACCAAAATGCGGTGTCGCTCAACTCTCCGGAGCCTCTAAATGAAGACCAGTCCGACGGCCAATATCCTTTTTTTTCCAGCTTCAAAAAACCAACCTCCAGCCACAACGCCACTCCACATGACTCCGATTCTGATGTCAGCGCCAGCAATGCAATGAGGGGTTTGCGGGTTGATTCGCGTAAAGGAAGTCCTGCTCGAGGACGTCCGGCATCACAAATCATGAAGCTATCTGGAGGATCTACTCGTAGCGCATCACCTCAATCATCTCAAGTCACCTCATCTCGTCCTCCATCACGCAAACGTGCCAACAACGATCAAGCTTCCACTGCTGCTGCCGCCGAGCGGCTCTCTGAAACAGCGCAGGCGCTGATCCAGCAAGTTGGCGAAAAGCGCGATGGTCGTGTCGAGCATGATCGCTACAAGCGATTGAAGCTTGAGAGTGACATGTGGGCTAGGGAACTTAAAGTACGCAATGCTCACGATGAACGAGAACATGCTATGCGTCTCGCTGAGCAAGACCACCTGCACAAACGCGAGCTCATGGGTCACCAACTGGAGCATGCAAAGCTAGAGCTTGAGCTCGCCCGTGCACGTCGAGAAGAAGAGGAGGCAAGGATTCGGCGTATTGCAATGGAGCGGAACCTGGGTCAAAATTGAGTCTTGTGTTGTCATCTTCGCGTGTTGCCTCTTGGTTTGTTACTTTGTGCTATCTTTGTTGTTTTTTCGTTGATAAATTTGCTGTTGTTCGAGTACCGCCAGTGTTTTGATATAAGCATTTGAATACACAAATTCCGCTGCTACATCTACTGAAGCTTGAGAAGCAAACGCGCCATTAAAGCATTCCGAAATTCTTGTCCCGCTGTCCCGATATAAGTCTCGTCGCCCTGCCCCTCCTCTCCCTCCTCCTCCTCCTCGACATTCAGATCCATCCTCTGCCCAGTCAGTTCCTCGTAAAAATCGTCACCGGTACTTGCGATGCCAAGAGTCTCCTCAATCTCAACAATCAAGTTATGCAAGATTAGACAGCAGCGGATCCACATGTTGGAATAATCCAGCTCTTTCTTGCCTTGGATCGGAAACCGAAGCTCTCGTAGGCTCTGGAATCTGCCCTTGATCGAACCGAAAAAGTGCTCAGACCGAACACGGACCTACAAGTATGTAAGCGACATTCCGAAGCCATCCATCCACACTTACTTTGGAAAGGTGATAGTTGAACGTTCTCTGATCCCTCGTCAACGCCCCTCCAGGTGGTCGTTTGAATGGTGTGACACACCATACTTGCGAAGCATATGCGGAATCAGGCCCATAGCCACTGGTTCGCGCCGAAAAAATTGTTTGGGGTGCGTGCGACCCTGGTTCGCCCAAAAACATTAGAGTCATGAAGACTACCAGGTACGCCAATTACATAGTCGACAATACGGAGATTGTGCGGAAGAATGACAACCTTTTGAAAGCATGAGCTCATCCAATGAAAGGGAAAAATTAACGTACCTGAGCAGTGAGAGAGTAGTTTGAATTTTTGTCAAAAAACCCCTCACCGTGCCACCCAGGCTTCCGAAATAAGTTGAATGGGGTGCCATCGACGCAGAGGAAGCCACCACGCCATTCCCGGCATGTCTTCCCCTCAACCCACTGCTGCGCTCTTTTCCGTTCCTCTTGATCTTCTCGATCAAGCGGATCGAAGTGGATCGCGTCGTCATGGTGCTTCAAAAGTGCGATCATAACTCTTTTGAAGCAGTTATACACAGTTCCGACGGATACCCCTGCCCATTCGGCCAAATCCTGCGTCGTAGCAGCATTTCCATAGTGGCCTATGCCATTGAGAAAAACCGCGAGTTGAATGGGGATAGGAAGCTGTGGGTTGTTAGAGTTGTTGTAGAAAATTGCGTGTGGTTGGATACGTTCGACGAGCTTGTCGAAAACAGCAGGGCACACACGAAGCTTTCGGCAGAATTTGTCGGGGGCATGCATCCCCCATTCCGGCAGCAGGTGCAGTTGTGGGGCGTGGCTAAGTTTGGGTCTTGCATTAAGGACACGGCTGATCTCTACTTCAGTCGTGCAAAGCACGAACAGCATCTATAAACTCCGTAAACGCTCGACTGGCCATCTGTGGCACATCCAATGAGAACTGGGAGGATGCGAGTGAATAGGCGCTTGTTATGGTGATACCAGGTCATCAGGGAGTCCAAAGATTCATCCGATGACTCTGAACAAACTGACATGCCAATGGATTCGGATCCACTGCTGTCATTAGAGGAAGTACTGTAACTGTCATCTTCGGAGTCTGGTTCTTCAAGGAGCTCATCAAGTGCGTGCTGCACAAGCTCTACATAGCGGGCTAATACAAGGTCATCATGTGCATTTTTTAGGGCTCGTAGTTGTTGTTTTCGAAGCGATATGCGAGGCATAAGTAGTGGGCTGATCTTATCAGCGTAGTACAGTGATGTGTAAGCCAGACGGAGTTATAATTCGGAGTTTTAATGGTGTCGTCCAAGTTTCCAAGCGTTGTCTGTTCCGTATCGGTTTTAACTTTGAATACCACTAATGACTCCGGCATACTGGATGATCGAATTAGGTAAGATTCAGAACTACGAAACCTTGCCCTCGCGGCCTGTCACGCGTCACGACTCACGACATGAAGACAATCGTACTGGCTGTGATGGCAGTTTACCCAAGCCAGGCCTTGCATGAAAACCTCACGATCAAAGAGCGTTTTCAATATGGCCCAGTTGCCAATTTCGTTGATGGGCGGTTGAACGATAGCACAAGCCGTTACGGCCGCGGCGTGGCCCCGGGCCACCTCAGAACTTGTCATACGTGGATACGTTTCTTTCAGACCCTGCGCGAGCGCCCTGCAGGGTGCAGGCCCCATTAATACATGAACAGATAAGTCGTTCGAAAACTATTGGTGCAGGCGAAATGGGATGGATCAAGTCATCAAGTTCTTCAATTTGGCTGAAGCCTTCAAAATTGACCGTCACTGAACGACTGACTTATTAATGTTTCGTAGCTCGGCGAAGTTTGAACTATTGTAATATCGCCAGTCGAACATTCTCGAAGTTCTATCTCTTCTCTGCGAGGTTTGTATTTTGCTAACAAAGCCGCTGAGAGCAAAGATTGCCTCGTGCAATTACTGCTCTTTTCAGCGCTGTCAGTGTTCTTCACATCCCTGACAACACGCTTCAAGATGTCTCATTGTCTGCCCAACATCAGAAGTAGGTTTGCCGCTCGATGCCTGTAGGGACTGAAATGGGCGTTTGTAGCATTCATTATCGATCCGATTCACCCACAGCACTACTTCGACTAATACCAGTCGTGGCGTCTTCAGTTTGACCCTACGCAGTTTCTTTCCACGTAATTATCGGTGGAATAACTTTGCGATGTTATCGCACTAATATTGTCTGCATATAAGACTGTAGTTCATTAATGCTAAGGAACAGGACTATTTCCCACTGTGATTTCCTGTCAACAATGGACATGCTCAACCGCTTGCAACAGTTCCTTGGTCTTGTACGTTTGTTGGCATTGTCCGGCCGTAGAGCCATCTATTCATCTCACTCTAACAGGTTGGCCGTGCACCAAGTGGCCAAGCATCTCCTGTTCGGCCCTCGGTCGATAGTATTCCCGCAAGCCAGACCCCGATTGTCGACACTCCCAATAGAACTTCCGACGATCACTTTTCCAGTGAACGCCTCTCTAGTACTTCTGACGCAGAGGGCTCGCCGTATGTCATTTCTTTTCCTCAGGGTGGACTGTGTAAATATCGAACAATAATAGTGCTCTCTGTATCAAACCAAGTGATATCCACAAGCAAACCGTCTACCCAACCGTCTCTGGTGGTCTTGGAGATGTTTACAAGTGTACATGGAACTGCGGCGCGGGTTCGGACGAGGTATTTCTGAACAGACTTTTTCTGCATGTCCTGATTGTGACTTCAGGTTGCGGTCAAATCACCACGATTCACAAATCTGAGTGATGGTGAACTTGTCAAAATCAACAAGGTATATTGGGCTCCAGTCTGACAGCCGCATATCTGAACTTTTGAGATGCAGAACCTTGACCGCGAGATCCGTATATGGGCCAAGTTGAAGCATCAATATGTATTGCCTTTGCATGGCACTGTAGATCAGCAGTTTGGCCCGTGTCGCGCATTGGTTTCCCCCTGGATGCCGAATGGGACTTTGAACTCTTACCTTAATCGCGTGCATGAGACCCTCTCGATGATGGATAGGCTTCGGCTGGTGAGTTTTATTTACGAAGCCGAGTAAGGTAACTTACTACGTTTACAATAGCTTAAACAAATTACCGAGGGGCTCCAGTATCGTGAGTGATAGATTGACTATGGAAGTGACCAACATAACCATGTTTTCTGCAGTCCACAACCACGATGTGATACACGGTGATCTCACCAACGTAAGTTTATACATGCCGTGCAAATGGAACCATCTTATGGTGATTGTAGAATAATGTTCTAGTTGCTGCCGATGGATCTCCTCGTCTTGCAGATTTCGGTATTTCCAATATCATGGTGCAATCAAACCCTGCCTACTCCTACCACACCGGTGCAGTTCGTTGGATCGCTCCAGAGGTCCTTGACCTCCCGGAAGACCAACCCATACAATGCGCAACTAGATCTACCGACATATACGCTCTCGGCGGTATCATGCTTCAGGTTCGTAGTCTCTCGTTGGCTTGCTAGTGACACTAATATTGCCTGCGTGTAGGTCCTATATGGGAAACAGCCTTACTGGTGGCTGAAGTCCGCCCCACATGTTATTTCGGCTAAGTTCAGACACGCAGAGCCCATCGACTCCTCCATCGATATCCACCCTAGTCACCTGGATTTCATGCGGCGGTGCTGGTCAACGGCAAAGGAGGTTCGTCCGTCAGTAGAAGAGGTAATAAACTACCTTCAAGAAGCACTGTCGAATGAGACTTTGTCTGCATAAGGTCTTGGTTCTGAATTCTAGCTATCCTCTTTCTCGTCTTTATGTTAACTCCGGTTGTGTCCTATTACCATAGTATATATCATGTTACTCCATGTATTACTCTCGCTTCTCGGTGTCGTATGATACACTGCTAGCTGTATTCGTGTTTATGTAGGAGCAGTACTTATATGCCAGCAGACTGCATGCAAGACCTGCAGGCCTCATAGCATATGTAAACAAGGCAGTGGTAAATAGCGAAGGACTCAGATGTCGTTTTGAGTACACAGTATCCTGGGCTAGTTCATTCATATTTGTTGTTACTCTGCTCCTAAGAACTCGACAATCGCTGAGGCCACAGGTCGATCTCCGGATTTGACAGATATGCATTTCAATGAATACTCCTTGTGTACATATTCGACGTCAGTGAATTGACGGAAGGGTTCTGTTCCTGCGACTCTTGCTGCAATTACGTGGTACGCTTGCGTTAGCCAGACGTAAGGTACATATCCACAAAAAAGCTGCACGTGGTCAGCACAGTAACTAGTACGGAATCGAATGGGAGACAACGCACCTGAAGCATGATACAGCCATATGAGTAAACATCGGCGGCTTTGGTTGGCATCACCACTCCCCCTTGCTCAGGTAAAGAAAGCATCTCAGGCGCCATCCAGCGCACATTTCCTTGGTGACACGAATTGAAGGTAGAGTTTTGCGATTCTGAAAGGATCATTGAGAGACCAAAGTCTGCAAGATGGAGACGCCCGTCGGCGCTAATTAGAACGTTGGTCTGTAAATGGAGTTGTTGTACTGAGACATCATAGCTACGACTTTCAACACGTACACATGTCAAATCACCATGGACCACTCCTTTGTCGTGTACTAACAAGTCGGTGAGCACGTCTGATCCAGACACAGCAAAAAATTATGAATGTACAATATTTGAGGCCGGCCGCTATCTGTCTCAACTGAAGACATGTTAAAACTTGTTCGATGTTGCGAGATACGGTGCGTACCATTCTCAATATTTCGGCCTTGGAAGGAACGCATTCCTGTTTCAGATAGCTATCGAGCGATCCATTTTCCATCCACGGAGAGACTAGTGCAGGGAGTGGCCCAAAGCCATCGATAACACCATTAAAGGTGAGAATATTTTCATGCTCTAGGGTGATCCAAACATAAGCCTCGCGACGAATCCTCTGTGAGTTGAAATGGATGAACACAATGACTTTCAGTTCATTCTTGCTCCCACCTTGCTTGTCCTATTCACCAGTTCTGTATCATTTGCTTGAGGAATCCTAACTGATTTGACCGCAACCTAAAAGGTAGTTGATATTGTGCATTTTCGATCAATTGCACAATTACCTTATATGTTCCAACCTGAGACTTTCGAGACCAAGAACACATCCAGACATCACCGAGCCCTCCGGTACCACTGGGATACGACTCAAGTTTTTTGACCTCTGTCACGGAAATATTACGTGGCTCGATTTTGAAATCAACTCGGTGAGGCGACTGGGAACTGCCATTTCTCTTCTGCTGAGGCCCGAGGGTAATCTGTGAGTGCTATTCACACTGAATACAAGGGGATGGACTAACCATAGATTTTTGAGGACAGCAATTGCCCATTGCAAGATAGTAATAGTGCCAGGCTATGCCGAGCGTTCAAGGGGGCGAAAGGCAGCTGTGCGATGTCGTTGTCTAAGTTAAGCGGTTGGTTTTGCAGGTATATCAGACGTTCGACAGGTATCGCGTGGTGGGGATTATCAGACCATCATTAAAACTCCGGGACTGCCAGTTTGGATGAAACTTTTAGTAAACTCAAAAACTGTGAGACGCAGTGTAAGCCCAACACAACTCGAAGTTCCGTCCAGAAGGCATCATGCATCATGCACTGTTGTGGCAGTGTTCATTAGCAGTGCAAAGTTCTCTCGGCAGCTGCCGTTGTCCGTTAAACGACTTTCAAAGCAGCGCAGTCACTTGTCGAGTCACAGGTCACCACCGCGGCACACGCGCGCGCGCGTTTATTTCGTGATTCCTATTGTTGCGTTGACGTTGGAAGAACCCAGATTTGCAAGTATACAAGTCTCCGTCGGGACTCGGGAGTGTTCCTCCCGCGGTCGCCGTATCCAATGATGCCGCCGCATGCTTTTGTATCGCAACACGCGATGGATGAAATCTTCGTGGACAAACATAGGTCTTCCATCAGAGTATCACGAAGGATTCCACTGATGCTGCACTGGTTAGCAGCCATAAAACCGAATTCTTCAGCGCTCTGGAAGTTCTCGAAGGTGTATATAAGGCATGTCCGTAGCCGGTAATGAAAAGGATCCTGTGTACTAATCTGGCACACACTTGGCCGCTCCCTGACCAGCTTTTGAGCGTTGAGACTTGCCGTGGGATGGCCCGCAGGAACATACCGTTTATCTAATTGCTTTCCACCATATCTGACAGGACTCGCTCTTCAACACTAGCCCGTATTCAGGAAAGTCCCACGTGTGAATGCAGTCCAAGGAGCCTCATGTTTATCCTTGTACACACCTCTTTATCGCACTAGAGAGATGCAGTTAATCGTATCTTCCAATGACAGGTGAGAGCTTTACGATCTGCGTTACACAATTACTGGCGCAACCCCTTGACAACAAGACAGATATCATGATCTACTCCACATGAAGGTCATATGGCTTACTTGCTGCACTCAAGAAGCTCGATCTCGTGTAGGTCATAGGAAAGCATCTGTAGTATGATTGTACACAAGAATTGGGTTTCCTCGTTTCCTCGGTCTCACCCAAGTTCGTCTCCGCATCGGCGCGTTCTGATTTCCGATGTCGGAGGACACCGTTATTCCTGGATCATCGCGCAGGGCGATACAGTCCTTGGCCCGCTTCGAGTCTGCCTTTGACAAATAACTAGAAGAAACGAGCCAGCGCCACACGTTTACTTGCAGGAAAAGTTTGGAAATATAATGCTTCGATCGTAGCTTTGGATGGGAAAATTACGACAGAGATGAGCAACTGAGGATGGAATACTCGAGCGTCAATCTTGCATGTGTTTGGATTCATATGGATGCGTATGATCAAACATGCGCATCGCAAGATATATTCCTCCGAGTCTGATGGAAGACTCTTGGAGTAAACCAATCATTGGTGTGTAAGACATTGAATGACACACAGCAAATCAAGGTTTTCTACCACATTTGCTATCAAGACGCTCAGGTCGTAAGGCCTCATGGCCGTGGTATTTTTGTGTTGACGGCATTGTTAATTTGTCTCTTCAGCAGTGGTATATAAAGATGCCCGCTTCATCTCCTACATCTTATCAGTTGTCTTGCACCTATCATTTTGGACTCAGATCTGGCTTTACTTCTCAATGGGCGATCTCCCCCCCGTAAGTCGATATTGCTTCCACGTTGATGATATACTGATATTATTGGCAGGAGTCAGTTCAATTCAAAATTGAACCAATTCTGATTCCTGCGACAACAATCGCAAGAGATGGCAAATTTCCAACATGTAGAGGAGGGTTCTGTGACATCTGGAAATGTTCAGTGACTGCACAATCTGGCACCCAACGCCTTGTGAGTTTAGACATGGGTAGAAGACTCGTCATTTATCACAATCAAGGTCGCTGTCAAATCTATCAGGATCCTTTCAGTGCCAGATGCGACATTAGAAGCGATAGGCAAGGTTAGGGCGGGGGTTGATATGCAGTTTCATTCGCTGATACATTTGCTCCCCAGAAAGTTCGTCGCGAGGCCTATGTTTGGATACAGTTGGAACACGACCACATCCTTCCTCTCGAGGGTGTGACTGTCGCTGAAGAATTCGGGCCACTCCCGGCACTAGTGTCTCCATGGATGAAAGAAGGGTCGCTGGACGGATATTTGGAGCGTGAGTTTTCTGGTATGTCTGACCCCCGAAAACGAGAGCTTGTAAGTTTCAAAAGGCTGAACCACTAGCTTATACTTAGCCGCGATTTCAGATACGGCAGGTAACTGCTGGTATTAGTTACCGTGCGTTACGTTGTTAACAATTATGGCGATCGCGCCATTTACTGAAGACCATCTACTAGTGCACGGCAGGGATATCGTGCACGGTGACTTGACTGCAGTAGGTCTTATCCTAATCTACATGTAGCCTATAACTGAAATTATTCAATGACAGACCAACGTTTTGGTTGACAGCTCTGGTCGCCTCCGTCTCGCAGACTTTGGTCTATCGATGATCCTTGCCGAGGCAGGAAACGCCACATTCAACTCCTGTCATCCAGGAAACATACGTTGGATGCCCCCCGAGGCTCTCCAAGCCGGAGCTGAAGACGAAGACGAAGCTAAAGACGAGAAGCCAACCAAAGCTTGGGATGTCTATTCGTATGGCTGTGTGGCGTTGCAGGTCTGTCGGATTGTTAATGCATGAAAATAGCCTTCTTACAATAGTTCCAGATCTTCTTGGGAAAACAGCCATACGCGTGGATAAAAAATGGTTTTAGTGTTATACGCGCGGTGGAGAGGGGGACTGTGCCTTTCAAGGACATACAGAGTCGTGATGATGAGATATATCAACAGTTCTCACCGTGCTTGAAACAAAAATCAGCCGATCGCCCGACGATGGACGACATCATGAATTCTGGGGTCATGATAGTGTGTACCAATTATGACAGAGTTAGAGGCTATTGCTAGACGAGTTACTAGTGCTTACTACGTTGTACTTTTATTATGATCCTTGTAATACTTTTCCTGTGCAGGTTTGTGTGGGCCGACGCGGCAGAACCTAAGTTCTTTGACATTGAAGGTGCCCGATGTTATATCATCCCGTCAGACAGCTCGAGCGTGTACCCAACAGCTTGCTGGCGTGTGCATGCAGAGGTCTTCCATATCATTGTAGCTACAATAATGGATTTTGATTCTACGATAGCATGTATGATTGGTATGAGTCGTGTGATTCTATGTACAATGACACTGCCATGCCAAGTCACAGGTACCGAGCCAGCGCCGGATATGCGAGCCTATATTATACTTAACACTATACTATGTCAGTGAGGTAGCTAGAATAAAGAAGACAAGAATGAACCAGTTCCGCGCGGCGACTAGATCTAAGATGATGCCCCAATAGAGATGGCTTTCTCGAGAAAGTCCAGTACCTCCTCCACTGCTGGACGATTTTCACTCTCGATTGACCAGCATCGCCGCATGAAATCTAGGTGACATGCTTGAATTTGCATGGTATTATTAATGGGCTCTTGATAATTGAACTTTAATGCCATAACTTGCAGGGCAGTCTTGATCCACCAGTAGGGTGGTTTGCCGTACAACACCTGCGAGTACAGTGTCAGCGTCATAAATAAACGCGAATGAGACACTGACCTGAAGCATGATACACCCAAGAGCATATATATCACTGGATTTTGTGGCACATTGCACGGTTTGACCTTCCTGGAGGACAATGAGCTCTGGAGCTGCCCAGCGAACTGCGCCAGTTTGGTAGGAGAATGCCGGGTTGGATTCTACCATGATATTCGAAACACCAAAGTCTGCAAGGCGCGGGGATCCATCGGCAGCAACTAGGACATTGTTCTATAATGATAGTCAGTGGGTCACGGAATATTACATGATGTAGGCAAACCTACACTGGTCAGATCGCCGTGAATCACGTTATTGTCGTGGACTGTCCACAATATTTAGTTAAACCAATCGTTTCCAAGCCAATCCGTTACTTACGATATTTGAGCCCCTCTGTGATCTGTTTAAGCTTTGAGAAACAGTCAGCTCCCGTAATCGGCATCAAAAGAGAAACTTACAATGTGAAGCCTACCGATCGTTGTGAGAGTTTCATGTGCACGAGTAAGGTAGGAGTTCAATGTCCCGTTCGGCATCCAGGGGGAAACCAATGCTCGAAACGGACCAAAACCTATTACGGTGCCATGAAGGCATAATACATATCGATGATCTAATCTGGCCCAGACTTTGATTTCGCGGTCAAGATTCTGTGGAACACAGAAATGAAATTCAGACACGTGGCAGTTTCAGAGGCTACCCAACATACACGATTTATTTTGGCAACTTCGGCATCCGTGAGACTTGGGAACCGTGGAGATTTGACAGCAACCTGAGTATGAGTGAGCATAAGTACGGAGAAGATCAATGTGTAGCATACTTCTTCCCGACTCGCGCCCCTGTTCAATATGCATTTGTAGACATCTCCAAGTCCACCCGAAGCGATCGGAAAATTGGCTTGCCCAGTGGCAATGCTTGTGTCTATAATGAACGAACCATACATTGATGTCTGAGCAGTTGCGATCTGAATTAAAGAAACAAGTTGCGAGTCCTCTTCCTCAGAGCTGGTATAGCGTCTGCTCTGTCCGTCTTCGGAGGTATAGACAAGGGAGCTCTGGCTTAAGGAAGGTCGCTCATCAGATGAAGACTGAGCAACGTCAGATGCGGAGAGCGAGCTGGATCGACGAAAGTAAAGAGAGACTCGATGCGCAAGAGTCTTCACAGGAGCCAGCATATCGATAGGAGAAGCACAGACACAAAAGGATACGGTTGTACTTTCCTAGCAACAGTGGTTTACCGTCTTATACACAAGAACTACAGTGATTCCGTTGACATCGCGAAATAGATCCACCAATGGCTCCTGGGAGTAGAAATTGTAGAGGGCGCACCAGCCTCCAGGGCAGCCGCAGCTGGCATGGATCGAATGAAAACCACGCTGAATGCTGACCTTCCACCATATAAACGCCCACTTCTAAACGAGTCAAGTTGTGAAAGTCAAACAATGAGTTCAGCAGACTTCCTGAGGCGTGTCCAGGGATGTGGAGCTACCAATTCAAACTATAGCCCAAACTACGCCATCGCGCGAGGCATCGACTTCGGTAACAGCCCCGTGGTGGAACGTGAACCTTGATAACCAATCCTATGTTAGCAAATGCTGCCTGTCGCCTGACTTCGAGCGCTGAGGAATATGCGCTCATCCTAGAATGAATGGTTCTTCCTCCCTGATAATAACTTGAGGCGGCGCCTACATGACTCGTGTTGTTCCGTCCACTGTAAGTCCACTGTTTAGACCAACTATATCCGATATAAAGGGAACTTACATCCTGATCATCGATCAATCATATCGAGCTGCTCGGATAGTCCCTTCACGGTCCATCATCCACGGAAACTTGAGTGATGTGCGTGCGTATCTAAGTATAGAGCCCATAAGCTCCCAATTAGAATGCTATCATGATTCTGTTGACGAGAATGCAAAAAAAAACTTAACCTCGCCAATTGTGGATTCTCTGTTAGTAGTTCAAGCCTCGAGGCACAGCACCCTGGATGCGAAGGATAGCATTACCTGGGGTTTGATGATCAGTGTCGGCGGTATTCTCCCTCAGAAGTTTAATCTAGGAAGGACCATACTTCAGTGATCATTAATACCAAGTCACCCATCTCCCTGCAGGCCTCAAGGACAAAGTCCCATAGTTGGATAGACGTAGAACAACGGTCAAACTAAGCCCGCATGACTGAGATAACTGTGATTTCGTTCAAAGTTTAGAGGTGATGGTCGGCAAAGATGAAACGTCTGTCGGGTGAAGAACAAATCATTGCATTGATGAAAGGACGAGCAATCAATATTAGTGTTGGACTGAATCAATCCGCAAATGCCCATCCCTTGTGAATGGACATTAACTGGAGGTTATTGAGAGCATTGATTTGATGACTTACTATTGGGTACCGTAGGTCTGACAGATGCAGATCATGTGGCAGAAGTATGGCGCGGCGTGATACACGTTATACAGCAACATCATCCAATCGAGTCATGTTCAACACCCCCTTACCAAATCCATTCGCAACCACTTTAAACCCATTATCCTGCACATCAACGAGGAATAGCTCGTGTTGATCTGCCATCCTCTCATTATTCCTCTGAATTTCCTGGATGACACATGTTGGCGTACGCAAAGCGGGTATTTGGTCTCGTGGTCCAGCAGGCACTTATATTAAATGCACGATAGCACTAACAGTACGAGATAGCCAGACGAGAAGGTGTGACTTCGAGAACAGGAATAGATTGGTTCAAATAATGAATACGTACCGTTAGTAATATAAGTGGTTGCACATGAAATGGACACTGGGGAGGTCGAGCTGCCCGCTGCACTGAGAACAACGCGTCACACTAAATACCTTTACATGCATCGGGTCCTTTAATTCAACCACTTGATTCAACTTCGCATTCGTCTCCAACCGGTAGGAACTAATCAGTTGTTGGTCCTGTCGCGAAAAACCATCAGCGCGAAAATGAGAAAGAAATGCAAAGAACTCACAGTCTCCACTTCTTCCCTTGTCTCCTTGATGCGTCCCATCAGCCAGTCCTTGAAAAATCCTACGCTCGCTACTCCATTCCTACTCAGTATCTGGACTACACCAAACGGAGGTATTGTCCGCTCCTTCTCGATATGTTCCAGAATCTTCTCTACATCCGCCTGCCGCCGCGTGAGTAGCTCCGGCGTGCTTGTCAAGAAGCGCAGCACTAGCTCATAGAGGTGCGGGTGCGTTGAACCATATCGTACAAGGGCCTGTACGACTTCAGTTGACGCTGAGGACTCGGATGGCGATGCGTTGTGCTTGTCCATCCAAAACCGGTGTAAAACGTCCTCATACATCCCCAGCTTCTTCCAGAGTACAACCAGACCTCGGGTATAGCTGTAGCTGCTGCAAAGAATCAGTGCATGTGTCTGATCGCACAGTAAGGAGTTGCTCGTCAGGACTTTGAGCGCCTTGTCCTGTTGTTCCGGAGAGCCCCCGTCAAGATGGAGCTCAAGCAACGTGTTCCAAATTTCTGCGTGATTGCGCTTCTCCGAGTCTTTGTCTTCGTCAGAACTGGCATTTGGAAGAGAGGACGGGAGAGAGGAGAGCGACTGTTCCCACCGACGTGCGGCTACGCTTTCTAGGAAACGGACAAAATATGACGAGTGATCGACAAAATGCGCGAAATAGAGTGTGGGCGAAGGCCGTTTCCCTTTGGATGGTGTTGGTGCGCTGGGCTGCGTTGCCTGAGGTTCCGTAGGATCCTCCTCTTCGTCCGCTTTGGATTCCTCAACTTTGTCTTCAGGCACGGGTGCACAGGAAAGGACAAGGTACGAGAGGTACGATGGGGCGTTTGCTGGTGCACTCGACTCTTGCGGAATGGCGTCCTCTTCCTCAGGTATGGTGAGGGACCAGAAACAGTGCAAAGATCAATGAGAAGCTGCGTCGTCCCCTCTGGGAGATTATCTAGCATAGTGCGTCCGTACCTTGCGAGGTCACTTTCCGCCTGTATAAATGTGTTAGCCTCACCGGAAAAAAAAACCAGACAGAAAGAAACGAAGATTGAACGTACCGCGGCTGCTCCCAAGTGTCTCAAATATGTCAATGCCTCCCCGTACTTCCCATCCTCATGCCGCTTGTAGCGCTTTGCAAGGTAGCTGGCATGACCAAAGTACCCTGCCTGCCTGCACACCCGGATAGCAGTGTCCAGGTCGAATGGAAGGTCGCCGTTCGACTCTGCCGCACCAGAGCGTCGAGACTCTGTTTTAATGAAGTTGTCCAAGCGTGCAACGTCTTTGAGTTTGGTGTAGGTATTGAGCAGAAGAGTAGTATGGTCAGCGTTTGCGAGGCCAAGGGCATGCAGCTCTTGCAGATAGGTAACGAGATTGTGTATACGCTGAGCATCCAGGAACTGTGCCACGATCGTTAGACCTGTCATATTGAAAAAAAAAAAAAAAAAACACGAATAACTGACTTTTCTAACGACGTAGCTCGGTTTCACCCACCCTATCGTCTTCACGTAGCATGTCATCGCGCCATCCAAATCTCCTTTCGTGTTGAGGTAGTCACCGTGCTGACGGTGAATATCAGCTACGTAGCTCTCGCCGAGGTATTGTGTCTGCGCGAGACTCGGTGAAAGTGGGTATAGAGCCTTAGCGTACAGCATGGTGAAATTTGCAGAGGTAGATTTCTCAGAAAGCGAGTCGGCTAAACAAGGTCAGCGACGTCAGATTAACAAGCAATGCACATTTATAACTCTGAACATTGCTGTGACGCACCTGACCATTATTTGTGAGGATGTAAAATTCCCCCACTCCAAGATCACACCTCTGATTCCTCCGCAAACATCCCGGTATATCCAACTACCTTATTCTCCATGTCAAACACGGTCACCCTCGACTGATCACCGTCTCCACCTGCCGCTTGTGCCGCAAGCTTTCGCGTCGTTGCAACTGTTGTGGGTGGTGAAACAACTATCGCATAGTTAAGGTGGGTGTAGATCGACGACTTGTAGCCTGTGAAAGAGTAACATCACTTCCCAGTGCTTAGATTCGTACCAATCCGCCTACCTTCATAAGCATATCGCGGCTCCCTCTCCTGTAAACCATACGCATATACTGCCTCGTCTCTCGCAAGCACGATCTTCTCGGCGCGCCAATCCATCGCCGCACATCCCAGTCCACATCCAATATCATCCAGCAACACGCTAGATCATCCACTCCCTTTTCCGGACACATGGTACAAGTATACCGAGTTCGTAGTCACCTTGAAAAGATGCAAGTCGTTATCCTTAGCATCGGCATTAGTGGGTATCGGAAGTTCGGAAGTTCTCGGAAGCCAAGGCCTGTGATAGGTTCAGGGGATGATTCATGGATGGTGCGTGTCTTAGGGAGTGAAGTCAGGGACGCTGCGGGAGATAGTGACTGGTCCAAGTGCCTGTAAAGTAGAACCGTCCCGTCGGCCAAGCCGATGGCAAGGAAAGATAACGCAGAAGAAAGTGCAAAGCAAGAGACCTAAATTAATTTACAAGCTCACCGAACGAAAGCAGAAGTGACGTAATGAGCCACTCACCGGATGAGGCTTACTGCTACATAGGCTGGATCTTGGAAGATCTCAACAACACTGGCGCCTGGTTTCTCTTGTCCGTCTTCCCAAGATCCCAAATCTTTAGCAAACTACCCCATACTGCATCCTCCTCCCCAATTGTCACCAACACACCCTTCCTCTCTGCCATGTGTATTACTATTCCTCCCACATGTGCGACCCAACTCGTTGTCGATACGAACTCCTTGTTTAAATTTGTACACCGCCGTGAATATCCGCAGCGAGCAGCCCAACACTGGAGGAGACGATAGTTGAGATTTCTGAAGCATTTTTGAAAATCTCGGTGAGCTAGCAAGGTCATGGTTGTCCTTCACAGGGTGAACATCGAAAAACGCAAATTGGCGAAGCTGAAGGGGTCTAGTAATTGAGGGCGACCACGATATCTAACAGTGGCCAACATATCGCAGTAGTAGCTACTAGCCTACAACAGTCGTATTTGCCATCGAGCTTACAACAAAATTGATTGTTGCAGTCTCTGAAGATTGAGATAGCACTGAAATGATGTACCGTCACGGTACTAATCAGGAACAACTTTAGCTAGATCTCTAACGGACCACGGTAGCACTATGACTATATACACTGGTAGGACTAAATACTAATGTGCGTCACCCAAAGTGGGTCACGGTGTAGCATAATATCATGTATCCACTCTGCATTCAAGCCTATCCAGGAAGACTGCGGACATATTGACATGATAAACCCAAGCCTGGGAGTAGCAGGAGTGAGTTTTCAAGAGAGATATTGAGGCACGAGATGTCGCGAACATCACATCATACAGAGCGCAGGACGAAGAACACAACATATAGAACTGCTATGGCATCATGAGTCGCATGGGAGAGTCAGGAGTTCTCCTCTGGCAGTTTCAGCTGTTCCTGTATGAATATCAAGACTTCCTTGGCTGAAGGCCTATGTTCCGGCTCATCAAGCCAGCACTTCTGCATGAAATCCCATAGAGCATCCGCAATGGGCGGAGTCACTGGTCGAGCAGGCTTCCGGCCTCTGAGTATCTGCACCGTAACCTGATGGTCACTTCGAAATTCGGAATACGGAACTTTTCCTGTAAAGACCTGCAAGGAGAATAATGGTCACATTGTATGGTGCCAAGATCCGCTCACAAACCTGCAACATGATGCACCCGAACGAATAGATGTCTGATGCCAATTGGGGCAAGTTTATTGATTCGTCATCTTCCGGGACTTGAAAGTTTTCAGGTGCAGCCCATCGCACATTGCTTCTGATATATGACGTGCCATGGAGCTCGGCACAAAAAATGAGAATTCCATGGTCAGCCACGAAGGCATTGCCGTTCTCATCAATGAGAATGTTGTTCTGAGCTGTGTCAATAATTTCTTCCATGAAAAAGGTATCTGTGGTACTCACGCCGGTGAGATCGCCGTGTACTATGTTTTTAGAGTGCACTGATATTCATGTTAGCTTTGGGCCGAATACTGACGTTTGTCGCATACAGTACTGAAGAGCTGAAGCGACATCTTTGAGCTGTAACAGCAAATATTAAGATGCGAGCCATACCACGACAAAGCACCCACGATTTGGAGCATTCGAGTGAGAGTAAGTTGCTGGAAATCACGTTCCAGAAGCATGGTAAGTGAGCCTTTGTGCATCCATGGGGAAACGATAGCAGGCAGTGAACCAAACCCTTGAGTTATTCCCAGAAAAGGTAACAGATTGGCGTGTTCCAGCTGAGTGTTCCGCTGCAAGTCGTGTTCCAGCCTCTGAAGTGTTGTACATCAGTAAATAAACGCATGGTAATCGCACGTGGAGCCACCCAAACCTCGGTAATTTTTGTCTTGCAACTATCGTTCGGGATCTCAAGTCGTAAACACTTCACTGCAACCTGGTGGACAGAACGACAGTCAGTCATGAGCGCATAATACCAGTTGCAAACTTGAAGGAGCTACTCGCCTCTACCGTAATTCGAGGGTGCTTGCGTATGCATTTCCAGACATCCCCAAAGCCGCCTTGAGCGACAGGGTATCGCGATGATTCCTTGCTTATTTGCTCAGTGAGGTCGAGCAGACTACTAATAATCCGTAGATACTCAGTAAACATTGCGTGATATAAATGCATAAAGAAACAAACTCATTCTTTGCATTCTTATCGTGTATTGTTTTGACATCAGCTCGTTGTGCCGACCTCGAACCAAGCCCGAGGCTGGCAAGTAACAAGTGTAACTTCCTCCCCCACTTCTTCAGCCAGGCTTCAAACCAAGCGGGAAACAGGACCTTCATATCGAAAGGAGAAAACATGGGATATTGTCCCAGTATCCTGTAAGGCATACTCGACTCTTATGATAAATAGTGAGAAGCCTATCTACCAATTGCAATGGAGCCTGGTGACGGGGCCCTTCGGTTCTTCGAAGGCCCATAGTGACGACATCTCAGATTGGCGCGTTTGGGTCCAACAGTTGAACGCAAAAGTAGATTTAATTATACTTGTTTGGCCCTCTTACACCACTATTATAACTTCACCCGGCCCTAGACCTTCAGTGGGTAGGAATCTTTCGGTAGTATTATCCCGATGTGAGTGAGGCCAATGATTGCTTTCCACAGCGCTAGAATATCACAACCAATGGCCAAAGCAGATCCAAGGATCCTTACCCGATCAAACAGATACATGAATCTGGATGATGTCTGTGGGCGCGAAACGAAATTCAAATCCCGAACTAGGCTTGCAACGTACTAGGCCTAGGGTATGCGTATATGAAATCATTGCTGCAAAGCTGAGCCCATGCGAGCGCTCTATGATACGCACTATTAGCGGAATGCCGGCACTAGTACGCTTATGATTCAATTTCATCCTGAGAGAAGACCATCAAAATCTTACAGTATGCAAGTAATAAACATTAGGCCCATCGGCTCCACCATTGGCACCCTCAATGGACGCCTGAGGCTGGCGCGAATGTTATCACATCTGTAAGATCCATATTGGGGGCAGGTAACTACTTATTAATTGTGGTAAGCGCGATGGATTACGACTTTTTCAAAATGGTGCATACTAAATTTACGGCTGTTTGCATACAGACTTACATGCAGCCGCCTCATGCCAGTCGGACGAGCAAATTGCTGGCTTCGGTGTTGTGAATTCAGGGGTCGAAGTAGTGAATGTCTGAACCCTGGGATGTGGGTATATGTAACACACGAGTTGTGTCAAGTCCCAAACGAACTAGTGCTTCCGAAGTTCAGTTCCGTCCGGTTTTTTCAACTTGATATTCGAGGACCGAGAACCAAACCTCGGTCAAGTTCACACAGGTGACTCAGAGCACCAACCACCAAGCCCCTCGCTCCTACCCACCCCGCCACTTTCAGACGCATCCTCTCAGGGCTCCCCAAGGGGCCACTCACCCCCGCACTCACCCCCCGCATACTCCACGATCGACAATGTCATCCAGTGCGCGGACCCTTTTTCCCGCACTTCTTTCGAATCACGTGTGCCTGGGTGGATCAAGAATACGACAGCTAGCACCGTGAGCGTGGGCACTACCCCGCACACGTCTCCTCGGAGACGGTCTTCCACGCTCACTCCAGGCAGCTTATCCAGGCTAATGAAAGACTGGGAAAGGGGAGACGCCGTTCGTCCATCGACTGCTATTAATGGCTCCTGTACAGGACCGCCATCATCGTCGTCATCACGACGCACCCATATCCGACACGCACATTCAGGATCCAACCTCCGTCCAGCCCCGACAGAGAACCTTCATCGCGCACAAGACGCAGAAGGTTCAAGTACCGGAAAGAAAAAGGTTCGTATCGTGAGGGGTATGTCGATGCGGGCGGAGGAACTTGTGAGGGGACTGGACGCTGCCATAGACTTTGTTGATAATCATCCTTAGCGTTGGTTTATTATGTTAGTTAGTTTGTTTCTTCTCTCTCACTTTTTCGCCTAGGTTATTGCGAGTGGAATTGGTATTTAAGGTCACTTTTGGAGTGTATATTAGTATGTATTCGCCCGTGCCAGCTGCAACTTATTATACCTCAGCTGCCAGGATTCTTCAAACCTTGCGGCACCTGCCCATGCTGGCTTGGCGCCAGCAGATATGCTTTCATTTCTGCTGGTTATATCATGAACGCCGGAACTTTGCTGGCTACTTCCTGCGATATCGATGATGACCGTATATACACAGTATATAGATCTCCGGAGGCTAATCGATTAATCTTCGGATAACGAATGCATTCCTTCCTCGAGCTCAATCGCGCTGACAATATGATAAGGTAGTTGAGGGGATACGCAACATCCAGCCTGTTCAAAACCTTGCACTATTAATGTTCTTTCTGATCACAGGATAGTGACACCAAATCCGAGTCGTCGTTTAGGTGTACCCGAGAGCTTTTAATCGCCTCTGAACACTTACACCTCGAACGCATGTCCCGATGATCGGATTGGCATGGTTTGACAACGATCATTGAAATGCCACAGACCGCCAGCACTCGACACGTTGAAATGCGATCACTAGCGTGGACCTGTGTGAGTGCGATTATCTCATGTATGCCGTTGCAAGGAGGTTACAGACTCGGCTTTTTGTCGCCTGCACTACGTGACAGTGAAACTTCTGAAAATTCTGCTGAACGAATTCGCGACGAAACGGAAAATCTATTTGGTGCTATTCGGCGATTGAAACCCCTGTCGGAGTCAAAGGCGTTCATCGAATACGATGTAGGTGACCTTGTAGATGTTTTCGACCAATTGTGAATATATCTTGTTAGCTCTCTATATCACAGCCTTCCATTCCCAGTGATCGCACGTCAACACGCCCTCCTCTGTCGTTTTCCCTTTTTGTGGTGCCAAGTACTGCCACTTTTGTAATACAGCCAAAACACTGGCACGACGTCCCTATAGCTAGTACCCAACCCTGGACTCGAAACCTCTAGCGCCCTATGCAAACAAGATAAAATGAGCATCAAGGTACAAGCGTGTTACCCGTCATTTTCTTGCCATGGTTCTCCGTCTCGAAATTCTGAAGCAACAAAAGAAAATATCTAACTGCTATTGCAAATCCATATTGTACATACACAAGAACATCAGGTCCGGAAGCGGCAAGGGCCTGCCAATGGCTCCCCAATTTGATCCTCGCTGAGCGTTAGCGCTGATAGGTCACCCAAGTTGACCACAATTGAAACTAGATCTTGGATGCCCGTGTTGTAATCTGGGATAAATGGTATTTCAATTCGGTCAATTTCTTCTGTCCGCATCGCTGAATGGGTCCTATAGGCATTATCAGGGGTCCGGCATTCCTTCACGTACATTGTATCTAATGCCACGGCGACTGTGCCTGCTATGAAATGTGCATTTTAGTGAAGACACGTAGGGTCTACAGAGATAAGCACAAGGCCCGCAGTGGTTCAGGGCTGATTTGGCCCCTTCCGACCACTGACATTTCTCGTGTCACCTATCGGCGTCATGGTATGCCGTATACAACAACGGATTGGGTTTGCACATCATCCTTTCCAAGTGTTCTTATTCCGGGAGAATGTCAGGGACTGAGCAAGTCAAGTCAGAAGTCTGCTGAGAGTGCAAATGTCTAAAGGGGTATTTCAGGTGGACAGGTTTTGCATATAAAAGTGAACTGTCCTCCCACCGTCTCCATCAGCTTATTTTTGGGATCCCATATCACAAATAATGCGTCTCTCCTTCATCCTCGCCGTTGTTGCTGCTTTCAACTTGACGGTGTCTATGCCTGTCCCTGATGATGAATCATATTGCCCGTATAGATGCAATAGCAACAAGATTGCGGCCTGCTGCTTGAATCAAGTTTATTTAAATGAGGGGTAGAATCTGATCCTACCCATGTGAGCAGAAGTAGTTTTCATCCAACCCTATGACTCACCGGTATGGTAGACTACAATCATGTTTGTGTATTAACGCGTCCCAGAGTCACCGCAAGCCAACTAACATCCAACAATAGCAGCTACTAAATTCATTTCATCCTCGTTGAGGTGCGCATCTAAAACGGCCGGCAGGAACGGCGGACTGATGGGGGCACGCCTCCCAGATCAGGACATTTAGTGACTTCAGAGATCGGAAGGGAAGCCATCGGGAAAACCACCGGTTCTTTTTTGTACTTATTCCAGGACCTAGAAATAGGTGCTTTGTATGATATCACACTGGTTTGACGAAGAAAAGAGACGATTAGTCTGATAACGTCGGAGGGACTAATCGTGTCGAACGGACTGCACTTGCGCGAAGCGTTGAAGCTGTGACGAGGGAAGCTTCAGATTCTGAATCAGAATCCGAACTTCCTAGATTGTTGGGCCCGGGGGTGGGGCGCTAGTGCTGCCGTGATCCGGTTCAGAGGGTCCTGGGCGAGAACCGAGAACTTTGAGGTTCACACTGGCGTGCCGTTCGTGCAGGGAGAGAAAACGGCTTGGTTCAAACTGAATGAAAGTGCTACGTTTGTACAAAGTCGTGGTTAAGGGAGAGAAAACGAAGCAGGTTTCGGGCGAAGGCGCGTAACGCCTCCCAGCCTTGAAGGGGCTTTAGCCTAGGGGGAAAAGGTGAGCTGTGAGGGCGGGTGAGCCGCCTCGCTGTGTCTCGGCTAAGTCTACCTCTTCAGGGCCCAAGGAGAGTTTGGGTTACTGCTGTGAGTGTCAGCGAGGCGCTAGGTCATGCGACCGCGCGATGAAAAGGGAGAGGAGGGCGGGGAAAAGAAAAACTAAGTCGACGAAATGCACGGGGTGAATGGTCGACACGGCAGAGAAAGAAAAGGTGCGAACGTCACGCTTGTTGTTTGCTCATAGACTCGTAACCAGTCTGGACTACGTCTTTGAGATGTTAAGTGTTTGACGTAGTCAGACTGGTCGATCTCGGAGAAATTTGGCAGGAGAAGCGAGGAGTTTGAAATTTCATGCATGCCGGTCATGCCGGTTTAGGTAATCGTTGTAATTGTACAGCGTTGGACGTCGAGTCTTCACAACACATAGTGCTGCCGAAGTTCAGTTCCGTCTGGTTTTTTCAAGATATTCGAGGACCGAGAACCAAACCTCGGTCAAGTTCACACAGGTAGGGTGGACTCTGGGCCGCACCACTTTGAACGGGTTCATGATGGTCAGGTTCAGGTTCGGACCAGTTCGAACTGCCAAATGTGATATAATCATTTGCAAAATTCGACATACATTGATAACCACTATTCGACAACGGCGAGCTCAGCTTGCACCACTGCGGAGATGTGGCCTTGACGATATGCACTCTTCAACAGTTGAAGTGCCTCGAATGTCGTTGGTAGCAAGGAGTTACGACGAGTAGTCCCGGTGATACCACCACTCGAGAATGCCCATTCAGATGCAACAGCAGACCCTTGAATAGCGAGGTAGTCTTTTGCAATGCGACCCATAAGAAACAATAGTTAGGTTGTGAGGGAGAATGATACGAGGAAATGAACTCATGCCCCACCATGCCACTACATTATCGACTTCTTCCAGCAGCACAGCCATATAATTGTCGAGTTCCTGGTGAGGCCTTTGATGAGCTTAATACTTGTCAAACTAGATAGGTTAGTACAAAGGTAGTAGATCAGCAAGAACTGAAAGGACTTACCACGTTCTCGAGGCGTTTCATACCATCATTGAAGTCCTGCAACAACCATTTTGCCTTGGCATATGCGACTTTGTAGTTGGGATCAAGGGCTGTGCAAACTTAATCAGAAAGAGATGGTGCAACATAAGAAAGAGATACATACCAAGGCAAATGAAGTAGACATCCGTGTCATTTGTCTTTTGATACCACTTGCGAAGATTATCCAAGCCAGATATGATGGACGCTGAAATGGCATCGAACTTTGATGAACCAGCCATGGTTTCCCACGTCTCTTGAAGAAATTCGAGAACAGGGATGGTGCGCCATACTGTAGGTTCCCAGGTGGCAGAGAAAGTCTGTTGAGCATTGGCAGGTTCCTGTTCACCTGGTCAGTATTAGGAATATCATATTGAAGACAGAAACTGACCTGGAGCATGTCTCAAATGACCTCCATGTTCGACCACTCCTGTGGCGTGAGTTTGAAGGCTGCGTAGGTTTTGCCCTGCAAATTGGGAACTTCATCACTGTCATCGGCAAGTTGTGTGAACCGTTTCACTCCCTGATTAACATTAGTTAAATTCCAAGTATTAGAAAAGAAACAACAAATCTTGCACAACTGAATAATCTGCTCCAACATCTTAATGAGGGAAGCCCAGCATGTTTTAATCCATTTGAGAAGCTCTCGATTTGGAATGTTAACCTCAGTGCAGCATTTGTTGAAGAAGACATGTGCTTGCGGGGACTTTTGGATCTGAGTAATGAGTGCGAGAGCTTTTCCAACAGCATCAGCAACATCAAACTTGGTCTCTTCCTTGTCCTGTTCTTCAGCTACCTTCTTAAGGAGAGAACTTGCCAATGTAGGATCAACATTCTCAACAAAATGTTTTGCGGCAAGATGGAGTGCGTGCTCCATACAACGGACACAACACTCAACAGAGTTCCAGTTATTGCCTGAAGGGTCAATGACCTTGGCAACAGCCTGGATAGCGGTATCATTGTTGGTTGCATTGTTGGCGGTGAACCAGCCAATCTAAGATTGTAAGGAGCCTTGTAAGCACAAATGAAGTGAGGGAATGAGAATGAATAAACACACCTTATCACAAATGTCATAATCTGTGATGACTTGCACTAATATGCTGCTGATATTGGCACCACTGTGATTGCCCACAATGGGCTTGAAGGCAAGTTGCTCGGTCTTGAGCTCCAACTCATGAGGCTTGTCAGCAGGGGCGTCAATATAGTGTGCGGTAACGGAGAGGAAAGGATCGCCAACAAGTGAAGTCCATGAGTTGAACATCATTGAAACCTTGCCATCAATATGCTGAAGCTTTTCCTTAACTTGCTCCACAGCAACTCGAGCTCTCTCCAAAACCTCGTCACACAGTTTGGTACGATGAAGAAGGTGCTGTTCAGTTAGGCTTGGCCGAAGGTATTGGAGGAGACGGCAGAATGGCCCCTTATCGACAAGTTGAAATGCATTGTCCTCAGCTACTATGAGCTCAACGATGTAGTCAGTTAGGCTGGCCTTGGTGAATTGAGGTGGCTTAGGGACAAGAGAGCGGTCAAGTGTTTGCTGGACGGCACCAGATTCTTTGATTGCAGCTGGAATAGCACATTTGTGCATCATGACTCCCTGCTTATTGCAGCAACTTTTGTATATCGGGAAGTGACACTTCGGATTGCTGGACAAAGGTACATTAGTCAAAATACAAGCACAGTTACTAACAACGCATCACCTACCGGGCAATGTGCGTACGGTGCGTTAAAATACTGCCTTGAAAAAAACATTGTTGACGAGGCACCTCCACCTCCCTGTAAGACAAAAAGGCAAGTTAGAAAGCGCGATAAAGAAGCGTGAAGAAAGTGTCTAACCTGCAAACATTACACCACCAACCATCTTCACTTTCACCTGTATGCACATTCTTGTGGCCTTTCTCTTCGGTGAATATTGTCTGGAGGTCAGCTGTGCGCTCGTCCTTTTTCAAGGCTTTGTGATGCTGGGTTGAGCATGAGGACAATATGAGGACAATTGAAAAGGTAAATGAGCACATACATCTCTGTCGGCATCTCCAAATGCCTTGGTATGCTCATATGCTTCCTCAGCATCCTGGTCTTCTTCGTCATTGTCTAAATCAGCAACAGCCTCATCAGCCTTGTCAACCTTATCAGCCTTGTCATCGGGTTCAACAGTATTTGTAGAGACAAGGGCACGTTTGGTGACAACAGGTGAGATAGCAGCACCTGAATGTTTTGCGGGGACAGATGGTGTAATAGCGATATTGCTCGCTGCTTCTCACACCTTAGCAGAAGGCTTTGTAGGTCAGCTAGAGCGGTGAGCACCAGCAATAACAGTAGCAGGCTTCCGGATTGGGCCTACTACAAAGGAGTCGAGAGTACGATGAGAAGGTGCAGAGGAGATAGGTGAAGAGGATTCAGGCTGGGGAGGGATGGGGGCATCATCATCGACATCATGAAACCATGTGATTTCTGATGCGTCCTTCAACGTGCTATTAGCATTGACTGCAGGGGTTGACATATTTTTGACGAATGAACAGACCTTGAGATTCCCAAACCTTTTATCCTCTGCTGGGCCCGACAGTCCGCATAAACAGTAAGACCAGAACAAACTGAAAACATGCCATTAATCATGTCAGTGATAATCGCGCTGATGAACTTACAGTATTGCTGGATGAACAAACTGAAAACATGGACCAGAACCAACAGTGAATAAATGTCCAATAAATGTCAAAAGATTGGATGGCTGGATGAATGACTGAGAACTGACAAGAAGCAATGGTGAATACATGCCAATATGTTGGACTGAATAAACGTCAGTAGTGAGTTCGAACTGGTTCAGACTGGTCCGAACAGGTCTGATATCCATCCGACACAGTCTGAATGAAGAACCTAGGTAGGGTTTGGTCCTGCGCCACATGTTGGACCTATAACCGGACATCAGTCCTGTTCGTAAAAGTTCGCATTCGAACCTTGGTTCAGAACTGAACAGCAGCAGCACTAAAATGAACAGTAAATTATCAGTGCTTCCAGCTCTTGCAGGACTTCTGCAAGCCCAGCATGTGCTGATACGATGTTCATGTCCCAGAGCCATTACTCATTTTGCTCCCGTCATCCATTCCCTTCATTCCCTTTTTCCCATCGATTCTCATTGATTCAGAGGACAATGTTGGGAAATACCCTTACCGTAGTCGCCTCCTCTATTCCTCTCTACATCTCCGGTAAGAATTTATCACTTACCGTGTATTTCACCCCTGAACATTTTCTTCCTAGGTATTGTCATCCACTGTCTTGTTACTTAAGGGTCTTATATACGACACGTATATAGTGACAACACAACTATACAGGATAAGACTTCTTGCCAGTCCTTAAGTACATGGTCTACGACTTTTCTAGTTTTCGTGGTAGATAATGTGCTGAGTTCTTGGGAGGAATGTCTTTCAATATTCTCCTTCTTGTTCCTCGGTTAGTTTAAACCTCGTGGTTTTGAAATACTGAGTGTGAAGTTTGTACGTGTTTTGGCAAGCGTGTGCCCATGGATTTGTGAAGTGTGTCTCGTGATTTGTGTCTCCCTTCCTGAAAAAGAGAGAGGAAAGTAGTGCTGATGGACTTTAGCTAAGTAGCTGTACTTTGTTATATAGTCAACCCCTGTAAGGTAGAATATAACCTGAATATATATTTCTTATTCTTAACTTCAAGGCTGCTGAATGGCCTGCACTTAGATCTTATTGGTTCTCACACGGTTTGAGAAAAGAGTTAAAGTGGGAAGCTTAAATTGCATGGGTAAAAATGGGCTCCTTACACCTGAGACACAGCTGGAAAAGTTTTGTAAACAAATGTGATGCATATCCTGAGAAAAATTATGCATATTTCAATCCATTTGTCTGTTGCACAGATGATGGACAGTTTTGGAATAAAATCACAGATATGCATAAGGATCAAATTCTTTTGATTAAATCCAGAATAAGTTTGGCAAAAAGAGGGAGAATTTGTTGCATAATCTGCATATGATGCATATTGACTTAATTTCCAAAATTTGGTTACAAATATCAAAACATCTCTGAGGTTGCAATTGTTCATACATATTTCACGTGACATTTTCAAGGCCATATCCAGGATCAAGTCACATATCAGACTTATGGTCTGGCCGACTGATAAGCCTGAAAACAAATTAAAAAATTAATCATTATCTGTCAGTGCAACAAATTTGTTTACAATTTGTAGATATGTCTAATATATGTACGAGTGGCCCTCTGAGTACTGCACTGAGAGGTTCACTCAATTTAACAGGTGATCTGCTCCCCAATTCAATAGTGTAGCCACAGTATGATTACAAAATATTGACCACAGTATCTAGTTCACTACAAATACTCAACAGATATGCATGTCTTCTTCTTTCTCCTCCTTCTTCCTCCAACCATCACATTAGTACTTGACTTACAATCCTCGTCTCTTACAATGACGCAACCCCAACTCCAAACCAAACCAAACCAGCCTATCGACGGTGCACCACGTAGAGTCAGGAAAGTCGGAGTGATGACAGCAGTTCAAGTGCCCAACAGAGGCAAAAAAAAACCAAAGAGCCCCGAGGAAGAGGAAGACAGTGCACCGCAACAGTCCAGTCAACACATGGCCCAATAGTCTGGTCAACACGCGGGCCAAGACTCCAATCAACATGTACATGATTCCAGCGGAAGAAACCATAGCAAGACAGAAGAGGGAGAGAGACGAGGCCATCAAGAGGGTGTCGTTGAGAGATGCCGAAATGCTGAAAAAGTGGCATGAGCAAGTGGAGAGGACCAGCAAGAGGGCCAGAGATGACGAGGAGGTAGATATTGTGGAACCCGCTGCCAAGATGATGCGCACAGGAAAGGAGAGGGCTGTGGATGAAGATGAGGATGATGAGGTGGTGATTGTGGAACCCCCAGCTAGAAATGAGAAGGAGATGGAGGAAAGGCGGCTGAGGAACATGCAGGAGAGACAGTTGAGGTTGAAAAAAGCTGGACTTTCGATGTCATAGTATATATCCATTTACCTGTAACATCTCTATTGAATCTCTCAAAGCGACTTCAGACGAAACACTTCAACTGACCTCAGATGGACCATTCCCTGACTTCCCTTCGGTCAGCTCCATGTCAATACATTGTGTTTACAGTAGCAAGACTCTCCTTTGGTCAGTTGTATACAACAATACTTTACAGTAGCAACTCAGGAAATACAATATTAGTACAGTCTTGTCCTTCGTTTGCCTCTGCGAATAGACACAATGTGTCTCTTTGCATCCTGACCCTCGATAGTGCCGTGTACAACTGACCATGAGCAAAGGGATCGGTTTGAAGGTCGAGCATGGTTCATGCCAGCATCAAGCCTTGACAACCATTAGATGTAGTTGCATACACGAGTCGCAAAGGAAACTGTCTTAGCAAGCTATTCGAAAATACAATAAAAGAGAGCATACTCCAGATACTTTGAGGGTCCGCGGTGACCATTGAATTTGGACCGTTGGCAGGAACATAGCATTCGAAGAACTTTCGATGCCATCATAGGCAGAGCGCCCTTGCCATTCAAGGGTTTTTCGCTTGACCAAGGTATCATAATAAGCGGGACCCTTTTTGTCTAGCTCTATAAGTAATAGAAGCGGCAACACGAAAAATGAAATCTAGTCTATCATGTATCAATAATTCACATTATTATTAAGCACATTACCGTTACTGTTACAGAATACTTCATGAGTTTGAAGCTTAAGTACGTCGGCACATGTACAGGATTGCCTAAACGTCAAAGCGAACCTAATTATAGAATTGAGTTAGAGTCTCGACTTTGACAAAGTCAAACATAATTACATCCACGAGTATGACCCAAGTTTACTAGCATCAAATATATCATTACACCGGTTTATCAAGCATGTGTGTTTTTCTTGGAAATTTCTACTATAATTGCCTAAGTAACACTACAGACTAGCAGCTATGTACGTGGTGGAAAAAGAAAGAGACATGTCAGAAGTCTAAGGGGATTATGTAGTGAACTGGAAGTTGCTGAAGAGTGCTGACAAATGTGGCTGACTTTGGCATTGCCGAAGGTGCTTACAAATGTGGCTGACTTCGGCAATTTTCAGTTCACTATATAATCCCCTAGACTTCTGACTTGTCTCTTTTTCTTTCCACCACATACATAGCTGCTAGTCTGTAGTGTTACTTAGGCATTTGTAGTAGAAATTTCCAAGAAAAACACACATGCTTGATGAACCGGTGTAATGATATCTTTAACACTAGTAAATTTGAGCGATACCAGTGGATGTAATTATGTTTGACTTCATCAAAGTCGAGACTCTAACTCAATTCTATAATTAGGTTCGTTTTGACGTCTAGGCAATCCTGTACATGTGCAGATTGTCGCAATGCTGAGCATCATATAATCTGATCCATCATAATGTCATAAGTAAGCCTCTACTGTAATTTCAACAAATGAACCGTTATAATCAGTAGCTCATTTGACCTTTCTGTTCCTCCAAAAGGGCTTATAATTCTTTATTGTTCGTTGTTCTACTAAGGTTGCAAAGCCTCCTAATAAATTATCGATCTGTCCATCCACTTGCTCACAAAAGAAGAAGGCACACGCCCTCCAATGCAGTCATTGTATTGTGCGATGCATCCCAGACAAGTCACAATAAGATGGGGAATCCTATTTTAATAGGAATAAGTGAGTGATCTTGATATTTTTTGTAGGACGATGCTGATCATATAAATTAGATGGGCTACACTACGTTGCACATATTCTTTATAGACCTCATCCTGATATCATGGGTATCTTTCAAAGTCGACCCCGTGCAAAGGTAATCTCCTCCTGCCCAACATGTTCTTGCTCTGATGCGAGATTTTTCTCTGCAGATTTTTTTAGGCGTTAGAAATACAAGTTCTGTATTCTCGCTAGACTCCCTCTCATTGTCACCCTCCCTGGAGGTACATTTAATTCAAGCTATCATTGGGTATCACTTACTAGCCAATTATTCTCCAGGAGTGTGTACCTTTGAAGCGAAAGGCTGTAGATAACTTTCTTGACAGTTGTGAGCAGCCCACTCACAAGAGGTGTACATTCGCCGCTTGGAATGTAAAAAAACGATCTTCATGGGATTCAATGCATTCCAATCTTCCGCAGGCCCGGACACTGTTGTTTGTATGCGGCATTTCCAAATCTTCAATCCCCAAGAAACGCACTTTGTTCTGCACATATGCGATCGAAAACCTAAATGTATGTCACCCAGTCTATTTTCCATATATGTTGTGTTAAGTCTCACTGTGTTTTGTAGGCCCAGGAAGAGGATCTTCTGGGTGGTCCCTTATGGACTCCTCAAAGGCTCAAACGCAATGCCAGCATCACAAATCTGTCTATAAGTGACAAAAGGCAAACTCCAGAGATTTTTCTGGAGCAGGACAGTGAGAGGGGAAAACGCAAGGCATTAGAAGATATGCCCAGCGGATCTTCTCCTCCAATGGCTAAGAGGCGCTTTTGGTCCCGCTTGTCTGTGATTGCTGTCCCAATCGTAAGTGCAGTAGGTATCTCCCAAACTTATTTGTCTCACTACATTTTTGACAGGGACTGACACTTGGAACAGAGGTTTCAGCCGTCCAACCACCGCTCTCGCAATGGCCATTTCCCAATGAAGTTGTGTTGAAGATTTTGGAAGACATGCCAAGCCGGGATCTGTGAGCCGTCGCACAGGTATCTTGTCTCTCTCAGGAGTTAGCAGCTCCTCTCTACCTCCGCTCTGTAGGCTTGTTGTTTGATGATGACTCCCTGCGCATCAGCACCCAAGCGTGTTTCACCCTTCTCCTCTATAGGTGTTCAACTTTGTTTCGTGTGCCCACGTATGTACGATGCAATCTCCTCAATGTGGATGATCGCCACCTCCAGGCGCTCTCGAGCTTTGTGGAGTTACTGGGGAGCAAACCATCATTGTTTGTCTCCATTGTGAAAGATGGCGAGATGTTAGGAGATTTTGGGCCTCTTTTTCAGTCCATCCGAGACTCGGGGTGCAGGAGTCTTCGGTTCTCAGATCGGGATGCGTCTCACCTTGCATACCCTCCGCCAATTCTTCCTGATTTAGTGGCTGCTTTGGATCCTGCCATCACATATAACTTGCACATTTTCCATGCCAACTCCCCAATATTCTTCTGTAAATCTATGGTTGCACTTACCCTCTCGTCTTTGCGGAATTCTTCATTAACCAACCTCAGCCTCACCCATACATCATTGAGCGTCCTTCAGTGGACGGTGTTGATGCGCAACATTCACTTACCAAGGCTTCATTTTTTGTCGATCGACATCGAGTGCCCTACCACCGCGCTCATCGAGTTCTTGATGCAGCATGGGGTTCACCAAGTCTGGCTTTGCAGTATGCGTCCGGAGATGGTTTCTTTTGATGACATGGACCTTGAGCAAAATACGATCACTCCCCACATTCCTATACATGGCTTACGCTCTCTTGCTGGACCACACTGGTACCTTTTGTCTCTCTTAGACAAGGTTCGTTTACCTCTACGCATTCAAAACCTCGACTTGGAGCTGGATGGCCACTTTCTGATATCCACTCCCAATTACTTGTCGGCAATCCTCGATATTACCCAACAATTTACCTTCATAGATCACTTGCGACTCAGTTTTTATGATGAATCAATGATTTCTCAAAGTTTCGATATCCTATTGGGCGAATGTAGAACCATTCCAGTCAAGAATCTCGCCATCTTCCTACCACACTGGTACAAATATTCAGATCGACACCCTTTGGTAAGCGCTATATATGAAGCCCATTGCACATGAGGTTAATATTATATCCAGTTGGGCTGCAGTTCTTGGCTACAAGCCTTCCAGGATGTCGAAAGGTTTTTCTCAGGCCTGGAGATGCGACAGCATCTGAGAGGCAGCAGCTGGAGGCCGCTTTTCATCGTTCAGAAAATCCTTATTGTCTGACTATTGGCCATTTTATGTAACACTTATATCTACATTTATGTTGTACCACTTCAGGTGTCTTGGCTCTCTACTAATGGTCCTTATACCCACTCTAATACCCACTCAGTGTAACTGCGTCGGCTATATCAGGAATAGCCAGTGATGCCACTAGCAAGCACAGAATTTCCCAGGCTGTTTCATTCATTTCGTTCACTATATAAGTCTCGAAACTTTGTGCCTGTTTCTCTTTCTGTCACTTCGTTAAAACATAGCTTAAGTGAAATAGCAATCGACTATAGACTACAAGGTAGCTTCATACCTCATATTACACATTGTCTTGCAGATATACAACACTGAAATTCTGAGAATTGTCAGTCATCATGATTGTTCAAACCATGCCCTAGAACTTACCCGGTTTAAATGTTTCAGCACGACGTTGGTTTCCCCCCACTTCATTGATATCGAGTGGCAAATGCGACTAGTGCTTACTGGAACAATGTCAAGATGTTGGCTGTGGGTAGAACTCCAGAGCTGTGCGCCAAAGTCCCCATACAATTGGAAAGGATCTTGATGCTCTGCTGCTAAAGGTATGTTATGCCGCAATGCAAAATAGTATTTTTGCTGATCCTCTTCCCCTGTGGAGAAAATGTACTCGATCACGCCAGGCACAAATTCTTGAGGTGTCCACTGGAAGAACACACTGGAGTCTTCCTTTGACCAGGCATACCCACAGTACTGCACGCCCAGAACATTCAACTGCTTGTATAGAGTAAAATGGTTGCATCTAGCATAAGGACGCCCTTGATGTAGGTGAGTTTCTGCTATTTGCCATGCTTTCTCGAGATCATCAGGAACGGGGGTCTTGAGGTCATGAATGTCCTGGTGAGAATTGGTGTCTTGTCCAACCGTGGATAAAATTCCTATGTTGGTTTTCTCACCTCCTGTGAAGGGGTCACAGCATTGACCCAAATTTTTCGCTGCTTCGTTGAGAATGACAGGTCCTGTAGGATTCTGCATCATGGCTTTAACATTCGCGGCTGCACAGAACGTCTCCAACATTGTTTTCTCTAGTTCTCCTGTTATGTTGTTTATACTGTTCTTTTCTTTCTGTATTATGGCCATACACTCATCTATTTTGTAGTTCATGTTCGTTTTTTGCAATGCACCGATGATCCTCTCAAACAGAAACATCCACCAATTGTGCATAGGACCATATCTCAAGAGGAACTCGCGAATGTGTAGAGCTGCATGATGATTGGGGCGCCATGAATGGCGCGGAAATATTTCTTGAGTACACTCAAGGTATGCCCTCATATATGTAGTGTATTGCTGAGCGTGATGGGGTGATGTTACATGTGAAGTTCCCCAATGGATCGCGGTCGCGAGCAGCACCATGCTGTGAGCCAACTTCTGTCTCTGAGAGTTGTGCTCCGCGCCATCAGCCGCACATCCTGGTCCCCACAAATGCATAAGGGCCACTGGTAAGTCAAATTCGATTGACGATTTCCACTGTTCTGCCTTGAGCTTGCCGTGTTCCGCGTTGCCCAAGTTTTTCAGTGGGCCACGGTGCCATGATGGTCTTCGAACCCTTCCTCACCTTTCCTGAATATTGTTTATCTCCTTATCCGCCAAGACTTTGGCCGATCTGCTCAGTTCAGCCGTATGCAATTTTACTTGTGAGGCATACTCCTCTATTAATTCATCGGTGATGAACACCTGATCACAAGGATCTAGCTCGTTCTCCCCAATGTCGACATCCATAGGGGCACATACTGGGAGCACAGACTTTGGATTCGTCATTATTTGTTTCCCCTTGAACTGTCAACTCACTAGCAGCGCTTCAACCATGTCTTTTTTCCTAGGATGTGTTCTATCGGACAACTCCACACCACATTCCTGGACCAGCACTTCCAGGACCGCGACACGCAGGCGGGTCATCGCGGACACGGTAGGGTTTGACTTTAAAGTTTGCCTGCCTTTCTCTAATTCCTTTGAATCAACAGGTCTACAGATGCCCTTCCTGAGCTCCTTGTTCGCTTGCTTGTCTATTATGATCAACTCTCTGAAGTGGTGTTGAACCAATCCCAGGAATAGATTATGCATGCCATCAATTACGATGAACCTCATTGGATCCCAGTATGGTAGCCACAAAAGCTCTGACCATCTCACCCCATGTTGCTTGAATATCTTGTTGCAATTTGCCTTTGTCTCGGCATTTTTCCACTCTTCTGCAGCTGCTTTATGTTCCTTGAACATACATCGCGTCCATCCTTCACAGTCGAAGTCTGTGATATTTGACTTCATGAGCCAGCACAATCCACACATTTGGTTTGCGGTTGGGCCCACGTGGCCTGCTAGCTTGCGAGCCGCAGGTAAATCATTGACTGCGACGACAATGACAGATCGGGACAGTCTTCCTGTTGCATGCTTGAATGTCTTTGTAAACCACGTCCTGTCTTTCCAGGATGGCAGGAAGAAATTGACTACCGGACGAAGGAAATGATTTATCTCGTCAAGAGCTGGCTCTCTGGGTCCTGGGATGATGCCAACCAAGTACATATTTTCGGCTTGGTACCAGAGGCTCGGCGGGAGGTTCAGCAGTCCCATCGCGATCAACCCAATGGATTTCTTCCTGCCCGAGGTTTTATTCCCGTAAGGGTTGAATCAATCCACTGAGAGGCTCCACGCTAACCTGAGATCGGTGTGGTGAAAGAAATAGTAGTCAGCTAGATATACCAACTAACTTACTAAATCCTAATGGGTGTGAGTGCAGTACATCGACCCAAGGGGACTGCTATTGAAGCACTTCCTTCTAATAGTGCAAGGGAAGAGAAAGGAAGAAACTAAGATCTAAGACCTGAGATATCCGACCGACTGAAGGTCCGAGTCCAAGAATGTCCGACGCGATATGGGATACCGATGGTACACCCAATGTGAGATGCCAATGAGGGACACCAATGTGAGACACCGATGAAGGACACCAATGCGGGATACCAATGCGAGGTGAGGAGTCCGATGCCGATGAGCGGCAGGTAAGTCTAGGCCGAGGTAAGGAGAGTCTAGGTATAACTAGGTATGACGAGGTATGACTAGGTATGGGTTGCCGACGTAAGACTACCAGTAGCAGTCCGGATCTCACAAGGACTAGGTAAAGAAACCTTAGATAGAGTGCACTTAGAGCGGTCAAGGCACATCCAATGATAAAAGCAAGGGGGATTGATTGCACAATCAAAGACTAACTAAGGTGACTCCTACAACGGTACCAGGTATGTCTGAGGAAGGGAAGTAAGGGATAATATGAAACTTGAGTTCTATTTATCTAACTGCGTGAACGTCCGGAATCACACAGGCGAGAGTAGTAGCGAAATGCGAGGTACTCGGGTCAATATGTAATAAGGCTCGCGAGTGCTGCAGCCATGGGAATACATGTAATAACACCTGCTGTTCGTTCAGTAACAGTAAAATAAGCTTAAAACGCACCAATGGAGATAGGTGGACATGGGCAGGACATGGGAGGATTTGGTACCGATGGGACGGAATGGTCAGCCGAAGTGCGTGATGGCCGATCTGACGGGCAAGGGACGGTATAGACAACCCTGGCTCTTCTGCGAGAGACTGAGACCATGGATCCGTATCGGCCAAGTTGGGCATAGACCGGTGCAACATGGGTGAGTCGAGTGAGTCGAGACTTTGCAAGGAAGTGATGTATGGAAGTGATGTGGACTTCTAGGCTGCTTGACTCCTATAGCGAAATGGGGTTCTGTGAGGCTAGCCCAAGCTTGAACACCACATCGGTTCTCTTCAGTCCATCTATGAAGGGCTTCCCATCAGAACCCAGAATCTCTCCAATTGCTGTGCCATCCTTGATGTCCCATATCTGCAAATCGTTGCTGATCATCATTCCTCGGTCCATGGCCTCCTCCATGCCAGGACGGTGTGAAAAAGAAATAGCGACTAGGCTGATTAGAAACTAGCGCTACTTATCCAAATAGGCGCGAGTGTAATATTCAACCCAAGAGGACTGCTATTGAAGCAACTCCCTTCAAATATGCAAGGGCAGTGATGTTGCGAAGGGCTAATAACCTATAGCGACCTAAGACCTAAAACCAATGAGTAGCGCTGTAGTGATCAGCGACTAGCGACAAGTGAGTTCCGACAGAGAAACATGCGTATAAGTAAGTAGTGCTATGCAAGTTGTCCTATGCAATAGCGCTATGCGATGTCCGACTAGCGACAGTGAGAAGAAATCGAAAGAAGGGAAAGTGATGGATAAGGTATGATAGTGCAAGTGGAATTGCCTGATAGTGACTAGATTATAGCTCGACTACCGACAGCGATCCCGACGTTGCGAAGATCAAACTTATGAAGGAACTTTAGTGACGCGCACTCGAAGCAAGTCAAGTGACACGCGATCAGAGAGATTTGGCAAGAGCGGAATCGATTGCACCAAAACTAGGATATAGCGACTAAAGTGACTCCGACACCAGCAAAGGTCCCAGGAAGGGAAGTACTGTACTGTATGTGCGACGGGTCATTTTATCATACTGCGTAAAAGTTCGGGAATGCGTAGGTGAGAATAGTAGCGACACTGATGGAGGTACGATGTAGCGACAGGTAATAAGACGTGCAGCACAGTGGAACACAAGGATGCATGTAATAAGACCTGCAACTGATGAGTAGCGACGTTTAATGAAAAATAACGCACCAGCGGAGGTAGGTGGACATAGGCAGGACATGGGAGGATGGAATACCTAGGCGTCAGGCCGGGCAGTGCGCTATGGGAGAAAAGCGGTTCCAAAGCGGATAGCTTGGGAGCTGAATAGCGCTGGTGACTAGCGCTTTACTCCTTTCCTCAAGGTAAGGCAAATTGTGCCTATGACACTCATACGCGCCTAGCGCTGGTATGATTGTCACATCTGCGGGAAACTCGAATACCGACTGTCCCCAGTCGGTCTCATGTCGCGATTTGGAACTTAGCAAAATTTCATTCATTGATAAGGGCACGTGATTGATGGCGACCCGATATGGAAGTGATGATCGGATAGTGGAAATTTGATAGAAGCGGTGGACACAATCAATGAGGCGGAACAGTGGATGGAAGCGTAAACATGCGGTGGTCGCGGTCGGTGGGCTAGGACAATGCAAGGAATAATGGGCATGCGGTGGTCGCGAAGAGTGGGTCGGGGTCAATGGAAGTGTGGCCCCAATCGCATGTTCCTATAAGAACCCTCCGACTTTCCTTCTTTCGTTCCCTCATCCTCATACTTTTCTATCATGTCTTCTTTTGATTTTACTGCTGTCGCAAACCCTCACGCTGAGAGACTCCAGCGTGCCTTTGGCGAATTGCGCCTTAAAATGGTCAACCTGGCCAATGCCGTTCCGGATGACAGGCCTGACCTTATGCAGCGCAAGGAGGAGTGGTCGCGCGACTGGGCCAAACTTGTGGTAATTTTCCCTCTCTATCTTGCTTTACTTGTTTTTCTGACTTTTCTGCTTATAGCAGTACCTTGATGCCAATGCCATTGATGGCAAAACTTATGGCTTGAGCACCGCGCTCTCTGTGGATGAAGGTGCCCTTGGTCGCAAGGCCCAGCAGTCGTATGAGCGGTATGCGGCTCAACTCCATGCCTTCAAGATGGAGGCCCAGTGACTGGCCGACAAGAAGTTGGCGCAAGAGAAAGCCATTAAGCAGAAGGGTAAGGAGAAGGAGAAGGAGAAGACCCCCGAGTCGGATGCTAACATGGAGGATCAAGAGGGAGGGGGATAGCGATGCTGATGCGAGTGGGGAGGAGGAAGTTCCGACTGTGGTAGCTCCTCTGCGCGTTCAGCGGGCAGCGACTACCGACGCTGTCGGGAGCAAGAAGGTTTTGGTAAGTCATTCCTTTCTTTTCGCTTTTCTTTGCTAAGAGTTCGCAGAAGAAGGATAGCGACGAGCCCATTGTTCATCTGGTACCTTGCGAAGGGTGCCACAAGGTGAAGAAGCCTTGCGTTGGGAGAGTTGCTGTGGCTTGTGACCGTTGCAAGACCAACCGCAAGGCTTGCAAGTATGCGACCCACAGTCGTGGAGGTGAGTGTTTTCCCCTTTTTTTTTTTTTGACTTATGCATTGCTAATTTCTTCTCTTAGTTGCAAAGGTGCGGGCTGCCGCTAGGGCTAAGGCCAAAGTTGCCGCTGGACCTTCGTCGGTTCACAACTTGATTCGTCGCCCCAAGACGACTCCTTTGCCTACTTCGCCATCTGCGGCTGAGGAGGAAGATGAAGAAGGGTCGGAGGATGAGGAGGAGGGTGAGTCTGCGGAGGGATTGGTGGTTGAGAGTTGGAAGAGGAAGGAGCGGGAGTCAGAGGTGTCGGGTGATTTCGATCCTTTGGCGGATACTGGCTTCACCGTGGAGGATTTGCTTCTGGAGGGGAGGGTGAGGTCGCTGTATGCGAAAATGACTACCATGCAGGGTATGTTAATGGAGATGATGGCTGAGGCTGACTCGCTTGCTCTCTCCTGCAAGCGGAAGAGGATGCGCCAGTAGTCGGTAGAAAGTACTAGGAGCGGGTCGCATGTCTGGGTTTAGCGCACTTGTACAATTTAGGATCTCTTTTGAATAGCGCTAGAATAGAAGGATCTTGTCGCATGTTGTCCTTGTGTGATCGCGTGTCTTGGTCCTGGTATCCTTGAGTCCTTCAGTCCCATGTCCAATCCAATGTACCGGTCCTAACTCCACTGGGTGCCTAAGGGATAAGTAAGGTAAAATGAGCACATGGTCGCGATGCGGAAGAAAGTGAATGATACTAGTCGTAGTCAGGTCAATTGGCAGGGTACCACCCGACTTGGCTTCTTCGTTGCACTTCTATTCCTCCTGTCGCTATTTGTGCGCGACTTAGTCCCTAATCACGTCAATGTGCGTGGTGCACTGCCTATGTGTTTGAAGAGAAAATGTACGGTAATCAATCTTTCACGCGAAGTAGTCCAATCCTTGTAATGTCTGTGTTGCGATATAAAGTCTATGCACGGATGGCGCGTAACATATGTGAGTCCTTTGAGAGCGGAAGGATGAAACTGAGGCACCGGACTAAACCCGGGGTGAAACTGAGACTATCGTACTAAGCGCGGTATGTTTTTGTGTTTTTGTTTTCATGAGAGACAGTGGATGTCGGGAATGGGTATATTGGCAGTATTTGAGGAATGCTGGCAGGTCATGCATCGAAGTTGAAATCGAGCGCTTCATCGGGAGGCTCTTCTATGTCTTCGCTTGCTAGAGTACTCAGTGCTTCATCGTCTAAACCTGTGATGCTAGTAACTGAGACTTTAGTTTCGCTGCGCGGAAGGTAAGGAAGTAGGCGGAATGCTGCATAGCGCAGTCGGGACACAGAACCATCTAGTTCCGCAAGGATGTACGACTCGCCCTTAGTGCAACAGATGACTATCATAGGTCCCAGATAGCGCGGCTTCGTCTTGCGACTTAGCTCGTACTCGACTTTAGAGTTGCGGACTAGAATGAGTGCGCCAGGCGCGAAGTCGTAATCTATGATCAAGCGACGATAGCGCTGTTCAAAGTTGCAGATAGACTGATAGCGTGCTTTGAGTACTTTTTCCTTGATATCATTGAGGTCTTCTTGTCGCTTCTGCAATTGTCGGGCTCTACATGCGACTAGGTCCGTCGTTGAGAAAGTGTCTTGGTCGGGTAGCGCTACTAGAAATGTTCCTTCAGCAAGGTCAAACGGGAAGATAGGCTCGACGCCATGAACCATGAAATAAGGCGTGAGTCCTGTCGCTTGATGAACAGTAACGTGTTCTGCCCAGAGTACCGAGTGCGCGGATTGATACCAGTGCGCCTCATCCCCATCGCAACTTTTCATGATGGCCTCCCGGACATCATAGTGACGTCGCTCAACAATACCATTAGCTTGCGAGTTATATGCTGAGACGCGGATCGGGTGAATTCCATAGCGCGATGCTAGTTTATCAGCTGCTGCGCGGAATACGGGTCCATTGTCGGTAACGATTTCAGTAATAGGTCCCCATCTGCAAAGAAGTTCTTCAAATAAGAATGCAACAAGGGTCTTGGTATTCTCTTTGCGTAACATGCGCCATTCTGGATATCCAGTTAGCGCGCAACGTGCATGGACTAGTCGGTCGAATCCACCTGCTTTAGGCATCATCATACAATCAATATGCACTCTCCTGAAAATACCGCCCGGGATCGGGACAGTCGGGGGAATGTGCAACTTGCGACTTTGCCTGACTTGGCACTCATGACATGTCCTATTGTACCATTTGATGTCGTCAATAATCATAGGCCACCAGAAGTGTAAGAGAAGTCGGGCGCGAATCGAATATACTCCCTTATGTCCAAGGTCGTCATGCGCTTCCTTCAAGATGCAAAAACGTCGCGATTCGGGAACTACAAGCTGGTGTTTTCCTTGAGAGTTGCGCCTCCACAATTTCTCGTTGAGGATGAAGTACCGCGCAGCGGATGAGACGAATGATTCATAGTCGTCATCCGATAGGTCTGCGGGTCGCTTGCGGGTTTCTAAAAAGCTTTGGATCTCGATTAATCTGGCATCAAGGGCTTGCGCGTTCTCTGAGTGGGGTATGGTTGGGCTTGCGGAATCGGGTTCTATGGTGCCTAGGTATGCAATGAGGGCAGGTAAACGGGTCAGCGGTAAGGTACGGGTGCAGCGTATGGGTATTGCATGATATCAGCTCCTGCGCCTGCAATAGTGCAACTTTGATCATTCAGAATCTCGATGCTGAAGGAATATGAGCGGTCGAGCCAATCCTCGTGATCATCATCCTCGCCGGATCTTCCTCAGCGGGTGGTCTCCTTGAGAGTCCGTCTGCTCCAGTGTGCTTGGTAGCGGGTACATGAACAAGCGTGAAAGAAAATAACAATATACCTGCGATCCACCGATTGATGGTCACGTTAGGTTGGAGGTCGGGGTTATTGATCATTCCTTTGATATACTTCGCATTGACTTCAACTGTAAGGTTGGTGACACTGAAGATAAAGACGCAAACTGTCACAACCCTTATAACGAATTAACGTAGGGGCAGAGACTAGGACTCAAACAAGGTTATCACAACAAAGAGAAAAGGATAGCAGGGACGTCTTAGGATTGCTAGCAGTAAGCTAATACAAAAGAGGTTTGAACTAAAGAACTACTGACTACAATGAGCTACCTATATACATATATTGAAGCGGAGACTGAATCTGAATCTGAACTAACTAGCCAATCATTAAATAGGAAAGGGAATCGTACGATGATCTAAATATAACTACACTATGATGTCATGAAACGTGTAACAGCTGTGCAAGGGTTCTCGAAGGTTCTAGAGTCACATGACTTGATCGCTTGAGTAAGGAAGTTGAAATCGGGAATGTCGGAGATAAAGGTAGTGGGCGCTAATGGAATAGAGAAGTTTGGATATGTAAAGGATGGGTTCGGGTTAAGGTTTGTGAAGGTTATGGGTACAGACTGCTGACTGAGCGCTAACGACGGGCGCTTGTGACGGGCGCTTAACGGGTGTCTTACGAGTGTTCAAGAAAGAATAATGGTTTGTATTTGGAATTCGTGACACAAACCGCACGAAATAGGCCGTAGAGCTCTAGTTTTGCTTGAGAATAGCGGCTTTCGACTTCCGTAAGGGATATGGATCCGAAGCGGTTTGGATAGCGCTTGCCATCTTCCCCGACTTGAAGGAGGATGAAACCTACAGCGATGCAAGAGGTGTCAACAGCAAGGATAACTTCGCGACCACACTCATAATCAAGCGGAAGGAGTGTGGGAGACTCTAATATTGAGTCCTTCAGGGTCTGCATAGCTACCTGTTGGTCTTCGCCCCATTCGAAGGGTACATCTTTGCGGGTAAGATTGGTAAGGGGTCACGTGATCTTGGAGAAGTTCCGAATGAAGATGCACAAGACTCCGCAAGTACCTAGAAAGCCCTGCACTTGTGTTACGGTACAACATTCAGGCCAATCGCGGATCTTTTGCACTTTGGAATCTTCCGGCACGCGTCCTTCAAAGGTACACTTGTGTCCGACTATGACAGCAGTGGGAGCGGCTAGAACAAACTTAGTAGCGGATATGGTTACACCAACATTCTCGAGTCGCTGGAGTATGCGGTTGATGACCTCGCAATGCTCCCGTATGAAGCGATGTATGCCCGGGTTTAGCACTATGGTTTCGTATGAGCCGTCAGCTCTTTGATACTGCATTTTAACCGACTTGATGGGCACATCATCAATAAATGGCAATGTGAACTCTGGGATTTCGTCCTGTAGAATGAAAGTGGTATCACCTTGGTATACTTGTACTGCATTAGCGTGGCCTTGCAGAAGTGTTGTCAACCGATGCGGACCCAACGGTGTTCCAAAGGAAGTGAGGTCGCGTGATTCCTCATGTAGCGCACGCTGGTCGTAACCTGAATATAAGTCCATCATACCATATACTGCATACCCGGCAAAGGATTCAGCTAACTGTTCGACAAAAGGAGGGAGGGATGAGTCTCGGATAGTTACCGCGTTCAGTGGTTGAAGATCGTGAACTAGGCGCAAGGATTTTCCGTCTTTCTTGACTACGCAAAACCAGCGTGATCGGTATGCAGCGGTAGACGGTTCATATACACCCGACTGGATCTTTTCTTTGATGATGCGGATAACTTCTCCAAGGGTTGTGGGCGGGATAGGGATATTACGTTGAGACCAAGGAATGTGAGGAATGGTCGGGATTTTGTATGGCGGGAAATATGTTTCATTGAGACGGCCACGCTCGGTCGCGTCCCATGCGAATGCTAATTCATGAACCCGAACAAGCCAGTGTATGAGCTTCAACTCGTCGGGCCATAACCAATTAGCGGGGTCTAAGTCCAATTTGTCCGCTCTTTCTTGAGTGAAGCGGACGCCTGGAACGAAATCAGGTGGGTGGGTTGGCAGTGTAGGCATGCCAGCCAAAGGATCGTCGGGTAACCGTCGCGTTATTCTATATTCAGGGGGCATAGAAGTTTGTACCATGTGGACTTTCTTCGCGACTGGCTTGTAAACCAGCGCGCGTCGGGTCTTGTCGAAGGAATATACACTGTTAAATGCGTCGACGGATGAGCGGTCAATAACTGAGCGGGTAGAGACAAGATGGGTATATCGTGCTGTGAATAGCGCAGCGGAAAACGAGTCATGTTTGCTCCATAAGAGCGGGTGATGCGCTGATGGCGTGAGACGATAGTTAGAACCAGGGAGTAATGTATTAGGACGTGAAATAAGAGAGAGGGGTGGGTGTGTATGAGTCCATGTGTCTCCTCGCGGTATAAGCGGATCATCAATCATCAAAAACCCTTCTTGCGATCGCTAGAAGGTGGGTGCGACCCTTTTTCGCATTCAGGACATCTCTTTACCCAGCGGTTGGTAGGAATGCAGATTACCTTCCCTGAGTTTGGGTCGGTCAGCGTGATATCTTGTTCCTCGTTGGGCAAATCCTCAGTGTGACAGCTGGTAAGCATGAAGAACGGGCAACCTAGCAAGATCTCGAAGTTAGCAGTCGGAACGACTTGGACCTGGAACAGCATTTCTCCCGCGCCAAAGTCTAGCGGAAGATTCTCTATAACGCCAAGTGTCTCGTCTGTAGAAGTATTGACTGATTCCATGACCAGTTTATGGTCGGATCTCAATGGAATGCCGCCTAGCGATCGCCAAACAGATCACGGCATTACAATGCACTCGGTGCCCTGATCAAGAACACAGGAAAGAACCCGGCCATGACTCGTAACCGCTCTGATACATTGCAGTGACTCAAAATGTTCAGCGACAATGCGACCATCATCACTCCTTTGCAAACAACCATCGTACTTCCTCAGGAAATCATGCGTTTTGGGTTGGCCGCTCAGCTCGTTCACTGATACCGACCCGACAGTGACACGCTTGGTGGTAGTCATTTCCTTGAGCACCTTGCAGACGTCGGTGGATACTGCAATCAACTCCCGCATGGGTATGCTGATGCTGGAGTCTAGCATCCAATTGATAACCTTCTTGTTGGCTTCCTTATCTTCTAGCGGGTGGGTATACCTAAACTGCGTAGAGGAGGGATTAACGGTAGGCGGATCATAGGATGAAGAAGAGGTTGCGGGTAGCGATGATGAGGATGAAGTACTAGGTGCGGATGATGAGCTTGCTGGCGTCACCACTATTGTACCTTTGTTAGGCGCGCTGGCAGTCTTCGACCCAGATGCCTTAACCTGTGGAGATGCGACTTCTTCTACTGCAGTCGGTAGTCTTAGAAGATGGTCCCGGTTTTGGGTGTGGCGGGACATTAACGCCTTCAAACCATACATTCTTACCCTTGTCCTTGTGGTTAGTGTCATCCGCTTTCACCGCTGTGAATGTGTCGCGGCTCATGTTGCTTCTCTCTCCAGGCGGGCTAATTCTTCGTCATCGGAGTCACTATCCTCTACACTGGCGCATGTGTGCATGAATGTGCAAGGCTCGATATCCAGAGTCGCTTGAGTGGTTGGCTCAGCGCGACAATACATCAACCCTAGCGCTGTCGAGTTAGAACCTGTAGTGGGTCCATCGCGCAGGAATCTGTCTATGCGCTCCTTGAAATTCCCGTCAGAGAGCCTTCCCGGGATGTTGCTACTGTCGGGCATAACAATCCTCTTTTCTGGCGTGATGTGGATCTTTCCCTCGCTGGCATATTGGTCGCGTAAAGCGCAGCGGTTCATATAGTGATCTCCTCCGCAGAAGTAACACACTTTGTTGGAGGGGGGTCGTGTCTGGCTATACTCCCGCTTTACCACAGTTCCGGTGGCGGGTTGCTGAGGTGTGGTTTGCTGGTTAGTTGCGGGTATGACAGGAGGTGAAGCAGCGACTGCCGTAGGCACGATACTGGGTAGCAAGAATACCGCAGCGTCGTATACTTCTTCCAAGGTGTATGGGTCGTCGGGATGATGGTTGACTAGCTTGATCTCTAACCTTCGCTTGATGGCAGTGTTGGCCGTGGAATGGATACCTTCTAAAAAGTAGCAACCGAGCTCGAGTTCCGCTATCCTACTCTTGTCTAGGAGGTATTGCGAAACGTGAAGGAACTTGCGGTAGAACTGTCCCAGTTCTTCTTTCGAGCGAATCGGTTTGCGGACTTGTTCCTTGCAAAGGTTTTCCAAATTAGTGCGCGCATAGCGATGATCGCCTTCGCATCCTGGGTACATAGCCTTGATGGCATCGACAAACTTGTCCCAATCTTTACCTTTCGCAGCGGGTCTTGATGCCCATGTTTCCGACTCGTCTATGGGCGCGTATCAGATCGCAGCCTTGATGCGCTGCTCAACGGTAAGTCCTGCATAGTCAGCAAGTAATTCCACATCCTCAAAAAATGGTATGAGGCGCGTTGGGGTGCCATTGAATTTTGGTGCAGCGTCGGTTCCTCTAAGAGGCATCTTGAATGGTGCGGAAGACATGTTGGCGGGTTGGACGGGTTGAGCAAAAAGAGCTGGTTGCACAACTGGAGGAAGGGTGGTAGTAATTGGTGCTGTCGAGGAAGACGCAGTATGAATAGCGGGGTCGGGTATGGACGGCGGGAGAGTACTTAGTCGCTTTTGCGGAGACGGGATAGAGCTAGGTATGAAGGAGGCGGGTACAAAAAGGTTCTGCCTTTCGGGTGAATCGTCGCGAGATGGAGTAGAGGGGGTGAGTGATGATGCGGTGGAGGGAGTGTCTACAGTAATGAACGGAACTTGAGGGAGCAGAAGGTAATGTGATGTTAATTGTCCAAGGGGTTCTTCCTCTTCTTCGAAATCAGGAGTGAGATGGCAGATAACAGTAGCTTCCGAAGATGAGTGGGATCGTGAGTTGAATGCAGTGCGCTCGACTTCTTCGTTGGTGGAATCTATTACTGAGTAGAACAAATCTTCTTGCGAAATGTCGCTAAGGTCGTGAGGTTTTTGGGTCTCGGTAGGTCTAGGTGGTGTGCCTTCCAGCTTCAAATGGCCCCCTTGCGGTGGGCTCCAGTTGTGAAAGAGACACAACCTGACTAGGCACTTGTCAAGGTACTAAGCCAGTATATGTCTAAGCTCTGCCTATGCTGCTATACTTGCAAACAATAAAGCAAGAATGTTTGACCCGAGGGAAAAGCTACTAAGGACAACTCAAGATCGAAAGACCCAAAAGAGCGCTAGAGCGCGGGAATAGCGAGTCGAAAGATAGAGCGCTAATGCGCGGGAAAGAGCGGAAGTCAAGAAAGCAGACACTGAGTTAAAGGAGGGTAATGAACAGCGAGTGAGATCAAGGGTGTTGATTGCAAGGGTAAGGAGAGTCAAATAGGGGCCATAGAGCGCAACTAAAGGGTGACTACTTCTAAGTAAAACCTAAGGGAAAGGAAATACAGTCGAAGGGAAGTAGTGTCGAAGTAGTCACCATAGGCTTCTTATACTAGTAAACTATACCATCTCGGACTCGGAAGGGATAGGATATACATGTAATAAGACTGTAGCACTTTTTACAAACTCGAGGCAAGGCAAATTACATACCGATGAGGTAGGATGGACCATGGATGTATTCCGACATTTCGGGTGATTCCTAGAGCGCGAGAACAGCGCGCTGGACTAGCGCTAAGCAGCGGGAACAAGCACTAGATAGAGCGGACATGTGCTAGGTAGAGTGGACATGCACTAATGCTCCTATAGACACATTGCTGGTAGTTCTGATAGCGCTATAAGCGCGGGAATAGCGTCGGATAACTCGCGGGAGCATGAATAGCGCTGCGGGAATGTGCGCGCATAGTGCGTGAAAGTGCGGAATAGTGTCGGACAAGGGTTATGGCTGAGACAAGTGAAGACTGCTGATAGGGGAGTAGTAAATGATATGAGGGATAACTTTGGTCCACCTATTGGAGGTTTATGCAGGTATACATGACTAGCACCAATATGATTGTCACAACAGCTTAGTAGGCCGGCGAGAAAAGAGTTGAAGTCTTGTACGACGTAGGGGTGCACGGGTACACACAATGCTTGACCATTCGCCTTCGTACAGTTTCACCAGCAATTGCCCGCATGGCTTACTTCCACGGTACTTTTTGTAGGAACAGCACTCAGGATAACCTGACCTATTCCTCGTGGCTGATGACCTTTTCCCTGTGTCTGGTGGGTAAGTACACAAGCATCTGGTGCAGGTAGCGAACATTTTTGTAATGGCTTCCAGATCGAATTTCTTCTGTACAGAACGAATATCACGAGGAATGTATCCCTTCGACCCATAATGTCCTTCTGAGGCGTTCCCGAGCGTGGTCTTTAGGAGAAGATTCAAGAGTTCTAGAACCGCATTACACCATGGCCGGGTAACGTGGCCCAGGACATTCAAGACCAGTGCGATGAACATGGCGAGGAGTAGGGCAGGACTAGCATTATTGAATCTTTTAAAGTGGCAGTCTGCTAATAGTTGAGTGATGTGCTCTGTGTAAGTACGTGCTCCTTACCTGTTTCAGTAGTCTCTGATGCGTGGTCCTTTGAATTCAGGTTCTGTTTGGTCCTGTGCACAATTACATGCATGACGCTTTCCGCAGCCTCTTTGGTTTCATGTAACAACCGGATATGTGCGCAGTGAAATTGCTCATTACAGCTGTTGGTTCCAACATTCATGCTCATCACTTCCTTCAATGTCTTCTCCATCCAGGCATGTTCTTCTGAGAGTGCCACCAGTGTTTCATCATTGCTGGTCGTATCTAACTTGTCTATTGCATTCGTTACTGCACGGACACGACTGTGGGCTTCGCAGTCGAGAAGGTAAAGTACACGATAGTCTCTCCATGCTTCCTCTTCATCTTGACATGAAGACTCTCAAGAATTGACATCCTGCTCTGCGAGTTTCATCTGCGACATACCCAGGGCAATACTGGGCACGTAAGGATCATCTACTACTACCTTATCTTCCAAGGTTATCCTGAAGATTCTCCTGGCAAGATCCTCATCATCAACAGGCTGTGCCATTGATAGCTTTCTTTGATGGACTAGATGAGTGGTGCCAGTTGGTGTTTCATTTAGGATTCGATGAATAATGAATGCTCACGAAGTAAATCTCAGCAAGCCTGCAACCCTCTTATTCCGAGATATGGAGAAAGAAAAATGACTATATGTAGAACACCTTTTTGTAGTGAATACTGGAATCGTGATCTTTTAGGTAGTTGTTGTTTTGCTTTGCGGTTTCATCGCATTGTCACAGATCTTGTGTTTAGATAGGTAGTTGTTGTTTTTGCTTCCTTTTGCTTTACAGTTTTGAGTTTTCTCGTTCATGCATCCTTGGCATTTGTCTTCTGTTTCCATTGTTTCCATTGTTGCGTTGTCTGAGCTTGTGAGACTTTAACATCATCGAGCAATAATGATTGATATACTCCCAAATGCTTTGCTTTTTGCGTGACACTTCCTTGCAGCACTCATAACCTAACCCCAGCCTCACACATGCCCAGAGTTTCGCACTGGCGATATAATCGCCATTTTGTGCCTCTTACCATGCATTGTGAATTCCCTCCAGAACGTGCACTAGACCCTCCTGTGTTAACACAGCACAAAGTCTTTTCGCGAGAAGTCAATTTAATCCCTCCCACAATGCTGGGCTTACCGACTCCTTTGACATCATCCGCTCCTCCTAAGATTCTGAAACCTCGAGGTGAAGTCAGCTGTGTTAACCGAGGAGGTTACAACTTGCAAGAGAAATTAGGGTGGTCACTATCAGAATACGAAGAAGTCCGCGTAGGTGTCTTGTGCTGGATTTCCTGGTGCCTACTAACACCTACTTTGTAGAGTTTCGTCATCCATTTAGCTCACGAGCACCTCAATGTGTGAAGGTCTTGGAAAACCCAGTTGGTTCCCAAATTGAAAGTAGTTTTTTCAGAGGCGAATACTAATTACTCCTTGCCTCGAGTTGCTTTACTTACTTCACCAGGCGAAGAGCCGCTATCCTGTCCTCAAAGCCTATAAAGATGATTGGGTAGTGTCAGATTTCTTGCAGGTCTATCTTAAAAATAGTAGTACTCGTGCGAACTAGCTACCAGAGAATGTAATAAAATGTCTGTTGATGGCAAACCAAATCTTGGTCTCCCCTCTCCACTTAGTTTCTTACCTTCTACAGTCTCGCCTTTTTATTCAGAACCAAATTTTGATTCCATATCCTCACATCTGGGATCAATAAAGATATCTCAAGTAATCAAAGAGGGCAGTCTCTACGGTTGGTAGTCTAAATTTCATTCTCATGCAAAGGTTGTGGCATTTTCAACACCCTCAAGTAACAGAGCTTGGCACAAAGCTCGCAGACACCCCAAACAATAATTTTGATATCTTGTATGAGAGCGAAGAGCCCTGGGTTCAATCACAGACTCGTCTGATTCTTTTATTCATGATATCAAGTACTGTTTGTAGCAATCAGTCAGATAATGGTCGCGTATGTCAATCATGAATAAAAATTGATTTGCAATACAGAGAACATAAGCAGATATTCAAAAAGTATCACAAGGCTTCAACACGATATGAAGTAATCGAACCACCGACCCAAGTGCCCATATGGCTAGCTACCCTCGACCCTATGCCTCTTGCCAGATGTCGTGGGTTCCACCCGTGAATGACATTGTGACTTCATGAAGACACGCTGTTTTACGTGGTGCTTCCCGTAGGAAGTGATAGTTTGTCCTACAGGGGGGTCTTGAGGCCAGCCGTCTGTTAAGAATGTGCTCAAAGGTATCGGATCCGAAGGGCTTGGCCTCAGCTCGTATGCTGTGCCCCTTACCCAAGTACTGCCCTTGATTTTGGAAGGCTAAAGTACCGTGTTCGGAAGAGCGGATGAGTACCATAGAGTCAATCCGGATGACTTCCGGATATTGGACGAGTAGTGTAAATGCTAGTCCAGACGAAGTCCGAGACTAGAAGCAGAACAGAGAAAGACTACCCTAAGGTAGAGTCGGAGATAAGTCAAAGGAATCAATCCTAAGACCGGAGGTGAACGAGAGAGAACTCAAGTTCGGACGGAGGCAAGAATGAGCAGAATCTAAGATGATATTCGAACTGAGGTTCTACAGAGTTTGTACACAAGTTTATATACTGTAGGTAGCATAACGGAATGGTCAGTCAGCACGGAACAAAGCTATGTACGAAGCATGTGGAAAGTCTAATGGTAAGTCTAATGGATCAAAGGAAATGAAGTTCGGACATGAATGCACAGGGTAGATCAATAAGCAAAGCGGAAGGGAAGATAGCCGGTGTACCGGAGAAGGTAATGCCCAAAAGGAGATGGACACTGAGTTAAGGTTCTGGGCTTGGGAATGAGTTGTGGACTGGTAAACCACGTTGTGGACTGGATAGCGGATTAGTGGTCCAGATCAGACAAGTGGACCAGATCTGATCAGCGGACCGAATCTGTGGACCGGATATCGGATTGGTGGATCGGATCTGGATCTGATCTGAGATCTGAATGCATGGATATGACACCGTCTAATCCAAGGTGAAAATTGTAAACTTCCATTATCTTGTCGTGCGACTTCAAGGTCTCCATGTGTATCTTCAACTTGTAGGCAGGATGTGCCTTCACGAAATTTGTGAGGGGAACCATTTCAGCAGCATCTGGTTTTATCCCTTCCATGTACTTGCACATTCCATCATAAGTTTCCTGCTGCTCCAGAGTGATCAAAGTATACCGAAGCACAAAGAGCTCTGCAAGTGCAAGAATAAGCCTGTTGAGCGGTTTGCAATCGACAAATACATCTTTCGAAAATTGTAGTCTTGAGTTGAGAAAAGCCAATTTCAAAGTTGATCCAACTCCCTCCAATTCATCAACTTCGAAGACATCCTTTATGAGTAATGTTCGGACAGGGGCGGTCAAGTGAGTCACCGTGTACATCAAGGCAACCCATAGAACGACATAGAGACTGGACTCTAGGTCATCCTTGACATCATGTTTGGTGTCTCTATTTTGGACCAGGTGAGCCGACATGAATTGCCAGGTTCCCTTAGTGACAGCATATTTAGTACATACTAACCAACTTAGGCATGGAATGAACGAACCATATGAGTTACTTGTCGAGCACCTTTAACGTTGATTAACTTTGAGAGGTCCCAATCAATGAGGATGCCCTTGCCCTTGTGGATCCCAACGTTTCCAGCACTAAGGTCTCGATGCAACACGCCCGCTTTATGATATGCGTCTTTATGGGCTGTAGCAATATGAATATAATGCTTTTGGAGGAGGTGGCAGAAAAATATGTACCAATTAATGCGTCATGAATGGCTGTAATGAGTTGACGAGAGCTTGTGAATTCACAAGACTGCTTGCCCACAATATTCAGAACCAAGCGATAGTGAATGTGCGGAGTGATTGTGTTGTGCGAACACGCCCAGGCAGCATCTGCAAACCTGTAAGTCTGTGGGGCTTGTTGAGGGATAGAGGGTACGTCGTGACACGCAATGCACGACGCAACATTGGAAACATTGTGTTCTTTTAATAATTTGTATGTCTTGCCTTCTGGTAGTATATCGGCGGTCGCGACCCGCCAAGAGTCTTTCAACATAACAACTTTTTTATTGTCAATATCGTACGCAGGACACGCGCATGTACATTGGCCTACAGGGGTTTGACCAACTGGTAGAGGTGCAGGAAAAATCAAAGTAACTGGGCCAGAGTTATTGACAGCAGGCACAGCCACTTTCAACATGCGCTTGGTAGCAGGAAGGTCTAGCTGCAATCTTGCAAGGCGAGCTTCCTCTACGCTAGCGGGCATTACCGAAGTGTCAACACCACGCAATGCAGACGATGCCTGTGCATAATGATGGAAAAAGTCTGCCAAATGTGGATCTTTGTTATAATTGATGGCAGAGGAAACGGTAACTCCCTCCCTGTCCCATCTTATGATGTAAGCTAGATCACAGACGATCAGGACGGAGAAAGTGTGAGTATGATATTGTGTGCCAAGTTGAGCTGCAGAATAGCTCATTATTTGTCCCAGCGTGGCCATGGCCTTGTTGGTCTCTGATACAAAGTGCACTTTATGACTTGAGCCATTTGCAGGTGTGTGGAATGGATTGTGATGTGGTTCCCACTTGAATTCAATGACCACTTCTGCGGCTGAAATATCGCAGGAGGATTGTCTAGCGCGGGGTGGCAAGGGCCCATCGGCATAAACACAGACGTCCAGTTTAACTTGGAATGTGAATGATTTGCAGTTTGTTGTGTCTGCTTTGCTGTGGGTGTCGATAAACGACAGACTGGGAGCAAAAGATGCCATGGTGTTGATCTGCACTCGTAGTCAGGCTGGCAACGATCTTATCATGGTTGAAGCACTTACAAATGGTTCATAAGCTTTGATCTTGTTGGTAGCAGAGAGCGTGCTCTCAAAGGCGCCTTTCAAGAAGGAGGTTAAAGGTTGATAACCCAGGATCGTTAAAGGCAACAGGAATTCTTGGAGAAATTCTTTGATTGGCATCGGACCAATGAGATATCCTTTTATCTCATTGCCAATAGCGTGGAGAGTGGTATCTCGGCAGCGTGTATTAGTCGTGTAGGGTTGCATCATAGCACAGCTATGTTTGATGGGAGTGTCGTCTGGCTACAAGTCCTGTATGGTATACGGTGCCAGTGTCCATGGCGGCAGCTCGGGCGTCCTTGGTGCTGCAGGGGTGCTATCAGTCGGGTCAGCAGACACTTGTACAGTGGGCACAGGGAACATGATATTTGAATGAATGAATTTTATTGTAGATACAGGGTATGATGAAACGAAATGGGTATATGATGTAGACGACGAGAGAGAAAAGAGAACCACAAACAACATCAAGAGGCTTATATAGTGAATGGAACTCAGCCGGACATTGCCGTAATCCACTCTCCGGTATTTGACCACTATGAAGATGGTGGGAGAATGATTCATGTTCAGTGGTCTGATATCAAGATAACGGATATCAAAATGACATACATTGTAGTTTATGATTGATTCTGAGAACAATAGTGCTCCAACGCTGGGATGGTCAATGACTTACTAGTCTCCAGGAGAGCGCGGGCACTAGTCGAATTAGCTTTATACCAGTGGTCGTTATACCAGTTGCGTGGAAGTTGTTGAATTGCAATGGAATTTTGAGCTGCACGTTTTTGCTCCAAGATACGCAGAAGGGAAGAATTTCCAATCGGAGTGGTCATATTTTCTTCATGGGTTGCTGGAGCATATGTCTCCACAACATGTAGTAACTGAGTGATGTCAGGATTGAGCCATGGACGGCCTACTCGCCTTACTACCTTTGGTATCGCCCCAATTGGTGTGTCCGTTTCATCCCCACTAACTCCATCAACATCTAGGCGATCGATAATTCGCCCGATCGTGTCCCAGATATCAGGGTTACGGTGTCGATTTTGTGCTACTATTTTTCTGCATCTCTCGAGAGTCTAAAAGGGCATTCAGATGATATTAGGATAAAACACTGTCCACCTACCCCATGTTTTCGGGTATTGCACCTACCCATGTTTTCGGGTATTGCACCTATCTAAGCGGTGCCTTCGTTCATTGTGTCCTAACAATGCACGAGACGCAGAATTCATCTCCTCCAGATTGGAATATTTGCTGATCCGCACACATTGTCGATACTCGCATTGAGTTCGGCATAGCTTGTCGATGCACAATGAGCACAAATTGTTGAGACTCATGGCTTCTGCATGAAAAAGAACTTGCGCATAGGTGCCATTCTTGATCTTTGCTTGGAAGTCTATGACTAGGAGGTTCATTACTTCTGTATTCCATGAAGACTTCTTCAAGGAGTCGCTCCAGTCGATGGAGAGGTCTTCTAATGTGGGACAGCAGTTGTGATCATGGTTGAAAGCTTGAATAGTTTTGATCGGAGGAGATTGAGGTAGCGAGCCATTTTTACCCTTTAGTAGCCTTTTCTCTCCTAGATAGCTGTGGAATGCAACCTGATATAATTAATTACCATGGTTGAATAAAAATGTTAACATACGTACATGCAAATGATTCTTTGAGCCTCTCTTGCCGGGGCACTTCCGCCGGGGGCGAGGTGCAAACCATCATCGCTGTCACTTGCTTGAGTATCTGATGAAGAATCCTCATTACGAGTATGAGGATGGTGACGAACAGAGACATTTCTCATATTGTCTGATAGCTGTTCGACCATAGAAGGAATCATAGCATCGATAGCACTCTTCAAAGCTGGTGTCAACACGTTGTGAGACAGTTCGAGAAAGCGCTGTGTAACAAGCCGGTCAAGATGAGTTTCGATGGTAGAGGGCATTATAAAAGGTCTCTCTGGCAAAGGAGTTTGGAGTGGGGGATTTGTGGATTTGGAATCAACGATGGGACTTGTGTCCATCGCGGGGGCGAGACTGGTGGCTCAAGGCTGGATTAGATGAGTGTCACGGTCAGTTTCTGTTCAGAGAGGATGTTCATAGTCCATCGAAACATCATGTTCCCCACCACTAGATGGCGGCATGGACAACATCCACTGACGCTCAGCACCTGTAATGAAGCATTAGCGTGAAACGTAGCCGGACGTGCACTTTATTGACACTGACCAGAATATGAAGTACTGGCACAACCTGACATATTGGGATTTCTGGAACGGCTGCTGGCTCAGCGGTATGGCGCTTCATCTGCCCAATTCAACGCTCAATGACTCCTATGATCTGCACTCGACCTAGCATAAGGAATATCCAGCCGACTAGCCGGTGCTGGACTCACAGCCGCAACAGAAGTAAGGGATGGAGAGTGAGACTGTGACGCTGGATGCATGGATTGAGGCTCTGTATCAATAGGTACGGAGGGGTGGGTTGTAAGTACCGCATTCACAGCACAAGGATGGAATTGGATATAAGGCAAGTACATTGGTGTACTTTCGTGAAGTCTACCGATATGTTCTCGATGTTCTGGCAAGAGCAGGCCTTGAGCCGATAATGAGCCGCGTGTCGTGAAACTGCAAGGGAAAATATGTTAGTAGAAGCAGAAGCATAACCAAAATTTGAGTCCACACTTTCGCATGATGGAGCCTAGTTTGTGAAGTGCTGATGCAAGTTCGCCAGGTGAAGGTTCTATGGGTGGTCCCCCTGAAGGACCAACGGGAGAACTACTGTTAGGCAAAGACATGTGTAGGGGATGGCAACGTGAGGACAATTCACCCTGTCAGATATATGCCTTGAAGTCAGTCATCTAGACAATCATAATCACCAAACCGGTCAACAGAAGCCTCTAGAGCACTCACAAAACCTTGTCTTTCATATTTTGGGTTATTCGGCCTGCCCTTGGTTACTGCGCTCGTTATTGTTATTGTTCGTTCAAATAGGAGTAAGTACTGTAGGAGGGTTCATGTTGTATTGTAAAGCGGTACTATTGCAAAAAAAAAATACTACTGGAGTCTAATGCTATTGTTGCTATTGTACATCTGCGTAGTAACAGTATGTAGTCATGCAGTAGTACGTCGAAAGAAAAGAGATCAGTAACAGTGTTTTGAGGCTTAAATAGTGAATGAAACTCAATGAAACTCAGCCTGGAAAAATCAGCCACAAATGCTCTGACCCCTAACCAATTTAAGTTTGCATACACTTATACACTATTGATAGTACGTAGATCAAAATTTATTTGTATAGACACCAATAATATCCGACTCCGAATAAGCCTCTCTGCAGATAATCCAAAGATAAGAGGGTGAAACCGAGGGCGAAGCAGGAGAATCCTATGGCAAGCAAGACTGATGTCACCTGCGCAAGCCAGGTGTATGGTGGCCATGAAGTTTACAATAAAGTTAGGAACACCAAGGGTGACTTGATAAACAGATAAATACCTGTTGTAAAATCATCAGCTCAATTTTTCTCTGACGGCCGACATGCCTTTGAGGGTGCGCTTGACTTCGACCTGACCCAAGACTTGGAACTGAAGTGGTTTGGTCCTTGTGCTGCATGTCAGCGGTGCTTTGGACAAAGAGAACGACATATGTAAGGCATGTGTAAAAGGATAAGTGTGCAATAGCAAGTGGTATGGGTTGGGGCTCTGTGTTTATAGAGACTCGACACAATAGGATTACTGGCAAGGTTACCGGTGCCATGTAATCAGCAACAATAAACACATTGTAGGCCTTATCACAATGGGTCAAACTGTTACGTACAAAATCAATAATTATTTCAAATGACTACATTCTGGAACAGAAGCGGGAGAAAGTATCGTTTCTAAACGGTATTGGAGTCGACTATACGACTCAGTCATTATTTGTATTAGATAGTGCCATCACCCAATAAGCAAGTATGTGTATGAGGAAATTTTTTTCCTTCCTTTGTCATGATTACAGCTTTGTTCCTCTTTGCCACCTTGGTAATGTGGACGGTCCTGATATCATCTCCACATGTCACCACAAAACGCTTGCTGCTGCCCATTGGGGGCTCTGCGGTAATGTAGCACATTGGAATTTTATCTTCTTTCGGACCAGTGTTCCTTGTTCTTGAAATGTATCTGACCGCAACGTTTCCATGCGTGACGGATCCACTTGACAGAAGGAATGGATCCAGAACTAGTGTGCGAACCAGGTGATCATGATAATTTTGATACCATGTACCAGATGGCACTGGTAGAACCCTTAAAACCAACTGGCACTGAGTTAGTAATAAGCTTAATCTGCTACTGCACAGGAATCGCGTGGCTGATTGAGGAGTTAAATGGTAGAAAGCAACAGTAATTAAAACAACCCACGAGATGAATCTGGGATATCAGAATTTTTCTCCCCCTCGTCATCAGGATTCACTCGCCAAGGATCATATGCTGAGGTAACTTGTATTACTTCCATGCGGAGCAGTTATGTTATGAAAAGCTTACCAGGGACTGTGGATGGCGCTTCTTCAAATACAGAAGTCTCTCGCTCGATGCTGGGGTCAAGTGACCATGGATTAGGGCGGGGTACGGAGGTGGACTTGAAGGCAGACTTGGAGGTGGGGTGCGGGCTCTCAGAGGCCTCTGGATGTACGATTGATGCAACATCTGAATGAATGTCTTCAACTGTGCAGCTGACAATCTACCTCCATTAATAAGTTCCCCTGATTCACTGTCTGCTCGTGAGTGGTAATGAAAGAGACCAGTAAGTATGGAACTGACCTGACGACATGGCTTCATGGAAGCCATTGCCTTTGACCTTGGAAGAGGTTGACTTGACAGGTATCACGTGTGAGAGAGCACAGTGTTCCATGCAGCGATTTCATATGGCCATGAATAACAATTACTTGCTTGCCAATGAAGTGTTTCATGGGGTCGTGCTACACTGTTGAGCTGATTCTGGTGGCATGAGTTATAGGAATCGTGATCTGAGATGAACAGTCAAATGAGAACGCAGAATGTGACTGACGCTGTCCGTACCTTTGCATAAGGACCTTGGAATGTCAAGGTGTTGTTGCTTAGGTCAATATCAAGGACGGTGCCCAACAGGTTCCATGCTGCCCCCCTTACAACTCATATGATATCCCCGGCCGCCACATCACATCCGCACGCTGAGGAAAATCGCAGGGCAGCTAAATTAGGAGATACACTGATCCATGGGACTGGCACTGTCAGATAGGTGTTTTGTGTACCTGAGACGAGGAAAGTCAACTGGTTCAACACAGCATCGACAGCTGTTACTGTCCCTGTCTTCAAGTAAAGATTCCCCGCTTTTGTACTACGACATTATCACCTCTCATCGCTTTGAGATCGTCAGGAAGCGCAGTCGATGTTTGCGCGATGGTACTGAAGGAAGCGGATAACCCGCGATCGACGATGTTGGTCTGGATAGAGTTACTTGATACAACGAACTGGATTTGTGTATCAGCTATTGACTTTTCCAAGGGGTGAGCAACCAATCACCTCAGATTTTGTGACCGAATCCCGGACAACGAGGGTATCACCGACAACTTCAAGAACTATTCCTTCCTTGCCCTTATACTCCGATTTCTCCGCACTTGTATCCAAGACACGGACATGATACCCCGTGCGAATACGTCTCCGCAGGTCCATGATGGGAAATGAGACTGGTACATCTATATCAATAAGTTCACTGTTTGACCCTGGGACATAGGCCAGATCCACCAATGCCGTGCCATCATCGATCATCACCGCCAGAATGATGCCCCAGGTCCCTGACATAGCTCCAGAGACGACTTGCACCTCATCACCTTCTATCCAGTGCTGAGCGGAATAGATATGCATGGTGCTAGAGACGAATTCTGGGTTGCGCCCTGACTCCTTGTGGAGGGCAATGTCCTGCGTGGTAGGGAGGGATATTCTGATGACATCCGTAAGATACCGTTCGATGCACATGAGGCCATGGATATATTTTTGACCTCGGTAGTTGTAGTGATCAACACCGGCAGGGTGCTCAAGGAGGTGATGCTCCTGTCTGAGCTTTCCAATGTCCCTTGGATCGCCTAGTTGTCTGGATGCTACTAATAACTTTACAGTCATTGTAGGGTCGTCCTATGATAGCCCGTACGCTATATCACGATTGTATGCACCATGCGTCATGCGATACCATCCAGGAATGGCCATGCTGGTGGGCCGAGTCGGATCATCAGAAACGAACGTGCACCAGAGGAGGCAATCAGCATGGGAAAGTGGAAAGGCTGCTCGGATGACGAGGGAATTGGGTGCAGTGACATACAAATGTCCGGGGAGTGTTGGATGGGTGTAAGTTTGTAAGCCAAATGCTTGGATGGATGCCATGAGAAATGATGTCTTTGATGCTGCAACCGCTGAGTGCGACACAAATGGATTAAGGTTCAGACACATACCAGGCACTGTCACAAGCCATTCACCTGGTGTTCTAGGCGCAACCACTTGTCAATCATTGTGTCCGATAGAACAGGAATGTAGTGTGCTTTGATGCCCACAAGGTTATCTAACGCGATATTGATATCGCTGTCCCCAGTGAATAAAGAGTCCACCGCCTCCTTCCAATCCTCTTCATGATATCTAATGCCGAGATAAGTGCGCAATTTGTTCAGCATGTCCTCGAACGACATGTCTGTCGTTAGGTGTTCTCAAAAGATGTCCCAAGCACCAACATCCTTCAAAGGAGATGAAGGACGCACGGCATTGTCATCGAACTCATCATCTATGATGTTGTCGTCTGAGACTAGAAACAATCCATCTGGATGAAAAGGAATTAGATAGTGTACAATAATACAGCCAACCAGCAAGCTTCATCTTCTTCATCTTCATCTTCTTCACTTTCATCCTTGTCCTCTGAGGCGACCTCCGCTTCAAGACTCACAAAAGACACGGCCTTTGTGAATTGTTAGCACCTGAAGCCATCATGTAGTAAATGGCTTATATGTGACTTTTCCTTAGATATTTTACTGTGTTTGCGACGTCCCCTGATGTGTGCTTGGGTGCTAGGATGCTTAGACATTTTGTACACAACTGACTACATTTTAATCTAGTCTAGGTGCTCACTTAATGGATGATGAAAGTAGGAAAGGAAGACATCATACAAGCATCACATCTATTTGTAGTGAATCCCAATTTGGGAAGACCCACTGCCACTTTAGCCACTTCGTCCACAATTATGTAGTGGCATTGTGTGACTAAGCGAACTTGGTCAGAGCGCTGTGAAGAACACAACCTGACTAGGCACTTGTCAAGGTACTAAGCCAGTATATGTCTAAGCTCTGCCTATGCTGCTATACTTGCAAACAATAAAGCAAGAATGTTTGACCCGAGGGAAAAGCTACTAAGGACAACTCAAGATCGAAAGACCCGAAAGAGCGCTAGAGCGCGGGAATAGCGCATCGCAAGATAGAGTGCTAATGCGCGGGAAAGAGCGGAAGTCAAGAAAGCAGACACTGAGTTAAAGGAGGGTAATGAATAGCGAGTGAGATCAAGAGTATTGATTGCAAGGGTAAGGAAAGTCAAATAGGGGCCATAGAGCGCAACTAAAGGGTGACTACTTCTAAGTAAAACCTAAGGGAAGGAAATACAGTCGAAGGGAAGTAATGTCGAAATAGTCACCATAGGCTTCTTATACTAGTAGACTATACCATCTCAGACTCGGAAGGGATAGGATATACATGTAATAAGACTGTAGCACTTTTTACAAACTCGAGGCAAGACTAATTACATACCAATGAGGTAGGATGGACCATGGATGGATTCTGACATTTCGGGTGATTCCTAGAGTGCGAGAACAGCACGCTGGATAAGTGCTAAGCACGGGAACAAGCGCTAGATAGAGTGGACATGCACTAATGCTCCTATAGACACATTGCTGGTAGTTCCGACAGTGCTATAAGCGCGGGAATAGCGCAGGATAAGTCGCGGGAACATGAATAGCGCTGTGGGAATGTGCGCGCATAGTGCGGGAAAGTGTGGAATAGCGTCGGACAAGGTTTATAGCTGAGACAAGTGAAGACCGTGTATAGGGGAATAGTGAATGATATGAGGTCTAGCTTTGGTCCACCTGTTGAAGGCTTATGCAGGTATACATGCCTAGCGCCAATATGATTGTCACAGCGCGCCGCTTTAATATCAATATTGATTGGAGTGAAAATGAGTGTTACAAGTAGGTAGGTTACATAGAAAAAAACAGCGGTAGTACTAAGTATTGAATGGGTTGGCACCAAATCGACGAGGGAACCAGTTTTTTTGATGCAACCAACCCTAGTATTGAACAAAAGGGATGCAGGCATGTTGAAGTAACATGTAAAGCGTCGAAAAGGCGCCTGATTGCAAAGTGTGCATGAGGACATTCACAAGGACGCAGATGATAGCAAATCGGACTAGTTGAACTGTGGTCGATGGGGATGAGGATAGAAGGGATGTCGCATGCTCCTCCAACATCTAATCCAAATTAGAAATCACCAAAAACTGAACAGAGCTCGCTTACCACATCGTTCTCCCCCCATACTTTCACACTACTATGCCTGTGAAGGCAGGTGCCAGTGACAACAAGACAGCTTGAGCGTCCTTCGTGAGACTAACTCATGTTAGGGTTATGTCGTCAGCTGCTGGGCAGAATGTCACTTACCACTACAGGTGTGATGCAATCGCCACGACTACCATGTTCCAACTGTCCATGGTATGCACCTGTGGTATAATCAAAAATCCGAGCAAACCCATCATCGCCACCAACGAACAGTAAGCCTGACTGTCGAGCAACAGAAATTTGCAAAGGAATATTGCGCAAAATCACATGGTTGAAGGACTGCACATGTGTGAGGTTGGGAATGGTATATTTGTCAACCCTGTCTTTGAGGTTGCTCACAAGCAAGTAATTGCCATTGAGAGCGGTATTGCCACTGAAACACGCCAGTTAATGAATGTCTAACAGTGTTAAATCAAAGCTGACATACATCCTGCTTGAGACTTTTTTGTGCCATTTGAGATCCCAAGGCTCTATCGAATAACAAAATCTGAGAACATGTTGTCTTACTAGGATGTGAAAGGCAAGAAAATCACCAAATTTCACTATCCTCCACAGTCAATGGTTCAGACAATTACCAACAGTTGATAACATGGTCATTCATGGGGGACGAGATGTGTTGAACTTTTCAAGCGAACGCTAGTGATGTAAAAGTGGCAAAGAACGATAGAAACAATAGTAGCACAAGGTGGTGCTATAAACTTCAGAATAATAAGTTGCAGCTGTATGCAATGAGCTTGAACTTTAATATATATCCCTTGTGGATATCTCTTACTTATACTCAGCAATGGAGAAGAAATTCACTAGCGGGATCGTCCCAATACGTGGCCTCGAAACCAACTCTCTGCTGCTCAGGATCTCACAATGAGTAATGATGCAGTCCAGAATAGAGTACACCTTCTTGATGTAGTCTTAAGTAGCCAAGCTCTTAATATTCGTTGACAGATTGTAGGTCTTATTTGTGTCTACCCTAATTGATGAATAATACATATAATTCTCCCCACAGAACTTTTCCTGTGTCTAAAAGAGAACTAGAATAAAGGATGATTATGTAATCAAAGATGGCTCAAGTATGTGGCCAAATACTTCTGAAGAATATGTGAAGAATAATGTCAAAGGTGTGGAGCAAATAAACTAATATTTTCTCCTAATAATCACTTGAATGTTCACTCAAATAGTAGGGGCTAAGAATCTTAGGGGTGAAAGAATGTTCCCCTGTGTTCCCCTATAAACTTTGTCTCACTCTGATAATACTTGGGAATGAAATTGATTTTTTCACAAGAGGGGAAAATGAGCCCCTTATATACTACTAGACTAGTGGCTGTGCTACTGATTACTAATGTACTGTAGAATATTCCAGAATGTTTGAGAAAGAACAATAGAATCTTATAGAATGCCATAGGATGTCATGGAATGTTATGGAATGATTAGTAAGATACTTATAGAATGTTCTAGATTACTCAGCAAAGGCTGTGTTCCAGGTCCTTCTAGCACTGCCTTATTGCTGTGCATTGATTACCAATCCATTCCAACTAGTTCAACTTGGTTTGGTTGGCACCATTGCCTTGAGTACATAAATGTAAATAAAGTGTGCATAGAATGTGTGTGTACATATGTTTGGCATAGGGGTAAATAAAATAAAGAATTATAGAAGGGATAAAGGGTACGTTAAGTATTTAGTTTGAACCACTAAGTCATATCTTGATGATACATGCTCAGAAATGTCTAAAGTAAATTGAAGTAAGGTATAGAAAATTCAGGGAAAGTGTATAGGCTATAGTAAGGACTAGCATGTGTCATAAATTTACCATGACCATGTACGAAACAGGTTTTGTGCATGTCAACGTCAGATCCAACAATCAGAATCAAGGAACATCGACTAACACATCACCACTTTCCAGGTATGACACCAACAATGAAGCACCCTTATCATAAAAGTGAATGGTGCGCGCAACATATGCCTGCTTCTCGGGCTGAGAGACCATTGGCATGAATGTCTCTTATAAATAAAATGTATTAATAGACGCACAACACTACAATGGCTACGTACTGTCTGGTGTGAGGTTCCAAACTTGCGGGTGACCGTCACCAGCACTCGCTAGTCTGCAATGATTGGGATCCCATGCAAGAGACTCGATCACACCCGAATGGCCTATGGTAGTACTCCGGAATTCAAAAAGTGCCTAGCGTAATGTTGATGAGTGTAAGCCAAACTCAATAGGCATTATCATGCACTTGCATCATTAATTCATTGATACATTTGGATGTTGCCATCGGACGCTCCAAATGCGAACATAGTTTCTCCGCGATCATCGACATCCGCCCAGGTAATGGCACTAATATATCCTGCTGCTGGTGAGTATATTTCCTGGATCATTTCACCTGATGCGAGACTCCAAACAACAACACGTCCATCATTGCCTATACACAATTTCAGCACAAGTATAGTAACAAAAATAAAGAGTTACCTCTGGTGAGGAGCAATGCTCTGTGCTTGCTGATAGCCAATCCATTGACCGCCTTAGTGTGACGAGTCAGCGTAAAATTGTTGGCAAACTAGGCGGTGTCAACGAGCATAGCACCCCGATAGAATTGGATACATACTTCCATAGTCGATGATCTGATCATTGTCACAGTGGTTGTCGGCATATATAAGTATATTTGAATATACTATTAATCTAACAGTTGAACAACAGGTTGAAACAATTGTTTAAAGGACTTGCCATGGAGACAGCCAAGGCATCACCATATATTTGAAATATGGCTTGATTAAAGCAATTGCGTAAAGCTCAGTGACAATAAGTACAATGAATATAGTTAAGCTATTGTAAAGAGTGATGAGCGTGATCTACAAAACTACAAAAATGTGTAAAGTAACGAAGTCAGTCAGCTGCTACAACACAACATGGGATCCAAATCACCAACTCGCAAAGACAGTGCCTTTAATGCACGGTTTGAACCATACGCCAGAGCGTCACCCGCGCGCCATCAGGTCATTGGCGACACATGACATCGAAGACCTTGAACTGGGCATCCAATTATCCTTGAGATCTTATCACTTTGAGACTGAGCGTCATGACAATGTTGAGCCGAACAATTACATATAGCTCGTGCTAACTGAAAAATATCAGGAGATACGAATGGGATCAGCTATGGAGCTCAACCTGCCCATCACTTTTAGTGGGACATATGGATGTCTGGACACCATTATGATGGATGACGAGGTTAGCACGACTACTACTGATAGATCCCACAACTTATGTGAGTGTCAGACCAGACCCCTCGCTGTCGTCCCATCCTGAAACCAGGCGCACATTGAGAGCGGGGAGAATTACTCCCCTAAAAGGGAGAAACTTGTCCGTGGCCTGCAGAAAACTGCAGATAAGTACTTACAACATCACTTTAAAGCAAATGATCCACATACCGAAGATCTACGCGAGCGTGTGCATGTAGCACTCAAAGCTGCCATGCTGGGGGTCGATGTTGACAACATGGTATCACGCTCAAAGACCGCACATCACTCTAAGTCCAGGGAGGACGAGCCAACAATAGTAAGGCAGAACAATGTCCTCATAGCGAACTGTGCATCTGATTCATCAGTAGATTCAAATGACAAATGAGTATATCATACCTCCCGCAATGGCATGATGCATCGTGAACTGTGTAGCAAAGGGACTACAGTCACTCCAAAATGCACTGAGCGCAAAATCAGAGGTACTAGATTTGAGCGAAGTTTATCCTGACACAATGCCAGGAGGATTGGACGTCATACTATGATGCATTATTACATTGAATGTACAATCTGTATGTATGTATTAACTACTGAACTTTGTTGTTACAAATGACAAGTTGAGGGAAGGAAAGAAACTCAGAAAACAGAGCTGAGAGGCTTATATAGTGAATGAAACTCAGCCTGGGTATTGCTGTGGTCCGGTCAGCAAGTGGCTGAGTGGCTGCCAGATAATGCCATCGGAGATTTAACTGGGTTTGATTCACTACTTAGGGAGCAAAACCTTGTTGCCATCGGTTTCCTTTCTCAACATTTTTTGCAAGTATTATATTCGTCACGGTTCATTTTATGTAAAGTAATTGCTGTACAGTTGATTGATGATGATGTCATACAAGTTGTTAATATCATCATCAACATTGAACAAACTCGAAGTCTGTCGTCTTTAGAACTGAACTTGTGTGTATGTCTTTTCGGTTTCTTTCTGTGTGCTTGTTTTATTGTAATATTCAGAATGTGACAGTCTCTCAACCGCATTGGCAGTCCCACCTGCTTGACAAGATCACGGGGCACTTTACTTGCTGCTGAGCTTTAGAACTCGAGGTGGCAACTGGTCTACGTACTCCTCCTGTCATCAGCACATCTCCTGCTCTCGATCCAGTAGCTGTGCAAGCCACTAAAGCCATGTCTTTACAGTGGATTTCGGCATCTGTTGGTGATCTTGCTCGCCGTCTAGAGAAGCAGGAACGCACTGACATCTAGATGTGTATTCTTCGATTAGTGCTACACAATCGCACACTCTACAACGAGCTCTTATCGAAAAATGTGTGATGCACTCACTAATCATGCCCGGCAATGCGCACTACACCTATTTCATGCTGGAGCAAGTATTTTGGGTGATGTTTATCTTATTTTCTGTTCTTGAGCTGTTATTTACACTCTCAGATAAGGCTGTTTTCTGTCGGATTCTTTCTCGTGAGTTTGGCATGCTTGTTACTGAACGTTTGTCACAGGAAATTGTCTCGCGCTCGATCAAGGACATGTCAGTCCGTTAGAATGCAAACAGAATGCGCTGGCAGAGGTGAGAGATATTCATACAGATTGAGAGCGGGAATGACCAATGCCCATTTCAAAAGCAGTCATTTTGGTGTATGCAGTTGCTGCCATGTGCAGCCTACATGAAGAAAGCCCTCCATGATCCCAAAGGCAAAAGGAAGACTACTAATGAGCTCGGAGGTCAGTCACCTGCTAAGAACTCAAAGTTATCAACGGAGAGCCATGACATCTTTTACATTGAGCTGGAGGCTGATGATGATTAGCCTGTCTCGAATCCGTCATCTGAAGTTAACTGAGTATATTCTACGTCTATTGCAATGTGGTGTGCCTGAAGCGCTCCGCTGTCCTAAGCAACCCGGAAATACAGTACTGAGCACCCCCCTAGCGGAGCACTTGTATGATCTAAGCGCAGTCCCAAAATTGCGACCAAAATAAGGCTCCTCAACATATTCATGCACATATTTAGCATATTTCTTAACTGCTTCTCACCTAATGTAGTCAATGTCTATTCTCTTGTCAAATGTAGACCAGAGTTAAAATACAGTATATATGTGATTATGCAACATATCCAAAATTTACTATTGTATATGCATGTAAATCACAGACGTAACATGTCCTTTATCTGGCTAAGAATCTAACAATATATCAGCCCACGCCCACATATTAAACATTTTTCATCCAGTCATATCCACCATTTGATCATGAATATTAGATCACAACTAATGGTGAACATTTTCCAACTCTGGTCTTAGATCTTTAATGCGAAGACATCCTTGTAAAAATCAATAATTTGTCCCTGAATTTGAGTAGGACATGTTGTGGAACCATATTTGGCTGTGTCTCAGGTGTTATATACCTTTGGGAGGCCATCTTACTAAGCATGATTCATCACATAGATTGGTAAGAATGTGCTTACAAACTTGTGTTGAGTCAGCTTGTTTACTAATGTACATACAAAATGAAGTGTAGTATTACAAAGAATGAAAACTGAAAAGCATGAGTCATCACATGGATTGGTAAGAATGTGCTTACAAACCAAGTCCTTAGGTGTGCTGAATCAGCCTTATGACAAAGTGGATTACAAATACAGTTGCAAGTTTTACAAAGCATGACGAATCATGACCAAACATGATGAGTCCTTACAAATCAGAGTATTTCCCAGTCACATGACATGATTACTAACATGTTTGGTGGCTTGAGGAAAAGTCTGGTGGCTAAATATGCCTAGAAAAATAGAAAGAGATATAATCTCATGGAACAAAATAGAAATACATAGAAAAAAAAATAGGAGTGAAGTTTGAAAGTGAAAATACTAGCTAAGAAATGAATGAAAAATGATAAAGTAACTTGGTGATAGGAATCAGTCAGGTGTCTTCTACCTTCCCTGTCACTGCTGTTGTGTATATGTCATGGTATGGATCACATACCATGCATGACACCGGACCGTCAGCCAGGACTGAGAAACATCTACTGGACCGTCAGTTACTCAGAATGAGTGAGAGCGCCAGAACGCCAAGACCAAATGAACCATTAGTTACTCAGAATGAGTGAGAGCGCCAGAACTGAGAACATCTACCGGACTGTCAGTTACTCAGAATGAGTGAGAGCCTCTATGGCCATACCTAGTAGCAAGTGAGAGTGTCTGTGTCCATAAGTGAGAGCGCCAAGTGAAGCCGGATGGTGAAGCCTGAGGTTGTTTGCGGCATGAAAGAGGTGATCTACATGAAGGATCAGGACTCTATGATGAAAGGTCATACCAGGTGAGAGCGCCATAGGCCTCACCTCAAATCAATCTAAATGTTTGTGGCATGAAAGAGGCAATCTGCATGGGGAGAAGTAAGTAAGTCAGAGCACCATCCTGTTATCTGAATGTTCATACTAAAGGAGGAGGACGGCATGAAAGAGGCAATCTGCATATACTAAAGGAGGAGGACAGCATGAAAGAGGCAATCTGCATGGGAAAAAGAAAGTTCATACCAGGTGAGAGTACCACCATGTGAGAGCACCATAAAGCCTCACCTATCCAATGAACCAAAGGTTGCGGTATGAAAGAGGTGATCTGCATGTGAGATATTTGCATGTGAGATGAAAGTAACACTTCCAAGTCCAAGTCACTCACCTCTTGCCTTAACCGCAACTTGAAGTCAGAACAAGGTAAGTGTTATACCTATGAACGTACCTTCAAGGCAAGTTCAAGTTGAATGTGATATCCAAGGACCTTGACTGCGCAAGTCAGAACAAGGTAAGTGTTATGCCTATGAACATACCTAGCAAGTTGAAAGTTGAAGTGGAGGCTTTACATTACAGATAAATATAACAGCATCGTAAACCGGGACCATCCCAACCATACCATCCCACTCTCTTATCATGCCCAACCAGCATAAGCCCACACGTAAGTGTGGCACATTTACTTCGATACTACTCCCTGATTTCAATCTTCATCCTAGCCCCCTTAGATGAGCTCATGCCTCATATGCTGCGCTATTGGAAGACGCATCTCAATGACAAAGAGATTGTCCAGGGTTTGCAGAAACATTTTAACACAGAACACTGTGGTATTGGGTGTGTAGATGATATCTATGATTAGCCGATGTAGAGACTCGCGTTTCTGCAGGCTCATATGGGCTCATTTTACGAATTCTGACAACTGGCCTTCATGGCACAACTCGCACCATCATCCACTATGACTTCCCTATAGAGTGCACCACTTTCCCGCGGAACGCGCCATAGGCGCAACACTTTCCCGCACAACGCGCAGTATTCCCGCGTGCGCGCCTTGCGCACTTTCTCGCGCTTAAGCGCACTATGTCGCACAGCATCCAGGAGCATCCATCCATCATCCAACCAGTCCCTCGGTATGTCCCTTTTCGTTATCTGACCATATTTAGCATATTACACTTCCCATTTCGTTATGCACCCTTACTTTACATCACCTTACCTCATTTACATACTTAGAGCGCTCCCTATTCGGCTCCGAGCCCTGGGAGAGCGCTTAGGTAGAACTTACATACACTCATGTTCGTTTTACACCCAACTATTCCACCTTACCTTCCTACCACTCAGTATCTATCACCAGTTAGCTCCATGCAATGCATGTGTCCATCATTGTTTTGAGGCCCTAGCATCAGTCTATAGCTAGTGGCACTATCAGTATCCGTCTAGATCCGCGCTTTCCCTCTTATCAGTCTCAGTATATATCTTTTACACCTGTGCACTGCTTGCACTACCTTCCCGCGCTCCGTGCACTTTCGCACTTTGCTTTCCCGCGCGCGCTTTCTCGCGCTTTCACCGCCATTCACCAGGGTTGTTCAGCATCATTCCGTGGATCCTTGCTTTCCTTGCTTCCCCTTTAGGGTCGAACGTTCTTGCATTCTGCGAGTATAGCAGCTAGGCAGAGCTGAGACTCACTTATACTGGCTGAGCACTTTTCTTATATGTGCCTGCCAGGTTGTGATACCCACACCGACTCAATCACTCATGTTCTGAACTAAAATCTAACTTGGACTCACAAAGTTTCGTCAGATTCATGTGGACATGGGCCTTGAACGCTCGCGTCAGCAGGGTCACACTATATAAACCATCCACGAAGCTGTCACGGAACTTAGCCAGATGTACCCTCATGCTGGAACATGAGAGATGATCGGTCTGCTCTTTCACGAAAAGAACATGAGTGTAGCTAAGTACTAATTTCATCTGATTGATCAGTTTGTTAAAGACTTACATCCTATCTAGATCAGTCATGATGTCTTACTTCACTGCCTATGAGCCAGACCTAGTGCGGCAACGTAAAGCCAGAAGACTGAAATGGAAGTGCTTCTGGGCAGCCAGTGTTAATGATCTCTTTGCTGTGGACCAGCATAATAAATGGCTGAGGTTTGGGCTTGGTCTTCACACTGGAATTGAGCCATTTTTAGGGCGCATCATATGGATCCGAGTTTGGCACTCTAACAGAAATCCACAGTTAATCCTCAGCTACTACCTCGATGCAATCGCAGAACTTGGTCGTAAGTTTTAGACATACCATTTATAAATACTTTACTGACACGACTGTCAGACATGCCGCTGATCACTCAAAGCAATTTAGGCACCAAAAATTATGGCATTGCAAATGCACAGACCCTTCTGCACCAGCACTATGACCCAACCCTGCAAGGGACTCTGCAACATCGTTGGATGTGTACAAAGAAAAATGTAATGCCGGAAATCACTTGGTCACAGCTCCAGCATAGGTTCACCCCTGGTTTTGAGAGCTTATTGGATGAAGGGGTCACTGAAGGCTGGTATGATTCAGGGAATACCCTTCACACATTCATAGCACCTGTCTTGTGGTTTTATGTGCTGATGATGTCTTGTCATTTATTTAGGATGGTCTTTCGCTGGGTATTTATACCCTGGTTGCAGCAAGAGCTGAACACTTTTAGAGATCAAGTGAATAATAGTGCCAAGAGGTGTGATCGCAACAAGGTATTCTACTCATTTCCGTCTTGTAATAATGTTCACTTACAACTCACCCAGGTACTCCCACATGGTGTCCTGAATCTTATCTATGATTCTCCTGAAGATTTTGGAGTGTTGGACTTCAAGGTATTTATTTGCATAAGTGACCTTGTGCAAAGACTTACTGTGCAACTAGGTTTTTATAGATCGTGACAGTATTGACTACATTTGCGACTTCTATATCAATGCTTCCAATCCAGCATTTGATCTTGTCCCACCTATGCTTGGCGAGCATATTGAACATTGCTATGACACAATGGGACGCCCTACAGTCACTCAGTCAACAGTTTGGACTGTGTACAGGAACGTGCTTTCTGCTGTGCAGAGTGCAGAAAACCCACATCCAGACTTACTACTGATGAAAGATGAGGATGCTGCTGCTGGCACATTGTCATTGATTGATGGCCAAGCTGATTTACCTTTTAATGAGGAACCAGATGGCACATACTACATGCGCAGAGGATTGGGCCTAGGTGCTGTGTGGATTTCCCTTAATCAACCGCATACTGATGAGACCAAAGGTGAATCTCACGTCCATAACTTAGATGCTCTAGCCAAGCTTGATGAACCCAATGTTCCACTGGATCATGGTCCTATAGAAAACCAAATGGGTGATCACACAGCCTTGGTAGTTTGGCAATTTTCAAGTGACGAGTCGGAGAATGATGGCATGACAGATGAATGGTGACTTGGACATCGGATTGCAGTGACATTGGCTATTTAGTGTGTAAGGCTCGAAGGCAATGGCACAATAGAGAAGAGTGCATTCAAACAAAATACAGGATCAAAGTCTCAATTCTGGGGGTTCAAACAACACTGTCCTAACTCTACAGGCTAACTAAGGCTTTTAAGGTAAAACAAAGAGTGTCAGTGTAGAGACTCGCGTTTCTCCAGGCTCATATGGGCCAAATTCACACTTTTTCACGATGCCCTCGATATCCTTGCAACGCGCCTTCTAAATCTGAAATGCGCCTCAAATGCGACAAACGCGCTTTCGCATTAGCGCGTTTCTACCCATACACGCTTTCGCATTTCGAGTATCCACATTCCTGCAGTCGTGCATCCATAATAACGCGCTTCTGTCGCGTTTTGTCGCCTTTGTCGCTGTTTCGCGTTGTTTCGCGTTCTGTCGTGTTCTGTCGCGTTTTGTCGTGTTTTGTCGCCTTTGTCGCATTTCACGCTGTCGCGTTTTTTGCGTTGGTACGGTCGCACTTCGCCTTTCGCATTTCACCTCCTATGCCATCGCCTTTATAGCACCTCGCCTTCTCTCATCCTCGCATTGATGAACCCTCGCTACTGCCTGTTCGCACCTTCCTGATTACACACATGTGTGCTTTGGCACGTACCAGCGCGTTTGAGCGCGTTACATCAGACTTCATCGCACTTCCCTAGGATCCATCGCCCATCCTCTGCATGTCCTGTCCTAGTCCTCCAAGGTCCATTGGTGTGTGCTCTTTTCACTAGAACTCATATGGCGTCACACAGGCACTTGTACTTATCACTGTGTTACATTATGGACCCTGACTTACCTCATCACCTACCTTAGTGCTCCCTACTCGGTTCCGAGGCCTGGGAACTTGCTTAGCATACTTACACGTCAGCATGTTCATTTTTCTGTTACTCACTTCCGCTCGACTACCATCAAAGTGTATAGTTCAAGTTTCTAGCAGAATACACTTGTTTCCCTCCAATTGGCACTTTGACACCTTTAAGTGTCTATTTCTACATCTATCAAAGCCCTGATTCTCCCATTTGATTGTCGCCTCTACTCGAAGCACTCCGCTGTGATTGCACGAAGTGCGCCTTGATATTGAAGCGCGCTTTTCCGCACTTTCCGCCTTATTAGCGCATTTAGGCGCCTTTAGCTAGCGCTCTTCGCTTTTGGGTACATTACTTGCCTTAGTGTCCCATCCAGGCTTCGAGACCGAACTGCTGGTTATAGATCCCCCTCACCTTTCACTAGAGGAATCTTTCTCAGTCGCAATCCCCTTGGGACGACTTTCCACTCGTATCCAAAGGAGCACTTGAGAGCCCACTTCCCACTCTTCCCCCTAGCACGCAGCTATCATTCCTCGCCCTCATCGGGCGATCACGGAAACTAAGAGATAAGAGTAAGGAATGGGTAACAAACAGCTCAGCTGATGGCGACATTGAGTGACTCGAAATGACTGGTAAATGAGTGTAGTAAGTAAAGTGAAACCATTTTGGGTGGGGGCTGTAGAACAGCGCCACCGTTACATCTCCCCCTCCAGGGAGAACCACATCTCCCTTAAACAACTTCTGCAGGACGTAGTGTTAGTCCATCTTGTTCATCTCCTCAGTAGGGGTTCCCTGGGTGGAGGACCCGGCCACAACATTGGCCGGGCACTGGAGCATTCCCTTCTTAATCTTGCCCAGGCCCTTTTTCTGGAGCTTCTGCTCCTGCTTACGCCCCAAGTTCTTCTCCCTCTTCTGACCCTCGTGGCGAGCCTCCATTTTCTGGTTTTGGTAGTTAGCACTAAGAGCAGTGTGCCACACCATCTGCTCAACTTTGGCCAAGCGAGTGGACGAGACGGTGACTTTGACATTTTCTTCCTCGACGATATCAGTGAATGCCAAGGCGGCGCTGGAGCTGATCACGGCGCCAGTCTCATTGATGTAGGATGCAGTGGAGGGTAGGCCTTCACTGTTGAAGGCGTGGGCAAAGAAGTCATAGCCTAACGGGCTTGGGGGCAGTTGTCTAGGGACTTGTTGCACAGGGCATGGGAGTAGGCGATGAACAACCTCAGTTGGTCGCGCGTGATTAGGTGCGAGGCTTCGCTATTTTTGGGGCTCCCAATGAGGATGTCTTTCCTGTATGCCTGAGAGATAGAGGAGGTGGTTGGTGTCTGGGGCAATAGACATGGCAAATAGAGGGATGTCGTGGTCGTTGTACCACGAGGAAGGGTGGTCTGGTGGGGGGTATTTGGACGAGGATGAGTGTGATGAGGAGGCTGGGGTAGGAGTGGACTGGGTATTTATATTAATGTTTTCCCCTAGCGACACAGACCCGATGTCTAACATCGGGTCATCTCGGGGGGGCACTCCATGTCCAGACGTCAGATCTGCAATATTAGTGTAACCGAGCAGATCAAGGTACTCGCCTAGTGCGTCCAAATGAGACACCTGATCATAGGTGAGCCAGGTCACGTCCCCGGACTGCCATTCTACCTCGAAGACAGTGTCCTCGTGGGACCCACTGTGGGACAGGATGCGATCCACCTGCCACTCAGTCTCTTGCTCACCTTCGAACTCGAAGATTTGGTTGTCCATGCGTCCTGGGAATAACCTATCATCATTTGGGATGTGAATTGGAAGGAGCGACAAGTGAAACACCGGGTGGATTCCGCGTTGCCGGAGTCTACTAGGTAGGTCAACCAGGAACAAGTTGTTGCCATAGTCTTTGAGCAGCCGGTAGGGGCCTATGAATTTCGGCGTCAGTTTGTGCACCAGCCCTTTGGGAATGGACAGGTTCTTTGTCAATACATATGCTAGGTCCTTTCCTTGAAGGGGCAAGGTTGACACTTTCTGTTAGCATTCCGCGTTTGTTTCACACGCGCCTGCAACATTGAGTCATGGGCCGCCATAACCGCCTGCTTCCTTTTCTGCAGGTACACCCTCACACTCGGGTATTCGTCCTTGGACAGGTTATTCCACACCATTGCTCTTGGGGTGCAGGCCAGAGCTTGCTCCAAATGGTGAGAGTGAAGTTGATTCCGAGCTGGCCGTATTAATAGCGAACTCGATTGCAGGTAGACGCGCCACCCAGTCAGTCTGGGTGGGGCTTATCACTGACCTCAGCATTTGGACGACCGTTTGGTTCACCCTTTCTGTGGCTCCGTCTGATTTTGGATGGTATGCGCTGGACATGTGTTGATTCACGCCGAGCAGTTTATTCAGGTCCGTCCAGAATGCGCTGGTGAAGAGTATGTCCCTGTTGCTGACTATCAACCTAGGGAGCCCGTGGTGTTTGTACACCTTGTTGAACACCAACTCAGCCACTTTGCGCGCAGTATAGTTTACTCGGCTCGGCACAAGGTGAACCATGGAGGTGAGTCGGTGTGACAATCATACCAGCGCTAGGCGTGTATGAGTGTCATAGGCATATTCTGCCTTGCCTAGAGGAAAAGAGTAAGGCGCTAGTCATCAGCGCTATCAAACTCCCAAGCTATCTGCTTTGGAACCACTTTTCTCCCATAGCGCGCTACCTGGTCCGACGTCTAGGTATTCCATCCTCCCATGTCCTGCCTATGTCCACCTACCTCCGCTGGTGCGTTATTTTTCCTTAAATGTTGCTACTCATCAGTCGCAGGTCTTATTACATGTGTCCTTGTGTTCCACAGCGCAGCATGTTTTATTACCTGTCACTACATTGTGCCCTCGCCAGTGTCGCTACTATTCTCGCCTACACATTCCTAAACTTTTACGCAGTATGATAAAATGACCCGTCGCACATACAGTACAGTACTTCCCTTCCCCGGACCTTTGCTGGTGTCGGAGTCACTTTAGTCGCTATATCTCAGTCTTAGTGCAATCGATTCCGCTCTTGCCAAATCTCTTTGATCGCGTGTCGCTTGACTTGCTTTAAGTGCGCGTCACTAAAGTTCCCTCTTAAGTTTGACTTTCGCAACGTCGGGATCGCTATCGGTAGTTGAGCTATCATCTAGTCGCTATCGGGCATTTTACTTGCACTGTCTTACCTTACTCCTCGCTTTCGCTCCCTTTGATTTCTTCTCGCTGTCGTTAGTCGGACGTCGCATAGTGCTATCGCATAAAACAGCTTGCATAGCGCTTCTCACTTATACGCATGTTTCCCTGTCAGAACTCACTTGTCGCTGATCGCTATAGCGCTACTCATCAGTTTTTGGTCTTAGGTCGCTATAGGTTATTAGTCCTTCGCGCTATCGCTTCCCTTGCATATCAGAAGGGAGTTGCTTCAATAGCAGTCCTCTTGGGTCGAATACTACACTCGCGCCTATTTGGATAAGTAGTGCTAGTTTCTAACTGGCCTAGTCGCTGTTTCTCTTTCACATTGGTCTATGATGACCGTTATGGCGTCATACTCACCATCCCTGTCCTTGGACATGGGTAGGGGCCCAATGAAGTCTATCCCTATGGATTCCCAAGGTCTGATGGGTATGGGCAATGGATGCAGCAAGCCGTATGGCTTCTGATTGGTGGGCTTGGTCCTCTGGCAGGTCACACATGACACGCAGTAGGTGTTTACGTCCGCCACCATTGATTTCCACCATACATGGTCCCTCAGGGTAAGTCAGGGTCTTCTGTGCACCCAAGTGAGCCAACAGGGAGTGCACCTGGGAGATCATTATTTCCTGGACACTTCTTCCATCCATTTTCAGGTCTGGGACGCAAAGGAGTGTTCTGTCCTTTAGCTTTATCCTTACCAGACCTGCGGTTTTTTCAAATTTCCGGTAGTTGCCTGGTGAGTCCAGTATATTCTTGAAGAATGGATCTTCATGGTAATGATGCCTCATTCCCTTGATCAGCTTGTCCTCCTCTGGGTACCAGGCTGGGGGTGTAGGTAAGTCCCTTGTTGCATCCTCGGGGATGTCCTCCAGGGGCAGTACTGACGGGTTTTAGGTATTTCCACCAGGATCCTCCCCCTCCTTTCATTCGTGTGGACCATGCAGGACGAAATGAGCAGCCATGTATCTGGCAAACTTGCCCCCCGTCTCGGGGCGACCTGTTTCTGCCGTGGGCACCCCGTTGTGGGGCTTGCAATGCCTGACCTCACCAGGCTCAATATCTGCATCTGGCATGGGGTGATGCCCACCTGGCCTCTGGTTTACCATGCCTGGTGTGGGCTGTTTCGGTTTCCCCTGTTTGACAGGTTTTGGTATCCGGGCAGGTGAGTCCCTGGGCCCTGACCTCAAAGTCAAATTCTCCCAGCTTTCAAACCAGCACGCTTGGCGCCCTGACAGCTCCCTTTGGTTGAGCAGGTGCACAAGACCTTTGTGGTCAGTGAGCCACATGAATCTCGCGCCCTGCAGGATGTCCCTGTGGCACAGCATGCCTTCCATGCCCGCAAGCATCTCCTGCTCGTGCACTGTGTGGTTCTGCTGAGCTGAGCTCAACTTGGCACTGTACAGTGCCGCGACTTTCGCAGTCTGCCAGTCATCTCCCTGTGCCACAATGGCAGACACGCCCTTGGCGCTCACATCAGTCATCAACCAAATAGTAGGTGACCCCTTATTGTATTCAAGGGGCACCCAGTGATGGTCCTTACAGTTCTCGGTGTAGCATTTGACTTCATCGAAGGTGCGTAGGTGAGTGAACTCCCAACAGAATGGCACCGTGTTGCCTGTTATTTCTGACAGGATTCCCATAGGTACCCATACCTTGTGTATGTCGTCCGCCAGGAATCCCACTGCCCATAGGAAACTACGAAGCACGTCTCGGTTGACGGGAGGCTTCCAATGCAGGATCCAGTCTACTTTGTCCGGATCCATGCAGATTCCATCGTTGTTGACGACGCGACCAAGAACCCTTAGCTCACTGCATAGGAACTGCAGTTTACCTTCACTCAGGTAGAGTTTTTTGCACTCTAATATCCCTAGCACCGTTTTGATGTGCTGGATGTGTTCTTCCAGGGAATCTGAGTATATGATCAAATCATCAAGATAGACATTGAGCCAATTGTCGATGCATTCGCTGAACAGATAGTTCATGAGGGCCTGGTAAGTCACCAGGGCATTACAATCACCCTGCTGCAGGACTTCGCTGACCATGTTCCCATCAGGGGTGGTCACGGCCGATTGTTCCATGTGTTTGGGGATGATACAGATCTGCTTGTATGTGTCCTGGCCGTTGATAATCGACCTATATTGTTTGCGTGCCACTCGCCTCAAGATTCCATCGATGTCTGGAAGAGGTGATTACAATTTCCTCATGTTCGAGTTACGCTCATGCAGGTCGATCACAGTCTGAAGTTTCTCGGTGTCCGGCTTCTTAATAAAGAGCATGGGCACTGTATTCCCAGCGCTTGTCATGCGCCAGTGACCAGAAGCTAGGTACGCCTTTCTCTTTTCACCCCACTGGGGTCTCAGAGGTTCAGGGCACTTTGACAGCCACCACTTGTAGATTTTCGCTGGGTCAATCAATGGTATTGTATGGTTGATGGCCCGCAACAGGGGTAAGCCCGTTTAACTCGCTTTCGCACACAATGGTTGTGCGAGGCGGCATAGTTCTTGGCGCATCCGCTCCAAGTTCTCCTCATATGCCTCAGCCATGCAGGACTCTAGGACTGACACTTGTTCACCCCGGATGGATTGTGCACCATCGCAGCCAATCACCACCCTCGCTGGGTTCAACCCTACAAGCACCTGGTGCTGGAACAAGAAAGGGGTGCCCAGCACCAAATCATAGTTCTGTAAGTTAATGATGTCAAAGAACCACGTCTCATTGATCTTTTGATAGGTGAAGTTCACGCTGGTCCCACAGTTTACCTTGGACCTAGACCCCTGTACAGCAAGCTGTATGGTAAGTGGCTTTTCCAGTGCTACCTTCTTTACGTTTAGCTGATCTGCCAGCAAGGTAGACATGAAGTCTGCCAATGAACCTGTGTCCACTAACGCTCAAGCAGGCCATCCATTGATATGAACCACAATCACCATGGGTTTAGGGATCAGACGCTTGAAATTCCACGTGGTTGCTGAGTTCCATTGGATGGCAGGGTACGCTCCCTGGGCTACTTGCTGGCCATTGAGCTCAACAAACCGCAGCTGGTTCTTAGTCTCAGCGAAACGGATATCCGGCATCGCGAATAACTGGTGAGCTACTTCTTCCAATGTGCAGTCCATGGGACTCAATGGCTCATTGTCCAGCAGCTGGAGCTAGTTGAACTCCATCTCCAGCTCTTTCTCCAGCAAAAGGGTGTCCAGGTTTCAGTAAGCTTTCCTTAACCATTTCTCATACCATTTGGTAATGTTTAACCTGGGGTTGCTCAGATAGGCATCATTCACCCATATCCTTAGGTTGAGGTCCTTGTCATGGACCTCAAACATTACCTCGTCCTTGAAGGATGCCCAACCACAGGTGAAATGTCTGGGTGAGTGGATACCCGGAAAGTTAGGCTCACTGTTTAGGATGTCCCTGATCTTGTCAGATATAGCATCAACCATAGGTTCCTTGGTGTGCATTAACCGCACTATCGATTTACCAGTCCATCACGCAGAACTTAGGGTTGGCCAGATTGGTCGAGTCCAACAGTAAGTCTTCCTCCAACCTTCTGGCCCCATCCATAACGACGTGGTGTGTTTCAGAGGTTTGATATACCACAAAACATTGCCTGGAGAAGGTGCCTTCATTGGATAGATCATCCCCTGAGTAGGGCGCTCGCTGGGCTAGCAGCTGCCGGGCCCGTTCGGCCAAAGGGTCTCCCAGGGACACATCGGCCACTACTGGGCTGATGGTTTCCTGGTCTATAGGCTCCTCATAGCAGAGGCTCATGCTCCCAATGGTAACCTCTGGTACCACCTCAGTGCTCTCGGCTAATGTGCGTAGCCATTCAGTTTCCTCGAAATCAACATGTATTGCGTAGCTGGGGACTCCTGGTGGTCTGTCTCGCCCCAATGAAGGTACAGTTCTCCTTTTAGGGCACTGACGGGACATATGGCCCGTCTCTTTGCAGACAAAGCACCTCCCCTCAGACATGAGCTTGTCGTGCTCCTCTTTTCTCAGCTTATGCTCCTTAGGATGCTCTTCCCGTCGGGGTTTATTGCCCAACCGGTCGTATTGTCCATTATCCTTGGAGGATCTCTGTCCATTTCCAGAGCAATGGTTGTGGTTTCGCTCCTTTGACAATCCCGGAGGATTGTTCTGGTGAGTCACACCCTCAGACCCTTTTGAGGGCTTATCAGGTCTGTCTTTTCCAGGTTTCTTGTTCCCCTTGGATCCGTCCTCGCGGCTATGGGATCCGGATGCTGAGTTAGCGAGCTCAATAATCTCGGCCATTTCTGAACCTTTGACAGGGACGACACTTCAGGGTTCAGTCTCATTTTATAGAGCTCGTTTTGGATGCTCGGGTTGAGGCTGAACCAAAACTTCACAACCTTATCCCTTTCAGGTACATTGCCTATCATCATCCATAGTTCATTGAGTTCTGACAGGTAATCTCTCACCCATTTGTCCCCCTGGTAGCACCTTTAAAGCTTCTTTCATTGCTTGGTGCTATAGTCCAGTGGAAAACAGTAGTCGCAGAGTTCGGTGAAGAACTCGTCCAGTCTCCAGTTGCCCGGGTTGTCTGACATTTGCCTTTGGTAGAACTCATGTGCCTTCCCTTTCAGGAACCGCGACAGTGTGAATACTCGTCGAGACCATGACACGTTCCCGTCTTCTAGATATGCCGTTCCTTTGGTGATGAATCAATGGAATGCCCTAGAGTCTTCCACACTGTCATACTTGGTAGGCAGAATAGGTTTTAAGGTACTTTTCCTTTTGGAGGATTTCTCCTTCTTACGGCTCTCATGCTTCTTAGAATGGTACTTCTGCTTCCTAGCGGTCGAATCAGACCCAGAAGTCTCGGATGAGTCACTGGACTCGCTCGACTCAAGACTTTCACTAGTCTCACTGGATGACGAGCTCGAACTCGAACTGTCTGAGGATTCAGACCCTAGAGAACTCAACGACATCGAGCTTGTTGAACTCAGTGAGTCTTCAGTGTCTCATCCCTTCCATTTCTTAATGCCCTTCTTCTTAGGTTTGATCTGCATAAAAGCGTGCCCCAGATAGCTTTTGGGGACTATCTGGGCTACTGCATCCATAGCAGGTGGGGTCGCTCTATCCCCTCGTTTAGACGGCTTACTTCCCATTTTATCGAGCATCTCTTTGACAGGGTTGGAACCTTTCGGTTCCTTCCCTGTTTTTGGTGCTCTATCTTTCTTGGGAGGTCTAATCTTAACCTTCTTGACCGGTGGGCCATTCCTTTTCTCGAGCTCCTGCTTCAGCTGCTGAATCTCCTCCCTGTTCTCCTGTTCTGGGGCTTTTTTCGACCATTCATGGGTCTGAGCCCAGGTCTCAAGGGCTTCTCTCTGGGCGTCAAGGTCTACTTCCAACTCATCCAGGTTAGCATTTCCCCAATTGCATGGGTCAACTCCCTTCCCTTTGGGGTTGGAAGGTCCTTCCTCGCAAGATGACATAGTCTGTTCTTGGGAGTCTGCATTCATTTTAGTGTGCTTCCTTTCGAGGATTCTTTGCCTTTCCTCTGCAGTAATGTAGCTTCTCTGCTTCTCTTACTAGGTCAGCTTTGGGCTGATTTTTTGTTGGGGCTATCTTCGCCGCTCGTTTAGATTTCTTGTGGTCTTGCTCAACCGTTGTCCAAGGTGTGTCCACCTCAGACTCGTCAGACTCACTTGAGCTGATAAAAGGATTGTCTAATGTTTCATTTGCAGATGACGCAGAGTTCGGGGCTACTGACATCTTATAGCTACTATGGGTATCCTTGGTGCTTAAGACACCAGTAGACACGACCTCAGCTCCAGGCTGAGGCGTGTCCACTCTCGTCCTTACCACATCGCTAAATGAGCGTACAAGGTCTCAGGACAGAACCATCGACATGAGAGTCATTAGACTTCTCCGCCATCGAGGTATTACAATTGGTAGGTACTGATATAAGTGATGACTCACTTAGGGTATTGGTTGCATTTTCAGCGCTGGCAATAGGTGCAGAGCGCTGGGAGCACAGGGGGTAACAGGATGGCATGATGGTAGATGTCGAGTTGGTACATTTTGGTGGGCCTAACCGGGTTGGTGCCAGAGTCGACAGTGGGAGAGAGTTTAAAGGGTAGAGTAAAGCTTTGTAGACTTTTGTGTGTAAAAAAGATGTGACGTTGGCTATTTAGCATGTAAGGCTCGAAGGCAATGGCACAATAGAGAAGAGTGCATTCAGACAAAATACAGGATCAAAGTCTCAATTCTGGGGGTTCAAACAACACTGCCCTAACTCTACGGCTAACTAAGGCTTTTTAAGGTAAAACAAAGAGCATTGGGCGATCACAGAAACTAAGAGATAAGAGTAAGGAACGGGTAGCAAACAGCTCGGCCGATGGCGACATTGAGTGACTCGAAATGACTGGTAAATGAGTGTAGTAAGTAAAGTTAAACCATTTCGGGCGGGGGCTGTAGAACAGCGCCACCATTACAATTGTGTTAGTGTACCTCGTAATCACTTGTTTGGCTTGGTTTACTTTGCTCGAAGTCTGCTGAATTATTATTCGTGCAAATACTGGTTTGAAAGTCTTCACCTTATTAGGCAATGCACATGAGCAGATACGCTGACTAACCGAGCACGGTGGTCCAGCTTTCCATACTCTCCACACCGCCGACTGGCCCTGGGTAGGAGTCTGCGATTTGTCTCATCCGACCAGGTTTCGCAAACTATCCTCACGTCTGACCACTGTCGGCCATGCTCCATCACTTGCAGGTTTTCACTGGGATTGATGAGAATTTGGACAAATCAACTTGGGAGATCCATGACTGGATCGTCGCGCTCCAAGGCTTGCAATCGCCAACCCTTACCTGGTTTCATTGGTCATATGTCCAGAACAGTGACAGTACGTGCGTTCAATCTATTTCCTGTGATTGAATAAAATAACATAGGATCATGCAAACTTCCTCTATTCCAGCAATTTGTATGCCTCAAGTCGAAATTCCATAGGACTACAAAGTATCACTCGAGCGCCCATGTTGTAGTCACCATTAATGGGTTTCAAAGTACACGGTGTGCATGTGTTTGAACTTCACAAAAACAAGAATGTATATTGATATTCAAGCTCCGTGTAAGACAGTCATGTTACTAATCAATCCTATCATGGAAAGTATCCAGTATCGTGGAAGAGATAATCAATAAGCTACTATTCTCCACCATCCCTCCTGATGCACATTTCAGAGCGTAAAAAGGTACTAGAGGCCCTCCGAGAAACAAACAAGACTCTTCAACTTGCTCGGTACCTCGAGCTAGTAAACATGTTAATGGATGACGACTCATCTGACTCTGAGTCATCCGACGAGTCTAGCTCAGATGAGTTGGACTCTCTTTTGATACCTGGATGTCGCTTGACTCTGTCTGGAATGACATGCCGGTATCCTCCAATTCAAATTCTACAGAAGCCTCTGGACCCATGTTCAGTAGCCGAGTCTTTCTCAAATTTAGTAATACCATCCAAGCACTTCAAGATGAAGTCACAAAAGCATGTATGCTCATTTCACATCCTACAGCCACCCACGCACCGCAGCTCCATCTACTCGAAGAGTGGACATTGGAAAATCCTCGGAGGTTCCATCGCAAGCTCCAAGTCGATCCTGATGTGTTCGTAGAACTCGTCAATAAAATCATCCATCATCCGATTTTTTACAACAATTCTAACAATCCTCAACTACCTGTTCCCATTCAGCTGGCAATATTTTTGAATGCCGCTGGCCACTACGGAAATGCAGCGACCACGGAAGACATGGCTGATTGGGCAGGGGTTTTGGTTGGAACAGTATACAACTGCTATCAGCGTGTTATGGTTGCAATTTTGCAGCACCATGACGATGTCATCCACTTTGACCCACTGGAGGCTAAAGACCAGATTGAGATAGATCAAGCGAAAGACTGGGTTGAGGAACGTACATGTCGGGAGTGGCGTGGTGGATTTTTGTGTGTTGACGGCACACCTTTCAATGTGTACCAGAAACCGGGATGGCACGGAGAAGGTTTTTTCGACCGAAAATCAAATTACTCCCTGTCCGCGCAGGTAAGTCATCTAGAATAAATTAAAAATTCATCCTGACCATTAATTTAGATTGTGATCATGCCCCACAACCTCTGTATTGTCGACTACGTGATTGGGGTCCCAGGAAGTCTGCACGACGCTAATGCATTCTCGAAGACACGAATTGCACGACACCCTGAGAACTTTCTGGGAGCAAATGAGTGGATCTGGGCAGATTCAGCATATGCATCGTGAATGTGGTGTGTTGTTCCTTTCAAGCGTCCAGTGGCCGGTGGTCTGAGGCACGATCAAAAAAAATTCAATACACACCTATCGAAGGTAAGCCATTGAGTATTTTGAGACGGGTATATGCACTCATACCACAATTGAAGGTCTGAGTTCGATCCGAACACTGCTATGGGTCTCTTAAAGGATGGTTCCAGTCCCTGTGCGACCTAAGAATCCAGATACAGTTGCAGAAAGACCTCAGCTATGCAAATATGTGGACTCACTGTTGCCTCATTCTTCACAATTTCATTATCAAGATTGAGGAGAATATGGGAAAGAAAAGCTCTAATCATCACTTTCAGAAATAATCACAGGTGCGAGGGGCCAGAGATGTAGATGATGAGGACGAGGATGGCAATGGTGATGAAGGATTTATCGGAACAGATGGACAAATTTTCCGGAACACATTGATGGGTCGTTTGCTTCGTAGCCGCAGAGTTTAGGTGCAGTATACATTAAGAACAAGTCTGAAAGATGACATGTAGTAGTAGTACAGCAACACGATGAGTATCGAGAGCATGATTAGTAAAACAACAAGCACTGAAGACAAATATAAGCACGAACTCAAATGTAAACAGACAGCGACAGACACACAAAAGCAAGCATAATATGAATTAGCCCCATCACCTAAACCCAAGCCACGCTCCATTGCAAGACAACAATATTTAGCTTCTTCAAGTTGGATTTCCAACTCAAGTTGCCTTGTCTTGTCTTCGGACATGGCACGTTCATGATCGTGATTAGCCATGACCTGACATGAGTCATGTTCACGCTCAGCATGAGCCTCGTGAGCCTTCAACTCCTTGGAAAACCTAACATATTCGAACTTCATCCGCTTGCTCGAGGCTTTGACATCCGATTTATTCTGCACATGGAGTAGGAGGGAGTCAGAGGCATCAGCCAACTTCTTTGTAACATCTGCCCCAATATTGTGCGGCCGCTTATGAGACTCTGATGTTGAATGAGAACCAGATGGTGATGGGCCCACACTGCGGTGAGTAGAGGTGGCTGGGCTTCAACCACGCAGAGCACTACCACTCGCTTTACGAGAGTGCACTGTCAAGGATTTCATAACACTCTCGATGCTCTCACTACCAGATGACTCTGGCTGAAGGTCCATGTGACCAAAGCCATTATTGTCATCGACATCTTGTGGTGGAGACTCCCGTGAGATAAATGTGCATGAACGAGCCAGTGCAGAATCTCTCAGTGGAGAGTCAAGTGAGATATCCGGAGGCTGATTGATGTTGCTTGGGGGAGCTGCAGGACCTGGAGTTGAACCTGTGTGGTAGTCAAGGGGAGGATTTAAAGGGAGCAGTGGTGATGTCATCGAACTTGGAGAATCAGTGCCTGAAATTTGTGGCGATGAAGAGGGGAAGGAAGAAGGGTCACGATGCTGCAAAAATGAGGGTTTGTTGGAAGAGCTGAGGTCGTTGTAGAGGTCATCATCACTGTCGATAAGTGAACGAGAAGCTCCAGCAGCCACTGGAGAATATTCCGACTGGCCAAGTGGCTGATTAAAAATTTCTCCTGGCTGAAGCTCCTCGTCATCAAGATCCATCTCATCAGCAGCCTGCAGCCCAGACTTGGGGGTCTCTGTAAAAAAATCGAGTGCCTCATTGGCAAGGTCTTGACCAGGATCTGCAGTTGAGAATGCTGTATTATATGCTGGGTTTGTCCTCCACCATCCATGGAGGTCAGACCACCATGGGAATTGCTGAAGAAGTTGAGCTGGTGCTCAATCTCAGAATATAACAAACAAAAAGAAAAGCATGTTCGTACCAACAAGAGTTTTAGTGCAAGGATCTGCATTCAGCTCCTCAATAGACTTGAGTCGAGCCCCCGTTTGACCAAGCTCCTTGTTGAAGGTGTTGTATTTTTTTCGAAGCCTAACATATCTAGTCAATCACGCCATCAGTAGAGATCAACAAAATCATAGCAAACATACAAGGTAAACCGACTTTGAACAGGTTTGATAAAGCTGAGAGGGTGCTCTTGATATAATGCATGAATTTGTGGGTCTTCATCATCGGCAAAAATTGCAGTAGCCAGCTGCTGGATGTAGTTCTTTTTCTGGGTGGACATCTGCTGTCGTGGTTGTCCCTCATCCTTTGCATCTTTTGCTGAATCGGAGAAAAGCTTGATCCGACCTTCATTATTGGCCTTGCACCACTCAATCAGGCGAGCAGTGCGTGAGGAGTGCCGTTTCTCCCACTGGATTGTTGGGATCTTGGTAGGTGGTTGTGCTTTGGAGGGTTAGGAGGAAGTAGGAGCCAATCCACGACTGCCCCCACCTCGAGCTCTACTGGAGCTACTAGCTCCACATCCACGGATGGTGCCTTGTGTGGCCATAGAGGTCAGAGATGCCTGCGATGGACAGCGACGACGACATTAGTGATCACGGCCAGCATGCAGTGCTGTCGGAGTTTAAATTATTTGCATTCATCGATTATTCGCGACATTGTTTGCGGCATATGCGCCAAACTTTGAAACCCATTATTGTGATGTGTCAGTCACCGGAGAACTAGTGAAATTCCACGGTCATAAGGCACATCTCAACCACCCTTGGCAGCACTTTTTAGTGCATCTCACGGTCTTTCAGACTGGGTTTCCTGGTATACAATAACCTATCTTGAAGATGTCCCTACTTAGAGCTCCTCCCACCCATTTCCTCTAGGTTCTACCGAAGTTCCCTCTCGAGGTACGTGACCCTCTTATTTGTAAACTACACCTCTAAGGAGGTCTGAGAGGTGTGTCTACGAGGCTTGGGAGGATCGCTGGGGAGGTTTGAGAGGCTTGTCGGAGAGGTCTGAGAGGGTTGTGAGTGAGGTTCTAGAGGGTTGTTGGAGAGGTTTGAGAGGGTCATCAGGGAGGTTTGAGAGGTTCATTGGAGAGGTCTGAGAGGGTTGTTGGAGAGGTTTGAGAGGATTATTGGGGAGGTCTGGGAGGAACATTTGTGATGTCTTGGAGGACCATCACATATAGGCTTTGTCAAGAATGTTTTCTGTTTTCTGTTTTCTGTTTTCTGTTTTTTTTTTTTGTTTTTTTTTTTTTTTTCAATGGATGCTCTGCTCAACACCAACTCGACACTGCTTGTAGGAGTTTTGTGAAAATATAATATCACACATTGGTTTGAGCAAAATACTCAATATATTGACGATAGCAGCAGGTCAAAAGTGCGCCAACAAGATGTTCAACTACATACAGAAGTACTAGGATGTATTAGAAGGGTCAGGTACCAAAAATGAAACACATAGAGGGCAGTGCAGACTAGAGTGGCATAAACGCAGAACAGCAGAACAGGGATGGGTAAGGTGGAAATGACCGGACTACAACTTGGAGGACATAAATGAAATGGAGGACTGGAAAGCATCATAATGAGTCGGGAGGCTGAAGGAGATACATATGATCAAGCAGGAGGCGCCTTGCTTGGTCCTGCCTGAGAGCTCGAGTTGGGACTTGGTCCATAGTATGGGCTGCGTGAATTGCGACCGGCCCACCTAGAATCTGCGGTGTATCCATGTCGTGTCCCATAGCCATGGGGATCAGGATAGTAAGCTCTGCTGTGCTGGGGAGGAAATCCATGGCCGCAATCGTCAAAATTATCACGGGGAAGGTATCCATATTCACGGCACATGTATCCATAGTCTGCTGTTGGGCTATATCTGTCATGGTCAGAGTTTGCCTGCAAGCGACCACGCTCTCGTTCCACACTATAATCCCTGCTGGATTCTGCTACTGGGGACAAATCTCGTGCAGGATTGTGAGTATCATAGTGCTCAGGAGGGTTTTCGTGACTATTGCCGCTGCGATGATATAAACCGTGTGGATGGAGGTGTTGGTAATCCTGCAGCTGCCAAGAGATTACTTTAAATACGCAAAAATAAAAATGTATCACTTACTGGATAGGACACATCCTGAGTACCACGACCAGGGATATGAGGGTCAGGAGGGAAAGGACCACGATGGTTAGGAGGGAAAGGCCCGCGAGAGCCATAGAAAGGATAATTCCTTTGATGATGATGGAAATGGTCCTGAAGATCTTGATGGATGGGTTCATGAGAAACTTGACTGGTCGGGTTCGCGAGATACTTGACGGACAGGTTCACGAGGATCACGCACTTTGGGATTAAAGGAGTCTTGAGAGTGAGCAGACTCCTCACGTTGGCGGTGAGTATTTGCAGGCAGGTCTTGAGAATCTGGTAGGTCCTGACGAGTAGCACTGTTGTCACCCAATGTACCCCGGGTGGCCGATTCAGTCACCTCCTCCGCCTCCTCTCTGAGGCAAAGGAGGAAGCTCCATGGCAGAAGGACCATCTGGTTGTTGCAATGCCACTGCAACTTGGTCAACATCACCAACAACATCGCCTTCACGTGGAGGCAGTGTGTGCACACTGTTGGTCTCTGTGTTGGATGACTGCAATTGCACAGGCCCCTCTGTAGTTTCTGCGGGTGTGTCCACGTGGCTCGAAACTGCGGAGTCTTCTATATTGACAGGGGTGGGTTTTGGGGACGGGGGCTTGATGCTTTCACCATCAGAGGTCTCATCAGAATATATCACACGAATGGCCCGGCTAAGACGACCCTTCGGATGGGAACCTTTCACAGCCGGTCGTGCTTTAGTGCAACCTATCAAACCAAGATCAGCCCACTGCACAAACAATCAAAGTAGGCATACCTTTTGTGTCTTCAGCTTTGTTGGACGGCCCATCACGAAGGCACATAGCATTGTCTGCAAATCGTCAGACAAACAAGCAGGGTAAGCCAAGGAAACACTTACTTGTATTAGTCCCAGTAGGAGTATCACGCTCGTCACCTGACGACTCCACCATCAATGGAGATGATGGACTCCCTTTGGTCCCATTGGTGGGAGAAGCAATAGGGCCCTGTGATGATGGTCCCATTTTTTCTTTCAATGGTTTGATATCGATCTTCACTGCTTTTGGAATGTCTATAGGTGATGCGCACTTCTTTGACGCATGCAGCTCACCACTGGGCTTCCGCTTCTTCCTCTTGCCATGGGATGCGTCTTCATACTCTGACTCAGAGGCCGGTTCCAGTTGGCCGTGTTCATCTTGAGAATCGGAGGAAGTAGATCGTACTTCAATAACTTCGCAAGCTGGAGGCCTGGGAACAACCTTGAAGGGCCGAGATGGGGGAGGTAGTAGTACTTCTGGGTGCATATATGATTTCCCTGCCGTAGTAGATTTTTTCACTTTTGTAGTTGCAGAACTGGCCTTGAGGCGAGGCAGACCATTGTGATCCATATGACCATCTATGAATAGACGTCGAGCGCCTGCATGAGGATAGTCTGATGGGGGAGCTTCGCCGATAATGACCAGTATCTCAGAGGCTATTACTGCCGCTATTGAAATGAGATCGTCAACCAAACATTGTGAATATATGGCCAGATCACACATACCTTGTTTTGTGATGCTAACTTTCTCTACGTACATAGTCTTCGCCTTCAAAGCCTCTACCAGGATAGTGACTTCCTTTTGCGTAAGGCTAGCGACACCCTTGCTCTTCGATTGTGAGGTAACACCACGTGTGTCACCTGGCAGGACACAATTGTGTGCAGGGTAGCCTTTGATGCAAACATTGTCGTCCGCAAGTGTGCTTGGCATTAGCTTCCAGGGGAACATCCTGACGGTGCCGAGTTTGCCTCCACACATAGCTAGTGTAGGAATGTCAGCGAGTCTGAATCACAAGAGAAAATCAATGCAAGAACATACCAACTTGTTTCGTAATCTCCCTCTTGATCCATTTGATATTATCCTCTCTGCCCTTTTCCTCTCGACCTTCCTGCTGGTCAGAAGCGTGATCCTCCATATCCTTCAGATTAGAGCTGACATCCTTGGAATCTACGTCCTTGGAGAATGCCACATCATCATCTTCATTGTCCATAAATGTGCCCTCCACAGTAGACAACAATATTGTGTTACTATAACGTTCAATAAGACATTGTGAACTTGAAGATAATGACAGACTTACTAAACTTGTGCTTTGAGGTGACCAATGATAGTGTCATTGTCTGCGCAGCATCGAGTCAGAAAGAACTATCGGAGGACGTCAATATTTGCGTGATATCAACTATGACTTTGACTTACATCTGTTGCACCAGGTGTCATGTGTACATGACCGAGTGAAGCGTCCTGATTGACGACTTTCCCACACATGACGATGGCTGATTTGAAGCTGAACTTGGTAGACGCAATGTCCAACTGCAAGTAATAAGCATGTACTAGTAAGCATTGAGGCACCATCAAACTTTGGACAAGGAATCACTTACTATATTTGTCACCCTTCTGTGAAGCCTCTGGAATGCCTGCGCACGTTGACTGACTGTGTGAGGTAACCCACCCAGTGATGTTAACTCATCATGGGTATCGAGGATATCTTAGTATGTATCAGGGAATTGTTCTTTGAATTTTGCGTAGCATTCTTTCTGCACCGTCACACCTATGATTCAGAGTCACCAAAGTACTGCAATGAGACGACATTTAGAACTTACTTGGAGTGTGTTCGTCAGCTGGAATATTTTGACCAAGTCGAGTGAGCTCCTGCTTAGAATTGTCCTTGAAATAATTGGAATAAAGATTCCAATAGTTGATGCTGCTTGTGTTGCACCCACGGCTCTTCATAAACAGGTTGAGCACTTGATGGACTGGCATCATAGTCGACCTAGATAACTCAAGCAGGGTCTGATCAACTGTTGTGAACCCTGCATCAAGTGCAGTATTAGTCTCCGCAGATCTGCGTCCCACAACAGGTAGCTCCTCTGCTTCTTCTGGAAACCGTTCGTTGACGATGGCGGCAGGAGAGTAGTGACTCAAGTCGAGTTGCTGACTTGGCCCTGGAGTTAGGGTGCGTGTGTCAGCGTCCTTCAGCAGTGTAGGTGGAATAATGTTTGTGGAGGGCGGAGGTGCAAGGGTGCATGTATCAGCATTTGGGGATGGCTGAGGTTCAAGAGGAGGGAAGTGAGGTGGATGTTGAAGATCAAACAAGGGGGCTTCACCAGAGAAGCCCTGTATGAAGCCTGAAGGACCTGGACCCTGGTCTTCGAGTAATGCTTTGAGCGAGTCAGGACCCATTAAGTCAAACATATTGGATGCTTGTTGACCCGACCAAGCAGGCTGCTCGCCAATAGAACCATAGAACATGTCTTGAAGAGGTGCAGGAGCTGAGGGCCGGGAAGCAGCAGGATCAGATGTAAACGGTGAGGGTTGATGACTGCCGCCGGTGCCAGGTACAACACTCATGGTGGCGCTGTCATTGTAAGGTGGGTCCAAAGACGTGGCGCTAGATTGTGCAGAGGTTTGACTTTCTGCAGAAGGTTATTGGCCTCCCTTGCGTCGAGCGGAGGCACCCTTGATAACCCCAGTGTCCTGTACAGTGGCCTTCAGATTGCTTCTCAACCTTGAGGGAGTCAGCTCGACTGCTGGCTCTTGGTACTGACCTCCACCAAACTGTGGGTATATGTAGTTGTTGCCAGCAAGGGAAAATGCAGGAGGTGGATGGACATATCCAGGACATGGAGAGGACTGCCTTTCGAACATGCCCATGTCCTCGTCGTACTGTGTCTGAGTCATCCTTGAATATTGTAAGCAAGCGAAACTTCGGAGCATACAACGACGCACCAATGCAAGTAAAATTGTTGTAGATGCAGTATAGACTAAATTTAAAACAACCTAACTGTTGCACGAGATGTTCCATGAGTGAAGGGAAAAAAAATGAGATGTTATGCACTAACAATTGTATGTGACAGCAAAAGGTATTTGGTTGGTGTGTTGATCGAGGCAAAGCTAGCAAAGTAAATCAGAGAGGCCTATGAGTGATATCAAGAGCAACTCAGGAGGAAAATACTCACCACAGCCTCTATCTTATATGTAAATTTTTGGGTGAGACCAGGGTCCAACCACGTTTCATTCTACATAATGAGTTAGAACGAGTTAGACTGCAATTAATAACGGGAGCCGACTGACCAGTCATGTTTTCAGTAGGGAAAAGTACAGCGAGGACTTCAGTAGGTGCAGGAGGAGCATCAGCCGAAGGTTTTATTCTACATAATGTTAGAATCAGTTGGACTACAATTAATAACCATGACGGAAGCTGACTAACCGAAAGTTTTTGCTATAGGGAGAATTATAGAGATCTTCAAGGGTCGTGAGGACTCCAGTAGGCGAAGGAGGAGCATCGAGAGCCTACCATCAAGTTCATTCACCAATAGAATTGAGAATAAAACTCGTATAACCATTGAAACTTGAGCTATGAGGCATGATTCAGCTTCAAATCATCAAAATTGGTCTTGAACAACTCACATCGTCTATTCCATCCTCACGACATTAAAACATCTCGGGCCAGTACGGAAATCTTGCGGCCATTGCAACAAGTGGGATAACTATTACTTGTACGCGATTAGCTTCACACAGTTCATAAGTAGTGTGAACAGAAATCTTACCTTGTCCAATGGCTCTCCACTCCTTGTGTTCATTGCAATTATATCACACCACATCCGGTGCTTGTTAAGGTTCCATGCGCAGCATGGGAGAAGTTTCTCAAAGTGAGATGGAAGGACAGTGGGAGTTTGATGAAGAATCTGAGTAATGTTCACATGGCGAGTTGAAAGATAGATGTAACACTGCATATTCTATGATAGCCTGACTGACACATTTAACTTATAATCCATCCTCTGCAAGCTTGATGATGGCAGAGAGAGAACTCGGGTGTCGCAAGGAGAAGTTATTCAAGGTGAGACGGAAGGAGAGTGGGTGTTTGATCGAATCTGAGTGATATTCACAGGGCAACTTGAAACGGTTGAAAGATAAAAACGGTAGCACTCTTCATATTCTATGATAGCCTGTCTGACGTGCCATATCAGTATGCTGTATGAACAACTCAACTGGAGCTCATATATTCTATGATAGCCTGTCTGATGCACCAGGCTCAATATCAATATGTTGTATGGCCAACTTGAATATTCTATGACCTGTCTGACGCACCATGATTTGATTTTGGCGGTGGGAATCTGTTCACCATCAACTGATAGCTCATAGTTTAAATCCATGCATTTAGGGTACTGTACGTACTAGATTACCGGTATAGAAAGTATGCGAGCATGTAAGTAATATCGCAGGTCACACATTTCATGCTCTCGTAGTCGCGTAATCTGTCCTCCGCATAGGACAGCTATAATTGCTGCCAAGATCCATACCCCACAATCATAACCGTTAGTCTGTAGAGGTCCGACCTGTGCAAATCATCAGAAATTGAGGGCTTAGTTGTGAGATACCCTTGAACTCACAGTCAACAGGCGAGCTACCCAACCATCCAGATCAACATGAACCTCCTTGTCTCGTTGATGCGCCACCATCAGAAAATGACAGATGAGTTTCATGATATCCTGCAAAATTGTCAATATGCTCATCATCGCGTTAAACATGGAAGGAACATACTTTCACATCATGTTTCCATGGCTTCCGTTCAGCAAGACTGTCGAATAGATGAAGCTCTTTTCTGGACAAGTAGATAACGCAAACCACCCAATGGCCAATGTTAGATGGCCTATGAATCAGGAGGATCCAGACATCTTTCTCCCAGTAATGTATCCAGGACGTATTATGCCACAGCATGTCATCAGTTGCGTTATAGCGAATACGAGGAAGATCATGTGTCGAGAAGACTGCTACTGACAGATTGGGCATGTCCATTTGCAGAAGGACAGCGCAGCCGTTGGTACGCACATCATTAAGGAGCGCTGTTGGAGAAGCAAGCAAATATATGTCTCTCGGTTCAAAAACTTGACAGGGAAAGTGTTTATTCGACAATGTCGTTCTTGTAGCTACACGTCCCGGCATGATAACATGTAAATCTCGAGATGGGGGGTGGAAATCATCAACCAGGAGACCCTACTAATACATTAGAAATTTGGCTTATCAATGATATTGACGTACCTCGGGGCAATCCCACACTATATCAGCACAAACATTAGACACTACTAAGTCTTGATCCTCACTGAACTCCACTCCAGTACTATCACCCTCCAGAATGTCGGCAAGCGCAACTTGCTCGGGCTCGACCTCTGGAAGGTCATCTGCCTCGGGGAAGAGTACTGGCTCATCCTCAGAGGCGGGCTCCTGCACCGTCACATTCACCAAATTAAGAAGATTAGTACTTTGAGGACCCCCAGAATATGTTACAGCATGGTCTAGTGCCTTCTGTGTACAACTTGCAAACTGAACCGAAGACACGAGTGAATTTGACCATTGCATCTGAAATCTGAGAAAATGGGAGTGCCTCTGTTGCAATGGAATGAGGAAGTGCTCATATATAATGAGAAAGGGTTGTATGAAACCTTAAATCAATACTAACAGCGAGAATCAAACTTACTTTCAGGTAATCGGATTGAAAGCTCCAATGCTGTCAGCTCATCTCCGAAGAACCGGCACAAGTTGTCAGCCTCCTCGCCTAAGCGTATTTGCTCTTCCCTGCACCGGTCACGTTTAAGAAGGGCACAAATTCCATCCCTGATGTTTGAGTCCTCTAACCAGCAAGGCACCTCTCCCATTGACGGTGTGACCCAGACATCCTGCATTGATGTTTGGTCACTGCATAGTTCAGCTAATTTGGTTGGAAGCGGAGTAGGAAGCGGAATATTCCAAGTAGGATTATAGAGAGACTCTAACCATTCACAGTAAGAATTAAATTTTCTGATTGCTGTCATAAGAGCAGGTTGGCGCTTTGCTATAGCCTTGCGGGTGTGTTGATGAAGCTTTGTCCCTGAAAAACAAAGTTAGAATGTAGGAATAGTCGGGCATGAGGACTTACCTAATGTTTGGTGTGATCCACCTACTGCATGATCGAGCTTATCCCATTCGAAAAAACTAGCAATTGCACGCTTTCGAATATTCATCTTGAGATCACGTGCCATGAGAAGGACACGAACAAAGTCAAGATTAACTCCGTCAAGCTCAGAAAATCTATCATGAATGTTAAGTGAAGAATACAATGCTTCGACTTTCATCATCAGATGATCATGGCCCCTCTGTAGGCTGTCGAGGACATCAAGAGTGTCATCTGATGCCGCCTCCTTCTCCAGCATAGTCTTGATGGCCTGCAAGGCTCGATCCGAGGCATCCAGATCAGCCTGTAGAGCAAGAACCATATCTAGTTCTTTCTTGAGGCGAGCAGGAGCATCTGAAGTCATGTTTTAAATAATGACTGAAAGTACAAAGATGACAGGGCTACTCACGGGCACAAATTGATAGTTGGGATTGCCGCTGGTCAGTGTTACAGTCAAGTACGCCCCTATTCATTTTCTTTCTCTTACATCATTGTATTACATCACGATCACATCTTGCCATCGCTAGATGATCTATTCTTGTTATCTCTGACTCGTCTTATCTCTGACTCATCTCTGACTCGTCTTATCTCTGACTCATCGTACCGGCCCTAAAGTCGTCACCGTTCACTATATAAACTCGTTCTGTACTATGTAGTTCTTTACTTTAATCTTACTAGGTTTTACCTGGAACTTCCTTCGCTTAAGACCTCCAATCTTAAGTCATATTGAACTTGATTCAAGTCGAGGACACTCTCCTTGTCTTGTCTTAGAACATTGAACTTCAGTATACGCTGAAGCCTTGAACCAACCTTGGCCGATTACTCTTATCGAGTAGCCATACGTCAGAACCATCCTAGTTCATAACAAAAGATTAAAGTCTTCCATGAACACATCGCTATCACGCGCTGTAACCCAGACAGAACAAACCCTGGTCATCACGACAGATAGAACCCCAGGTCCCCAGAAGCTGAAACAAGCTGACATCATTAACACCAATTTTTGGCGCTTTGAACTTAGGTGCTGTACCACCCCTACCACCTTTGAATCCTCCAATGTCTTCCTCGAAACCCATTGAAATCAAGATCGGATCTCCCCCAGTCTTTGACGGGGATAGAGATAAATCCGAAGGATTTTTGATGTCGTGCATGTCTTATCTCGACATCAACGAAAAGATCTATACCAACGACAAACAGAAAATTATTTTCGTAGCTTCCTTCATGAACGAAGGGAACGCGCGCTACTGGAAAGAAGACTTCCTTAGGCAAGCGCAAGATCCAAATAACAAGACTACCGCAGGCCTTGTCAAAGGATACGGTACTTGGATTGAATTCCTCACTGACTTCAAAAGCGCGTTTAGGCCGCTTGACCCCTCGGGAACCGCGTTAGCCAAGCTTTGCAACCTGAAACAAGGAACCGAAC